GCTGCATCTGCAGCAGCTGCAGTGAAAGGAGCCAGTTCAGTTGAGCCAAAGGGCTTCCCAGCAAAGGTTCTGGATTCTAATCCTGATCGGAGTTTGCATGTTCTCCCCATATCTGCAGTTTACCTACCACAAAAAATATTTACAAGAGGTCAAATCCTCCAGCTCCGGTCCTAACCTAACCGAGCATCAACATCTGGAGATGTGTCCAGAGCGCTGCACTGTAGCGACCACTGCCCCTGACACAGGTCTAACAGACACAGGCCCTAACAGACACAGGTCTAACAGACACAGGCCCTAACAGACACAGGCCCACAGACACAGGTCTAACAGACACAGGTCTAACAGACACAGGCCCTAACAGACACAGGTCCACAGACACAGGTCTAACAGACACAGGTCTAACAGACAGAGGCCCTAACAGACACAGGTCTAACAGACACAGGTCTAACAGACACAGGTCTAACAGACACAGGTCTAACAGACACAGGTCTAACAGACACAGGTCCTAACAGACACAGGTCTAACAGACACAGGTCTAACAGACACAGGTCTAACAGACACAGGCCCAACAGACACAGGTCTAACAGACACAGGTCTAACAGAGACAGGTCTAACAGACACAGGCCCTAACACACACAGGCCCTAACACACACAGGTCTAACAGACACAGGTCTAACAGACACAGGCCCTAACAGACACAGGCCCTAACAGACACAGGCCCTAACAGACACAGGCCCTAACAGACACAGGCCCTAACACACACAGGTCTAACAGACACATGTCTAACAGACACAGGTCTAACAGACACATGTCTAACAGACACAGGCCCTAACAGACACATGTCTAATGGCATTGCAGGATTTTGTGTAATGTCTTATAATGTGCTCAATATTTATATTCAAACACTTGCAAAATTCTCTTTTACCAGGAACCTGTGACAGACGCCGTTTAAACACCATTAAGTTACTGCCACATAGTTCTGCCACTTTCAACTCCCATACATTCCATTTAAAAACATGACAGCTGTCTTGATGGTGCATTTTCCAGCACTTGATATTCAGTCAGCGAGCGTCGACTCTTTACCTTGATGTGGCAGAACGCGTGAGAACATAGTGAAAAGTAAAAAAGGCAGCGGTGCCTTTTGTGCGGGAACAAAACAACAAGTGAAAGGGAAACTTCTTAACCTGCTCAAAGTCTTTGGCAGTCGCAAAGATGGAGGAGTTCTGACATCAACACAAAAGTACTTTTAAAGGCGCCGCCATCCGAACAAAGAACGCAGTGGAAATACATTTGGAATTAACATGAAATAAAACCAAACTTCACTCAATACTGTAGGTGCATTGAGATGTATGAGCCGAGAACGCGGATCCCAGTAACTAATGAAAGGTATTCTTGTTAGAGTATGTGTACTTTTGCAGTCATGTGTTGGTTGATGGCTATTTCTATTCACAAGTTTCTCTTTTAGAACCAAACGGTGGTGTAGCAGTTTGCGCCTTTGATTCACAGCAAGAAGGGTTTGATCCCACCCCCAGACTGTGTGGAGTTTAGATGAGACCAGAGAGAGACCAGAGAGAGACCAGAGAGAGACAAGAGAGAGACCAGAGAGAGACCAGAGAGAGACCAGAGAGAGACAAGAGAGAGACCAGAGAGAGACCAGAGAGAGACCAGAGAGAGACCAGAGAGAGACAAGAGAGAGACCAGAGAGAGACCAGAGAGAGACCAGAGAGAGACCAGAGAGAGACCAGAGAGTGACAAGAGAGTGACAAGAGAGTGACAAGAGAGAGACAAGAGAGAGACCAGAGAGAGACCAGAGAGAGACCAGAGAGAGACCAGAGAGAGACCAGAGAGAGACCAGAGAGAGACCAGAGAGAGACAAGAGAGAGACCAGAGAGAGACCAGAGAGAGACAAGAGAGAGACCAGAGAGAGACCAGAGAGAGACCAGAGAGAGACCAGAGAGAGACCAGAGAGAGACCAGAGAGAGACCAGAGAGAGACCAGAGAGAGACCAGAGAGAGACCAGAGAGTGACAAGAGAGTGACAAGAGAGAGACCAGAGCGAGACCAGAGAGAGACCAGAGAGAGACCAGAGAGAGACCAGAGAGAGACCAGAGAGAGGCAAGAGAGAGACGAGGGCACTAGACCAGAGAGTGACAAGAGAGTGACAAGAGAGAGACCAGAGGGAGACCAGAAAGAGACCAGAGAGAGACCAGAGAGAGACCAGAGAGAGACCAGAGAGAGACAAGAGAGAGACCAGAGAGAGACCAGAGAGAGACCAGAGAGAGACCAGAGAGTGACCAGAGAGTGACCAGAGAGTGACCAGAGAGTGACCAGAGAGTGACCAGAGAGTGACCAGAGAGTGACCAGAGAGAGACCAGGAGAGAGACCAGAGAGAGACCAGAGAGAGACCAGAGAGTGACAAGAGGAGTGACAAGAGAGTGACAAGAGAGAGACCAGAGGGAGACCAGAGAGAGACCAGAGAGAGACCAGAGAGTGACCAGAGAGAGACCAGAGAGAGACCAGAGAGAGACAAGAGAGAGACCAGAGAGAGACCAGAGAGAGACCAGAGAGAGACCAGAGAGGGACCAGAGAGGGACCAGAGAGAGACCAGAGAGTGACAAGAGAGTGACAAGAGAGAGACCAGAGAGAGACCAGAGAGAGACCAGAGAGAGACCAGAGAGAGACCAGAGAGAGACCAGAGAGAGACCAGAGAGAGACAAGAGAGTTGCAAGAGACAGACCAGAGACAGACCAGAGGGATAGACCAGAGAGAAAGATCAGAGAGAAAGACCAGAGAGATAGACCAGAGATAGACCAGAGATAGACCAGAGAGAGACCAGAGAGATAGACCAGAGAGATAGACCAGAGAGAGAGACCAGAGAGAGAGACCAGAGAGAGTGACAAGAGATAAACCACAGAGAGAGATCATAGATAAACCATAGAGTGACAAGAGAGTGATCAGAGAGAGAACAGAGAGAGAGAACAGAGAGAGAGACCAGAGAGAGACCAGAGAGAGACCAGAGAGAGAGACCAGAGAGAGACCAGAGAGAGACCAGAGAGAGACCAGAGAGAGACCAGAGAGAGACCAGAGAGAGACCAGAGAGAGACCAGAGAGAGACCAGAGAGATAGACCAGAGAGATCGGCTTATTCAAATAAAATGCTATAAAACAAGGAAAATGTTGATTGACAGTTATGGCTACCAGTGGGGTGTTCAGGTTCAATGTAAAATATTTAGAATGATTTGCAATTACTGTTGAAAGCCTTGTGGGTTTTCCGTTTCAGTAAACACTCTTTATGAATAAATTATTCTGCCATTTTTCTATATCCTTATTTTTGTATTTGTATTATTTATTTATGTATCACGATACTATAATGTACATTATTATTCTGAAAGAGTAGGATGAAGTGTAAACGTATGAAATCCGTTTAATTCAATTGTCCAGTGTAGAATCCGTCCTTTGTCCCACTCTTCCTGCCTTTACAACCGTCTGCTGCACAAACATCCATGTGTTGCTGTCCTTTTCCAGTGACAAATCATCAATAATGTAAGAAATATTTTCAGTAGTGGTGAGGATTTTGGCAACAAAATAGTCCCTTTTTTAAGACCTGAGTGTTTTAGATGTAGAGCATTCATTAGCGCATGTGTCTGAAGTCATCAGAGCCTTTCGTTAGTGGACGGGGCTGAGCTTCTGCAGATCCTCTGTCCTGCGAGACCTGCCTTTGACGGAGGTTAATTTTGTGTTCTGACTTAAGTTCTATCCCTTCACTTTAAATTTGACTTTATTTGACTCCCCTGCTGCTGATTGATAATCCGGCTTGTCGGTGAGCGCCGTCTCCTTACTATAATGTGCATGCTTTGATCAGTAAAAGTTGAAAGGATATATGGGAAAGAGGCTGATAAAGTGATTTCTGTGACAGAGAGTCGATGGGAGAGCAGTGCTTTAAGTCATCCTGTTTGTCTTAGAAGAGCTGTGCTCTTAATAGTCATGTCCCCAGTGACTGATGCAATAGCTCTGCGCGCGGTGTAACAATGAAGCCGACAACTGTAAACGGTCCTGGGAAAAATAGCTCAATCAATTAGATGGCCCAAAATGTTTGTCTGATGAAAATGCAGATGTAGCTAGTCGCAATGCATGGTCAGGATTTCAGCAAATTGCACTTTGAAAAGTTTGTTTGTGATGATCGGTTGTGTTGTGGCCTACAGACTCTGGATTCATTCTTCCAACCAAATCTGGCAAAGTTTAAGCGGCTGTGGCTCCAACTTCTTATAAAGCCACTTCAGAGCGATCCAATCGGGTTCCACGCGCGAAGGAGACGAGCGGATGAAAGCTGTGGGAGAAAAGTTTGTGCAGCAAAGCAGCGATTTTGCAGCTCTTTTTGAGTTTGAAGTGTGTGCGCGTGGGTGTGCACGTGCCTCCTCCCCTGAGCCCTCTCTGTGCCTGGCACCACAGTCACCTCCTTTGGTGTTGTCGGCAGGTACACAACAGGCTGCTCTTCTGAGCTGAACTTTTGGGGAGGGGAAGAAAGGCGAGGCAAGATTAAAAACACTCCTGTGATGTGGAGTGCCGAGCGCCTCCTGAGGATTCCTGGCATAATAATTTAAATGATCAAATGATACAGAGGAGACTTGTTAGCTGAGAAACAGCCTCCTAGTTGGCCCCATGGGCCCGCTGCTGCCGCGCATGCATTGCAAAACAGCTCCTCTGTTGTGCTAAAGAATCACACTTTTTTCTTTTTAGGCCTTTTCAGGAGCAGACTTGTGCTCTGTGCGCGTGTGTGCTGGGCCTCATGATTGTGTCGCTCATACATGATGACGGCTCATTACACATGAGCTCTGAATATTTGAGGCGGGTCTTCCCTTCGAGCTGTTACAGTCTAAAGTCACTGTGGGAACACGTCTCAGTGGAGTCTGTCACACAAATGTACTTTACTAAAACACACATTAGGCTTTGAGGGAGCATGTGTGTGTGCTCTGAGGTGCTACAGCAGTGTGTTGTGTTGCAGACCCTGCCCCTGTGCTGGAGGCGTCGCGCTGTCTGGAGGAGCGGCTGCAGCGGCTGCACAGCTCGGCCCCTGAAGGAGCCGCCCTGGTCCAGGAGATCTCTGGGCTTTGGCAACAACACCTGCAGTGCCTTAAACACACAGGTAACATCACTCACACACAATGAGGATAACCAGAGCCTCACAAAAAGATATGGTCGTGCCTGTCCCCAGCTGCTTTTAGCTTTAATCTCATCCTGTTCTTGTCCCACAGAGGACAGTGCAGTCATCCCAGTCTCAGACTCAGAACTCATGACCCCCAACAGCACCCCGGCCCCTGGGGCCCCGGGGTCCCCTCAGCAGAATCACCAGGACCAGGCACAAGACAGAAGGTGAGTGGAACAGAATGATAACAACATGAATCCTTGTTTAAATCCAGTTTGATTATAATGTGGAGTGTTTTGTGCAGGGAAGAGGAGGAGAGCTCAGAAGTGAGTCTGACACAGAGACTGTCCGAGGCAGAGGAGAAGATTAAGGCTTTACATTCCTGTAAGTGCTTCTGCCTGTTCAGGGAAGGGGCATTATGCTGCGCCCCCTACTGAAAACACACTTCCAGTTTTAGACTTAAACATTGATATTTTTTATATTATTTATAATTTCACAAAATAACAGATACAGTATATTCATGTTTGGACGCAGGTTTGTCCAAACTCCTCTCCCACATAACAGTAAGACATAATACACACAGTAGAACGATACAAATGCACACAACAGTAAGAACAAACAATGTACTGTGTGTTTGTTGTTTGTTTTTATGTTTCTCAATAAACAAATAAACAAACAAGTTATATTATATTGTCAACACAGCGGGGGAGGAATAAGAACAACCTTTTTAGCTCCCATTCATTCTGAACAGAACTTGACTTTGATTAATGACTCCTTGATAATACGGTAAATAAAACAATTTCTTCTGAAAAACATCACACCCTTGTTATCGTTTTTTGTTTTTGTCTGTTTTTATTTTATTTTGTCTGAAGTGGATGTCGATGTTTGTGTCCACAGCTTTGGACACGGCTCAGACTGAGCTGCGGGACCTGCGCTGCAAATACAACGACGAGATGACTAAAAAGTAAGTCTATTCGTTTCAATAATTAGCATTTTTATGTTTTGTCTTCACTCCCATTAGGCGACATGATCATTGACCTGGAGCTTTCAAATAACGAAAAAAAAACGTCTTCAAACTCAACATACTTAAACACTAAACTCCGCCACATATTTTTGATTTTGAGGAATTTCAGTAACAACAAGAATAAGCAGAGACCAGATAAAAGCAGTCTATATCACCTTTAGCATCACTCCTTTTCCCTTCCCAGCTCTCCTCCCGTATTGTCACATTCGCCGAGCTTTTTTTTTTTTTTTGCGTGGAAAAACTGCGGGGAATGCCATTGTGAGCAGAGGCTGTAAATGCAGGTCGATGAGAGAGAGGTCTGTGTTGGTAGCTGGGCCCTGACAGCCCTCAAGAAGAATTGCTCCATTTAAAGATTGCTTCAGAAAACACTCTACCTTGTCCCGCCATGTATCCAGCGCACGGGGCCCAAATGAATCTGCGCTTGTATGAAGGATGTCGATACGCATTCACAGTAAACAGGTCTTTGTTTGGGTTGAGCTCCAGAGCACGGGCGGCCGCGGCTAATGGATTTTCTCCCAGGCTTAATCCATGGCACAATTGAACTGATGTTTCTAGAGCTGCTGCCATCTATTCTCCCTGCCCGGACGCTTTTTCAGCCCAGCCTCACCTTTCGCAGTGGGCCCTTGTGTTGGAAGGCTGTGTGTGTTGTGTGCATAGACATAGAGGGTCTGGTTCTAATTGGATACGACATACAGGTGAAAAATTAGCATATTGTTCGAAAGTCCATTTACTTTACTGTATCTCAGCTTATACTGTCATGTGGAACGGATGTATCACACAAACAAGCAGGGGTGTCAAACCAGTCCTCAAAAGGCCAGTGTGGCTGCGAGTTTTAGCTCCAACCTGAGCATAAAAACACCAGACTCCACCCATTTCCTCAGGTGAGTCCAGTTTTAACCTGAGGATTTGAGGAAATGGGTGGAGTCGGGTGTTTTTATGCTCAGGACAGGTTGGTACTAAAACCTGCAGCCACACCGGCCCTTTCTGGAACCGGTTTGACATCCCTGGTGTAAGGAAACTCAAACTTCTTTATAAAACAGCAAAGAAATACAAGAACTTTAGAAATCCTGCACATATATATCATCACAGTCTATTGAAAAAGTGCTGGTTTGGCCTGGATATTGAAATTTCCTTATTTAAACAATATATCAAACAAAGGTGAATGTTCCAAATATTCAGAATCCTATACTCTGAAAGGAATGCATCAGAGTTACAGAACATAGGAATGAGGAGCACACAACACAAGATAATATAAAATACACTATACCAGGGGTCTCCAACCTTTTTCATTCAGAGAGCTACTTTTCTACAACAGAAGAGGCAGAGAGCTACTCCTTTTTGCAGTCGTAATAAAAGTCTATAATTACGACAAAACATGGAAAATTCTTTAATACTGTATAACCCTATATACTTATAATAAACACGTTATGACTCAAAATGTATTCATTTAAGATCATTTGTTATTAAATCCTTTGGCGAGCTACCTGAAAGGACCCGGAGAGCTACTGGTACCTCCTGATCCACAGGTTGGAGACCCCTGCACTATACACATATACTTTGAAAAATAAAAAACAACTATATCTTTAGCATTATACAGAAACAAAGTATAACTTACTGTATACTCTAGTGCAAGAAATACATGCTTGTATGTATAAAGATTAATCTGTAATACTCTATTATCTAATGATTTTATATTAGGACATTAAGTCATCAGATCTGAGGGTTTACCATGTAACGGATTATGAAACAAAATACATGGTATGCAAGTATTTCGCATTCTTTAACTACATACATTTTCATTATTCTCCCCAACACTAATCATGATAGTAAAGACAATATAGTGCTCCGGAGATATAATCTGCATACTTTAGTAAATAACAATGAAGCCAAAAGTTCTGTTTTGAATGTGCCTTATTGTTCAAAGGCATGAGCTGCAACAAATAGAAGTCACTAATCCAACCTTCTTCTTCTTTTACAGAGTCTCCGCGTTATCCCAATAAAATCAAACACAAAAATAAGCCGTAAAATCTGTGGTACCATCCATCCTTTATTGAACAACACGTCAATATACAATTATCATGGTCGGCTTAGTGTCGCTGTCATCCAACTCAATAAGTCTCTCTACATATATCTATCCATCACATGATTTCTATGCAAAAGACGCTTCTCTGCATTTTCCATTTCACTCAAAGCAAGTCCCCTCACAGCACTGACCCCGCCGCACCTGCCTGTGTCTCTGCAGCGGCTGCTTCCTGCACGTTGATAAGAACACTACATCTGTGGAGTCAGGCCTGAGTCGCTGAGCAGATAATCAATACAAAACATTTTGCGGAGCCTGTGAGTTCATTAAACGTGCGGCTGACACCTGCGAGTGCTTCCTGCCGCTGCGTGGAGACATCTGGCCCAGTCTCAGTCACTGGAGCTGGGCCAGAGCCGCCAGAGGCCTCAGGAGCAGAGCTAACAGGGACACAAAATATACAGAGACATATCATTCAAAAGATCCATCCACTTTTATCAGTACAGTGGAGAATGGAGGAGAGGTGGGATTACCCAAACACTTATCTCCACCGCTCCTCTCTAAAAGCCCCTGTCTGATGTAAATGTACCACTAAGACATAAAAAGTATTGCTCATGAATTAGTGTGAGGAATTTCTCTGTTGAAATGATGATCTTTAGAATTGCCCGTGCCCTAAATCCTCCATAGAATCTTCCAGCTCGTCCAAAATACAGCAGCAAGGATCTTAACAGGCACTAAAAGGACGGAACACGTATCTCCGGGGTTTGAATCACTCCACTGGCTTCCTGCGGAGTATAGAATCACTTTTAAAATCTTTCTTTTGACATACAAGGTTAGAAATGGTACAGCCCCCTTCTACCTTTAGTGATATTTACACACATGTATCAACATTTATGGACATTGGAACCTAAAGACCAATGGCTTCTATGTGTTTTATTATTGAATGGTTTGATTGGATGATCAGAAATACAATTTATATCCAGAATAAGTTTAATAATTAGTAATATTGTCTTTGATTCATATCATTTAATCTCGGTTTACTTGTGCCTTATGAACCTGTGTGCTGTAGATACTTAAGAAGCTTCTTTCTCCCATCATGCTCCTTGTAAATGGAACGCTCCAATACTGAGATCTTGAGTCAACTAAAAGACATTTAGATGGGTCTCTGTTTGTTTGTTTGTTTGTTAAGCACATGGATTTTAATATTGTGTGAAATGTGTTCTATAAAAACATTTCCTCTCCATTCATTATTATACAGCTTGATGCTTCTTGCCTTAATTATCTCCAAGACCAAGAATAATAATGTCATAATGGACTAAATTGTGTCCTCTGTTAACGACACAGCAGCCACTAATAAGAATGAAACAGATTTGAATTTATAAATATACAAAAACATTATTTTTAAAGGTCTGAAAAGTGATCAACATCAAAGGAAAAGCACGCCACAAGAGACCTAGGTATTAAAAGTGCATAATGTATTTTTTTGAGCATTTAAAAAAAAAAAAACCTGGTGCCTTTGAATCAATCTCGTCATCGCCTCTACCTTTTGAAAAGCTGGTTCCCTTGAGGTGAGAGAAACTGTTGAACTTCAAACAATCCTCATGAATATTCACTATGAGAGCCTGTTTTAATTAGAAAACGGTATTATTAGATAAATCAAGTCAAAGTCAGGAGCTTCTGGTGTGTGACTCTGTCCGCTGGGTTTTGATAAGCGTATCGAAACTAGTCACCGTCTCTCCACCAGCACGAATATCAACCGTAAAATGACAAATGATTACGATTAAAAAGAGGCACACAAAACAAATGGGTCTAACTTTAAGATATATCGTACACTATTAGTATATTTCAGACTCGATGCTGCTCTGTCATTGGACGCTCAAAATGCAAATGTTGAGCGTTGTTTTGATGTTGATTTTCCACCAGCAACTTCCCAAATGGTGTAGGTTTGATATTTTACATTCCTGTTGTTATTTTAATATGTATTACAGGAGTATATTTATCAATTCTTTTAGACACCAACTTATTTTCAGATGTGTGATGTGAAATTCAATTCAATGTATTCTTGTATGGCCCTAAATCACAACAGTAGTTATCTCTGAGGACTTTACCTTGAATTCGCCAACACAGATCAGAGAATCAAAACGTTCAAACTCATGAAATGCAATGATTAAAAAACGCATAGAGCCATTGGTCCGTAAGAGGCAGAGACCAATGTCCATAAGTGTCCGGGATCATCACCCCTGTCCTCGGACTCTCCTGTATCGGCAAGAAAAAACTCTATAAGAACAGACAAAAGGTGGAGCCAGAGATTAAGGGCGACAGATTAAAAATAAAAATAAAAATGCATAAGAAAACGGTTGTGTGAAGCCAGATTGCTGCATCGAAAATATCCTGGATTCAGAGGCTTGTGTAGCAATAAATATAAAAAATATATAGACAGCTGATTGTGGTCGAAACGCGTTGATGTCCCGAGTAAATAAACGATTTTTACTTTCAAGTCAGTTTTGCCTCAGACCTTATTTTTTCTCTTTAAAATTGAGCTTTTTGCGTTTTTAATCCTGATGAGCACCTGACCCGCACACCCCTCCCACAGCAGCGCTCACTCTCCCTTTCAACAGTTTAAAAGGGCACTATCCTTATTAAAAACTGATAAAACACATTAAAAGCATGTATTTCCCACCTTTGCACTGTGTTTAAAGTAAGTAATAAAACAACAAAATAACTCGGCTGCATTTTTTCCGCAAAATATTTATTGCGTGATAATTATTGATAGAAACCGCTAAATGAGTTTTATTCAACAACAAAATAAGATTCGGTCCCTTTTAAGTTTTGTTGAAGCTAAAGCTCTGAACCTGAATTACGTATCCCATTCTCTGGGCTGTAAACTGTTATTTCACATTACACTGAAATTCCCCACTGTGGGACAAATAAAGGATGTCTTAATCTTGATGACTTACCACAGAAAAATAACACAAAATTAGGATTTTTTTAACTATTATTGCATAAACTTAAATACAATCTCAAAAAACTGCATATGGTCAGCCTGTGTATGACAACATCCATAGCAAATACCTGTACTTGTTCTTAACACAACATTTAAGCTCCAGGTTTAATCTGTTGTAACAAGGTCATGCAACTGTGATTTTTTTTGTTATTGTCACTTTCCCAAATCACCCACTTTGACTTCCACAAATCATGACCTGCGTGTGGCACAACACTCAGGCCCATTGCGTGCGCTGGAGAGGCCCTCAGTAATCTGTTTTCCCTGGCCCCTGTGTGTGTCCCAGAGCCGAGGAGGTCCGCAGCATCATGGCCGACCTGGAGACGACGAGCCGGGTGAGTTTTTTCGCGATGGAGACGCTGCTTCGTTAGGGCAATCACTCGTGTAATCAGGCCCAGGTTTAATTGCACCCCCTCCGTCCGCCCCCCACCCCCAACCCCCACCCCCCTCTGTCATGTGATTAGCTTGTGTATACCTGGGAGGAGGCAGCACAACAGCAGCAGCACAGCCTTTCCTCTTGGTTTTTCTCCTGATTGCTTCTCAGCCCGATCTGTCGCTGCCATGATTTTCCATAATGTTAGTCAAATTATAATAAACAGTATTGATTTTGTTCGTGGGGTAGGGATATCCAAGCATCTTGTGGCCTAAGGCGGGACGACATATAGCTCAAAAACTGAGAATACTGCAAATGGTATCAACAACACAAATAACATGCGACCTGTTTGATTTTTTTCAAGCAATATTTTGTAAGTCTGTGGAGGTGGTACGTCATCTAGGGCTGTAGTTGATTGTTTTGATAATCAATTAGTTGGGGGATTTTTCTCTCGGTTAATTGGTTTGATCCTATGGTATTTTTTTATACATTTGACTGAAACAAGCTTAAGTCATGCCCCTGCAGATCATCCTCATAAAGTTGAATTACTACACATTCATTTGTTATTTGGCAAGAGCTCTGGTGTGTGTCGTCTGGTGCACACTGGGGTAGTCTTGCACAGTTTTTCCTATGTGGTTTTACTGCAAATGGCAAATAAATGAATCTGAATCTGAATCTGATTAAAAATACAGTCATTATTGAAGTATCATAGTAATTAAACTTCTTCTCAGCATGTTTTAAGTCTATTTAAGCTTAACATCTGCTTTATTATTAAAAACTTTGTGCTAGGCATATCACATTATTAGATTTTAAAGTTACAATTATTGTGAGTAAGAACAGCATCATGTTCTTGAATATTGTCACCACTTCTAGACGCCTATGAGAAAACAATTAGAACACAGTTGAAACGTTCTGACAAAGACCATGTGGAATTGTTTGACCTTTTTTTATGATGCGGATTAGCCTCGGACTGACAGAGAAATTGGCTCCAAACTAACACAGGAGGTCTCACTTTTAACAAATACTATAGTTATCATTTTCAGCTCCATAAACTTTGTGATGTCCCTGTCACGGATAAACAGGGAAGGACCCAAAAGCAGAACTGCAAAAATAATAAGCATAAGTAAAAACTGAAACCAGGAACAAGACATGGGGAACAAGCAACAATGGACCCACAACAAGATGGACAGGAGCATATGGTCTAAACACACAGAGGGAGACACAGGTGTAACACATCAGAGACAGGAAGTAAAACTCAACAAGAGATCAAATATTTATATAAAAAACAGGTACATTCAAAACAAGTCCACACCATGGCAGTCACTAAAATACAACCTATAGTAAAGAACATTAAAAGCAAAATAATCACCACTGCATGTATACAAGCAGGTGACAGACCCTCCTCTGGTCTCATTCTACAAGAAAACTTTCTGTATTCTCTCTTCATCCGAGTCAATCCCCTGGTCTCCTGCGCCACCTCAAAAAAGTTCAAGCCATTCAATAAGCTCCTAATTCTGCCCACTGACTAGATTGCTTTCTGCCTCGCTGCTGCTTCCACTTATAGCTTCTCTGTGGATAAATGTCCTCAATATGAAGCATTAATTAGGCAGCCGTGTTTTGACGGAGCAGGTAAACAGTTTGGGGAATAAAGTGGGCCCGAACTAAAGAGCGTTTTCAGCAGAACGCGGCGGTGACGGAAAAGGTTCCCCTTCAGAGCCGGGGCACTGTCTGATTTATGTGCACGCCCTGCCTCACCTTTATGAAGTCAACTATCTATTCAGCACTTTGCTTTGACCTGCATTATAGCGCATTCCAAAATCATTTACAGCTACAGCTTGTTTTCTGATTCAACTTGTTTTTAAAGTATGTTGAGCTGGTCGGCTGTACCGTTCTCTCTGATCTGTAAGGCGCAACTGTATAGAGGCCGCACCATCTACATTCAAAAGAAAATCTCTGTTGTCCATATATAGGCCGCACTTGAGTAGGAGCTGCAGGGTTTCATGTTGTAATGTTTTGCCTGGACACGACATGATTTAATAACGAGGTGTTCAACAGTTTAAGATAAGATAAAACTTTATTTGTCCCTCAGTGGGGAAATTGAAAAATCATTGTTAACGGTTAGTTTCATTACTGTACTGTGCTCATTCACCAGTCTATTTAACATTAAACAAGTGTTGTATAGCTAACTTGATGCAGTCAAAATATTAAGTCCAAGCCACAAGGTTCAAAGGACTAGTAAAATAAACCGCTTATCGTCCGGTAACTACAGTAATCTAATCGATCGTCCCCTTAAGTCTAATCTCTAAAATTCTATGTTTGGATGTGTCGTTTTGACAGAAAGCTGAAACGGCACAGACAGAGGTGGAGAGGCTAAAGGAGCAGTTAGCCAGCTGTGATCCTGAAGAGGGCGCCACCAGGGTGAGTTTTTATAATCAATGTGTATTACTCACTGAATCAGCCCAAAAGCCTCAAATAATGACTGACAGGGCTCTTTCTTACTACAGTATATGCAAAAAGTAACATGATTTCTGATGTGATTAAGACAGCATGTAGTGGGTTTTAGATGTAATTCAACATTTTAATATTGCATACTGTCCCTTTAAAAAAAGAATAATATCATCTACTGTAGAAATCAACTGTACTTTTGCTTTTGATACTTCCCCTCCTTCTGACTGTAATCCATGTGTTGTCTTCAGGATAAAAGTGACTACTCGGCGCTGGGGCCCTCTCAGCTGGAGGCGGTGCTTGTGGCCAAAGACAGAGAGATCCTGCGGCTCCTCGAGAACATCCAGCGGCTGCAGTACACGCTCCAGGAAGTGCAGGAGAGCTCGGCCAATCAGATTGTGGAGCTGGAGAGGCAGCTGGCCTATAAAGCAGAAGCTATTGAGGTTATTACAAGAGGCACATGGGAAAAGTGTGATTAAAACTTTTCTTGTTACACCTGCTAAACGCGCTCCTCGTCTGTATGTGTTGCAGAGATTAGAAGCTAAATTGCAATCCCAGATGGACTATGAAGAGATTAAAACTGAACTCAGGTGACTGATTTTCATAACTCTATTTGTTAATGAATTTACTTTTCAATTTCTTGATCATATTTTATTGGTCCATCTCCTTCTCCTTTCTTTCTCTCTCCCTCTTTCTTTCTTTCTTTCTTTCTTTCTCCAACGATCATAACCAAAAACCCATTTACAACACTGGAAGAATCCAGCAATACAACTTCCACTTCTAAAGAGAGAACCAAGCTCACATATTTAAATGTTTGCCTTGATGGATATTTAACATAATCATTTTGTTAATACTCTTTACAAGTTCACAAACCCATAAATGTCTGCTATTGCCTGTGTCCAAACTATGGCCTGGAAGCCTTATGCGGCCCTCAGACGAAAGTTGCCGGTCCCTCATGCCTCCAGCTGCATTGGTCCAAATGTTTTTACAGAAAATTTGAGAAAATACACTTCTTTAAATGCAACAAAGAAATGTTCTAAGCGTTTTAATTTATATCGAAGCTCTGTCGCACCCACATAAAATGATTGAACGAGAATGGGCAATATGTGGTTCTCCATTTTTTGTTTTTGCATGCATATATTTAGTGCAAAAATTACGTGATAAAGGGAAATACGCAGTTTAAAAAGGGGTTGGGCTAAGCAGACGCGCATTTGGTTCCAACCCATATATCAGTCATACAACACACAAAACACACACTCACTCTGACAACAAAAAACACAACACACAAGCCCTTCCCCCTGGTCTATACCAACATTCCACTGTCTATTATTTCCAGTCAAACCATTGGCCAGTAGACAATTTTAGTTGAAGCGGTCAGAAAAAACAATACTGTGGCGGGTTTGTGAATCTAATCACAAAATTACAACATTTCTTTCATAAATTGCTCCTTGCCCATAGATTTGTGCTGGCCCTTTCTCTACGACTAGAATTCTAGAACCTGAACGTAACCTATTTACAATGCCACTAAATGTGTATCTCTTCTTCTCTTCTCAGTATCTTAAAGGTCATGAAACTGGCTTCAGCGAACGGCAACTCCACACAGGTTTGTAACAGTTTTCTCTTCTTCCAAAGTTAGTGTTTGTCAATCCAATGTATTCTCGGTGTCGTGGAGAAAGTTACTGGGGCTATTGAGCGCCGCAGTGATCATCATCCATTATAAGGCTATCTCCCGCCGTTGGTTATTGATTCATTGAAATGAACAGCTGTTGGTTTTTTGTGTCTTTGCTTTTATATAGGATTCTGCCAAAGCTACAGAGGCACTTTTGTTGGATAAAGAGGCCTTTCTTCCCTCTCACAAATACCTGGTGGACAAGGCCCGGCTTTTGCACAGTAACGGTAAGAGAACAGTTTACAGCAGTATTACATGAGACAGAACAGACATTAAGCATTTTAAAAGGGGGAAACTTGTCGCTGTTAGCTTTCTGATTGTTTGGCGCCTTGTGGTCTGGCTCAATTGATTCTTAGATCAATGTTTTTCAGACTTAAGGCTCTTTGCATACACTCTTGTGGTTACATTGAAAAACAAAATGCGATGCAATGTTATTACTTTACTTTTCTTTGCTTTATTTATGGTAACGTGCACCATTCATTTAGACTTTTATTGTCCTCAAGGGGAAGTGATTTCCTGTGTGCACAGAGCTTGTTTGACATGTGCACATAGACATACACATGATGATACAATAGACTGCACTCAGCAGGGACCTGAGCCCTCTGAGCCTTACACCTCCATCCAGAGGAGAGGGTGAGTGCAGTCCTGTTCTATGGAGACAGCAATGGTCCTATTATTGAGTTCTGTGAGTTTAGTGTGAGTAATCCTTTTATTTCAGCAGCTGTGCTTGTTTCCATTGTGAGAATAAAATACTCACAAAACCAAACAATATCCATAAAATATTGACCGATTGGATTTTTTTCTGTGGCTGCTTTTTAAAGGTGCACATAATAATTTAAAGGCAACAAACAAACTGGACTGGTGCTAATTCTTGACCATATTATCCTGTAGTATAATTTCAATTAAGTATAATTAAGTATATTTCAAATACTGTCTATAAATTCGTGCAGCATGAACACATCAAACGTACCCCTGTTTTTGTCCCTCCTTTTACATTAGAAAATAACTTCTGTTAAACTTGCTCATTCCTTCGTGAGTTCTTTCCAACCCTCTTTAACTGATTTTCCCAAGAGTTCAAACTTCTCCTTGATCTCTTCCCCGCAGATGAAGAGCGCTCTGAGGACGGCGGCCGGGATTCGGGGCGCCCCCTTGTGTCCCACTCGTCCTCCTCCCACACAGAAGCTTCCCCCGGCGCGCCCCCCACCCCGACCCCGGACACATCCTCCGCTTCCAGCACCACCGCCCACGACCTGGCCCGGCCCTTCTCCGCCTCCCCCAGCTCCGTCGACCGACTCTCGGCCGACCACATCATCCACAAGCAACTCTTCTCCCCGCACTTCAAGAAGGAGGCTCTCATGGCCTTCCCCACCGCCCTGTACGCAGCCAAAGTCGCACTTATGGCCGGCTCCCAGGGGCCCGGAAGCGGCGGAGGAGGAGGAGGAATGGGCAGCGGGGAACACGGGCATCACTCCAGCGATCACTCGGAAAGCGGGAGCTCGACGGGAGAAGACGACCAGGTGGACACGGCGGAGATCGCGTTTCAAGTCAAGGAACAGCTCCTCAAGCACAACATCGGGCAGAGGGTGTTCGGCCACTACGTCCTGGGGCTCTCTCAGGGGTCGGTGAGCGAGATCTTGGCCCGGCCTAAGCCCTGGAGGAAGCTGACGGTGAAGGGGAAGGAGCCCTTTCTGAAGATGAAGCAGTTTTTGTCTGATGAGCAGAACATCCTGGCACTGAGGACCATCCAAGTTCGACAGAGAGGTGAGCTTCTTCATGGGTTTTGGGTTGCGGAGTGTTGTATGTTACATAGAAATGAGCATAGATGACGATGACTGACTGTAAGTGACTAAACATTGTCTATGTTTATAAAGTCTATTGTCAAAGGTTATAAAGTGATTTCTTAATTTGCAGTGGTGTGTAGCTCTGTCACAGTAAATACTATATCAACTAGGGCTGTAATTAACAATGGTTTAGTGGGGAGAGAATGTGTCTATAGATGTGACAGAGGCCAAAAATACATTCATGTAAAAACTAGTTATAGAACTAGATTGAAGGAAAGAGTTCGAAGGATTTTATTGGTTAATTGTATTGTGGTTTGAAAGTTAGGGACCTCAGCTTTATTGGTTAATGCATCCGCTGTCAACATTGGGACAGTTTAGTCTTTTCATTTTTGTCTCTTTTCAGTTTATACTAACTCCCAGAATAGTTAATTTTGTACGTCAATAGAGTCCAGATCCGGCTGGACACACATGACATACTCTCTTTGAACCTTTCAGATTCCTTTTACAGGAAAAAAAGCGAATTCAAAATGACACATCTCAATATAAGTTTTTGTGTGTATTCCTTCCGGTTCCGATTTAGTCAAAAGAACCTGCAAGTGCCATTTGGTTGCGTAATAATGGCAGTTTGAATTGGATTTGATATGAAAAGTGTGGAACATATGGAATTAGGAGTCAAAAATAATCTTTCATAATTCTACTAATCTTCTTGTAATTTTTTTTATTTTTTATTTTTTTATTTAAACAAAACAACATGAACATACATACATGGGGGGAAAAGGGGGGGGGGGGGTCTTCCGTGTGTGTGTGTGTGTGTTGTTTATTATTTACTTTTTTTATTTTAATTTTATTTTTTATTTATTGATTATGGCTTTCAAAATAATCTCATTTTCAGAGATTTCTTTTCAATTATCAACAATATAGCAAATAAATACTTGATTTATCTCAGTTCGTGTGTGAGTCTATCATATATATATATATATTTAATTGCATAAGTAAACTTTTGTAAGACTTTTGAACAGTATTCTAATTTTCCGAGTTTCTCCTGTTTGTGTGAACGTTCCCAAAATGGTCAAATTAACAAACAAAAATGTGCCCAAAACGGCTGATGTGTCTGAATGAGTAACAGCAATTCTCCGTCATGGCAGCTTTTGTGACTCCCCTCACTTTGTGGAGTTGTTTGGCCCAGCTCCGGCTTTAAACCGTCTAATCTAGCAGGACCTCTTCTGTGACTGCTGCACGGCGTTTCCTGTGCCATGTTTGTAGCGATACTACTTTTCAACTTTGTTTTCTCCCCAGATTCTTGCGCGTTTGAAAGTTGAGTTTCCCGTATACCGCGGCCTCAGACAGCACGCGCTCAAAGGCAGCCATTGATCTAGGAGTCAAAAGCAAGTCTTGGAACAGCTCTGTGATCAACCTCAGTCTCACTCTCTCTCTCTCCTCCTCCTCCTCCTCCCCCCGTCTCTTTCCCTTCCTCCTCCCCTCGTAACCCTCTGTGGCAGGGAGCATCACGCCGCGAATCCGAACTCCTGAAACTGGGTCAGACGATGCCATCCGGAGCATCCTGGAGCAGGCCAAGAAGGAGATCCAGTCCCAGAGGGGAGGTGAGTGCAGCCCTGAGTGACAGGGCAACAGACAAGGCGATGTGGGCTCTGGACACGGAGTGCTGCTATCAACATGTTCTTTCTCTCTTTTCAAAATGGTTGACAATGTGTGAAAAATCAGTGATATTTTTTACTTTTTTTACGCTCTAACTAAAGTGTTCTTTGAAGCTTTTGCCTCAGCTTTAGTAAGTCTTTTCAAACATTACTGTGACTGCTTAAAATCAATGATATGGTAATAAATGCTTGTGGTTTTTGTCTTGAATGGAGCAAGTGAGAATTGTCTTTGCATTTATTTGGCTTCTAAAAATAAATAATTAAAATAATTCAATGATATAAATTTTGCCTAAGTCAAGCTGTTTTTGACTTATTTTTGTCAATGTTTGTTGTCAATATATGAAGTGATGAAATGGAGAAGTTATGGACATAAAAGTAGACATCTAGTAAAACTTTTAGACAGCCGCATGCATTAAAGCTTGGATACTTAACTTTTTGTTTCTGTTTCTAGTAACAGTGAAGTGTTGTAAACAAATCCCACCCCAACATTTCATCTTCATTTGATGAGAAATAAAATAAACTGAAACTGAGAAATGCAAAAATAAAAAAACCTGATTTGAGGTCAGAAATATGATTATGATATGAATATGGATTTGTGGCAGCCCTGCTTTAATTGTAATCCACTCAAAGTGTGAGCTTTTACCGTCAAAAGTGAACAGGGTTAACTTTCTGTTTGTTTTCTGATTTATTACCTACTGCTAATTATATTGTGTAGGCATTTTGGCACAAATTAATATATCTACTGCTTGCTACCATCATCTGGACTCAGGTCGATATTTAAAATGTCATGAGCCATAAGGGCCATAGATACAGAGGTAAACTCTATACACTGCATCTGTCTTCATTTGTTGTTACTACCCTCTATGTTTAATGACCGTTGATGCCCGCTCTGTTTCGCAGACACTAAGTCCTCCCTGAACAGCTTGTCCAGCCGCAGCAGTAACGGGGGCAGCAGCAGCTCAGACGACACCATCAAGTCCATCCTGCAGCAGGCGCGCAGAGAGATGGAGGCCCAGCAGCACACCCTCATGGAGATGGAGGTGTGCGGCCGCGCTCCCAGTGTCGGGGCGCAGGTGGAGCGCCTGGGCCCCCCGGAGAGGTCTCGAGTCCCGCCCTTCCCCATCTCCATCAAACAGGAGGAGGGTGGCTGTGTGACTGTGTGCATGGCCAGTTCTATCAGCAGCCCGCAGACACCGCTCAGTGTCCTGTCTCCGGCGGCGTTCGTCCAAAACATCATCCGAAAAGTCAAGTCTGAGATCGGGGAGGCGGGCACGTACTTCGATCAGCACTGGTCCCAGGAGCGCGCGGCTTTGGGGCTGGCGGGGGGCAGCTCCAGGCCGTATAACTCTGTGTCTCCTTCCCTGTCGTCCTCCTCGTCCGGGCCCCCCGCGCTGTCTCGGCCCTGGCCCCGGCTGGAGAACGGAGAGGCTCTGCCCAACAGCGAGGAGGCGTCTGCGGCAGAGGACGAGCTGTGCCTGGGACGTCCTGTGGAGGTGAGAAGGGCAACACTGATGGATTTTATTTTTGTACTTGGTTTTATTTTGACTTCAGTTCTGTGGTTTTGTTTTAGTTTGACTTCCTGTCCTGTTCCCCTGTGTTGATTCTCTGCCCCGCCTTCATGTGTTTCACCTGTGTCTCTCTTTGCGTCTGTATGCACCTGTGCTCTTCCCCATTTGTTACTGGTCCATTGTCAATGTCTTTGTTTGTCCTCGTCTGTCATTTTCCTGGTTCCTGTGTTTCCTTTTGGATTTTTCAGTTTGTTACTTTGGACTTACATTTCTTTACCATCATTAAATCAATATTTTTTGTTGCATTCTTACATTTTGGGTCCTCCTTCATTTCACTCATGACATTATCACCCACTTCCAGGTTCGAGGTGACTTTTCATTGACTTATGGGACGGACAGTTTCTTTTAGATCAGACATTCCAAATCCACCTGTGGACTCCGACTGCTCTCTACTCGTCCATCTCCTGAACAATTAGCTCGGACTAAACAAAAAAAATCAAAGGGTTCTCTGTGCGTGGCTAACAGCTGCCAAAAATATGATTGCTACAAGGTGGAAGCCCTCTCACTCACTGTCTCTCCGTCAATGGGTGATGAGTTTAGTCAATATTGCTTACTCTGAGTTGTTCACAGCATGTTTCCACACTGTGTGCTGTAAATAGAATCACATTATTATTTCTTTGAATGACTTTTCTCTTTGTTGTTATGTACATGTTGTCATTTTTTATTGATTGGTGTATGTCCTGGACCTGGGTGTATATGTTCTGTTATGAAAAAACCCCATTAAAGATACAGTATATATATAAAAGTAAAATTAAACCACTTTTTGCAGGCCTGGGAGTGAATAACTCAAAATGCAGATGCAGGCCGTTTTTTACAGAATAACTCCATTTATGGGTCTGACTGTGTTGTGTTCAGGTGAAGGTGGAGTCCGACACCTCAGTCAGTGGGGAGTCTCCTGGTCCTGTCTCGGGGCGCCTCTCCTATTACCCGGCCTACATCCCCCGTGCCCTGAAGCCCACCGTCCCACCCCTCACCCCAGAGCAGTATGAGATGTACATGTACCGCGAGGTGGACACCATCGAGCTCACGCGACAGGTCAAAGAGAAACTGGCCAAAAACGGAATCTGCCAGAGGATCTTTGGAGAAAAGGTTAGATTTGAAGTTTAGTTTGCCCAGATTTCATTGTTATGGAGATTTTGGATGACAGACAAGCACTTTTTCCACTCATTGTTAGTGGTTTTGTGAAGCCATATTGTCAAATAAACTTGTTTTCCATTTTCAAATCGTAATATATTGAGCCACGCTGGGGAGATCTCAATTTTGCAGTACTCACAAGGCGGCCCAGGAATTTACAGGAGCTAGAGGCCATTTTGCCAAGAAGAATGGACAGCTTTACTGGATAAAGAACCTCTTCCACAACTACCACAAAAGACTCCAAGCTGTCATAGATATTAAAAAAGCAATTCACACTATTGAGAACTGGGGGATGGAGACTTTTGCACAGGGTCAGAAGAGGAGTTTCTTCTGTCGCTATCTCTTGAAAATGGAAAACAGGGTAATGTGACTATGAATGGCTCCACACAACCACCAACTGTGAGTGAAATAGGTGTCTGAAATATGGTCCAAAAATAAAAACCTCTGGCTGGGTGTGTAAACTTTCAAGCACATCTGTAACTTTCAACATGCACGAGTTGATTATTGAGATATTCGCAATAGAGAAAATCTAAACATGGCAGCACCATAGCAGTAACATGCTTTGTCCTTGTTGTGTTTGATATAAAAGAAATACATCTACGCTCTGCACTATTTACCCTTATTTATCAATGTTGAGTATATTTCAAATGGACCAAAGTTGATCTATAAAAGACATGTATTCAGAAAAACGGCACAGATGAATATACAGCAGACAGAGCTCTTGACGGTTTGTGGTCGGACATATTATTTTAACGGGATCAATACAGTGTTGTTTGTTCATCAGACTCATTTGCTGTGTGTTGCTGCCATCTAGAGGAGCAATGTGGGGTTACAGCAGTAGTATAACGTATTGATTTTTCATCATTTGTTAGAGGTAAAGCATTAGTTATTTACAACATGTATTTTCTACTTTCTTTCTCGACAGGTGCTGGGCCTGTCGCAGGGCAGTGTGAGCGACATGTTGTCTCGTCCCAAACCCTGGAGCAAACTGACTCAGAAAGGCAGAGAGCCCTTCATTCGGATGCAGCTGTGGCTCCTGGATCAGCTGGGACAGAGCCTCAGCCAGCCCCTCAGCCAGGGCCTTGCTCAGGGTCAGTCCTCCGTCCCATTTGGGGAATAGTGATCGTAGCTCTTAAAGGGATTGTTACTTTTTGAATTGAGAAGAGAAAAAGATTATTATTTTTTTGGAATAAAAACAGATTTTTTATTCCAAATCAAGCACGGGTTAGACCTACCTATTATCACACCCTGATAGGACGGAAATTTAAAATACTTGATACACAAATTAAATCATGTTATTTTTTACTAAGAAACTGTATGAATGGGTATAAAATAGATGTATGTAAGTAAGTAATCTTTATTTATATAGCGCCTTTCACAGACCAGAGTCACAAAGCGGTTTACAATTGTTATTTTTGGGCACTTGTCCTCTCACTCCACACAGAGATGGGAGCAGGGGCCAGTACAGGAGGCGCATGCCAGACCTATTGCACATGTTTTTAGTGGTAGGGGAAACCGGAGTACCCGGAGGAAACCTACGCAGACACAGGGAGAACATGCAAACTCCACTCAGAAAGGCCCTGGTCCGACCGTGATTCAAATCCAATACCTTCTTGCTGAGAGGCGAGAGTGCTATCCACTCAGCCACCGTGCATGTGCAGGAACCTGAAAAATTAAAGTATATATTAAAAAATGTAGATATATTCCACTGTTTCAGGTCTTAAAATATTTAATAATGTGTATAATAAGTATTGTGACAGCAATAGTCTCGGTTTATGATAATTTCCATACATTTGCAAAGCTAAATGAACTATAATTATGTAAATTAAATGCATTAATAAAAGTGACTTGCCATTTCATTTTGTGGATTCTCTCAAGAGACGAGAACATATATTCATGGGTTTCAGAATGAATTGTAATCAGCATAATCTTTGATACGTTGCCATAGCGTTTCACAAAACAAATGCCAAGGTAACAGTAACGTGGAAACCCATGTATACAATTGTATTTTATTCTGTTTTTTGTGAAGGGAAAATCCGTCTTAAAACAATCAAAAACAATTTCTCACGTAACGGTTATTCACTGTATTGAGTTTATCAGTGCATTTCATAACTTTCAGATCTCAGTGAGTTTTGCCATGACAGAAATCTAACATGAGTTTTTTTGTTTAGACAATAGAAAACTAAAAATGTAAAGAATCTCTCCATGAAGCTATTTTTACAACATAAACACACTCAGGCACGTAAAAAGCCAGATGCCAGCTTTAAAATCATTATTAAGATGTAAAAACATGCAATCAATTTCTCTTTGATTGTATCTCATGATCATTTCTGGTTCTGTCGTCCCTGCAGACAAAAGCCCGGTGACAGCCCACTCCTCGCCCTCTCCGTCCCCCAGCCCTGACACCCACAGCCCCCTGGAGCCCGTCAGCCTGTCCCTGGAGAGCAGTAAGGAGAACCAGCAGCCTCCTGTGGTGCTGGGGCTGCCTCCTCATCCTGACCACAGCCTCCTCCTGCAGCCGCCCTCCTCCGCTCCGCTGGGCATCCAGGAGCTGGTGGCCATGTCCCCGGAGCTCGACACGTACGCCATCACCAAGAAGGTCAAGGAGGTGCTGACCGACAACAACCTGGGTCAGTCTTTTTACTATTAGTGATATGAACTGTGTCTATGGGAGCATATTACTATCATTATTAACTGCCAGCCGTTTTTGATGATTTCACTGATTCTCAAGACCCACAGAATATTTTGTGCTTGGATTATGTGGAAAATGAAACCAGATTCTAAAACACTGGATTGTCTACTTTCATCAGCAAAAATCCGTTTGCTTTTAGCTATTATTGTTGTCCTGTAATCCCCAGTCGAATAGAGGGAAGTTTGACAGAAATCACCGGTCTCAGACAAATACGTCAATGGCAGTCAATGAGTTAAGATTAAGAGATTTTTTATTTGTCCCACAGTGGAGAAATGTCAGTGTTGCATCAAAAGGTACAGAACAGTAGGAATGAGGATCACACAGCACAAGAAAATGAACTCTATACTCAAATAAAATAGTATAGAATCTCTAACTCTAGCATAAAAAAAGCGGTACAAAATCTCCAACTTTAGCATGATGAAGAAGCAAGCATTATTATTGTTATATATTATTTCAGGTCTCAAACCTCTCACAAATGAAAAGTGCAAAAATGTGTCTCAATTATTATTAAATCAATCAACCAATCAATAAAAATGTATTTATAAAGCGCTTTTCATACACAGAACCTGAAGCTGATTGCAGGTGAAGCACCATCCACCAATGCTTGATGATGATGGCAAGAGATTGTGGGCTAATATTAACGCTCTAATTTTCTCAAGAACACAACCACATGAACCCAAAACGCAATCAGCAATAATTGATTAAAAATAGATAATTAGCCTCTCAGAGTATTATAACAATGACAAATCTGAATTTTGTACAGCGAGATCTACCAGAAAAGAATATCAAAACTCAGGGTTAAAAAAAATTATCCTTTGGTAAAACTACCTCCATATTGTAAAAACAATCATGTGTCAATATAAATATAAAAACAGATGCAAAATATTACCAAACAACATTTCTACCAATAAGTTAAAAATATAGTTGGCCCCCAAATTAAAATGGATTCGATAGCCCTTACCCAGCCAAAAACATGAAAAGGTTTGTTAATTTTCTTACCCAAGTGAAATAGTTTGGGCACCCCAAAGGCAACAAGAACAAACCCAGAGGAATTGAATTGATGAAAGGTCATGCTGTGGAACATTCCTGACATTAGCAGATAACCCTGAGACCAGAGCATTCACATGTGCACTATAACTGTGAAATTCTTCAGATATGCGATGGTTTTTCCCTCTCCACATAGTTTCATCTCTGCTCTACAAAGGAATAAGTCTCTCACTAAAGAAGCCTGCTGTGCCATTGTGCTTCCAGGCCAGCGTCTGTTTGGGGAGACCATCCTGGGCCTGACTCAGGGCTCTGTGTCGGACCTGCTGTCTCGGCCCAAACCGTGGCACAAACTGAGTCTGAAGGGCCGAGAGCCGTTTGTCCGAATGCAGCTGTGGCTCAACGACCCCCACAACGTCGACAAGCTCCGGGCCATGAAGAAGATCGAGAAGAAAGGTGCAATACTTTACTTTAGGTTGAATCATATTTTTCTTCCTCATCCCCCAGTCATGACGAGACAGATGATGTTCACATTAGGACTATAATAAATTAACCAAATGAATGTATTGAAATAATTGTCATAATATTTAGTAATGGATTCATAATTTTTAACACATAAACAACATAAACATGCAGAGAAAGAGTTTTATGACTCAGATAATTCTATGATGGATGGCATGGTGGTGCAGTGGTGAGGGCTTGTGCTTCACAGCGAGAAGGTCCTGGGTTTGATTCAACACCTTTCTTTATGGAGTTTGCATGTTCTCCCCGTGCCTGCGTAGGACTCCTCCATGTGCTCTGGTTTCCCCTACCACTAAAAACATTTACCTTGTAACACCCTGTGCAATCCCTCTCCTACCCCTTGTCTGGGGCCAGGACACCCCCAAAAGAGTTTCTGAAATCTCAGTGGGACTTTTTGTTAATCGTTAATTATCGCCATAGTTCAGATTGAGTTTCTCTGGATGTGACTGTTGTGAGAGACTCATAAAACCATCATTAAGGATTGAATGGTGGAAAACATATTAAATTCACTACTTTTTGACACTCCACTGAACAATATATAGTGGTGTTGACATTGATGTAGCTGATCTCTCACTCTTTATCTAACACAACCTGTTTTGGTCTCTACAGCTTACCTGAAGCGGCGGTATGGCCTCCTGAGCACTGGATCGGACAGTGACTCCCCCACAGCCCGTTCTGAGTGTGTTAGTCCGGCCCTGGGTTCTCTGGACCTCTGCCCCTTCAGTCAGGCTAAGAAGCCCCGGGTGGTGCTGGGAGCAGAGGAGAAAGAGGCGCTGAGGAAAGCCTACCTCCTGGAGCCCTACCCCTCACAAAACACCATCGAGATGTTGGCTGCACAGCTCAACCTCAGGACCAACACAGTCATCAACTGGTTCCACAACTACAGGTGTCTAAACTTTCAAGCACAAATGGATTTAACCTTCAAGAAATCTAAGGGTTTTTTACTGCTAAATTAAAAGCTAAATCAAAAGCAATCAAATGCATCCAAACCCCCAGTTTAACTTTTGCACCAAAAACAGGCTGAAATTTAACAATGAATATTATTCTATGCTTGTTGGATGGAAATGCCATTCCTTTGGCTATACAACGTTGCATATAACCTGCTTTCTTAACTTGGAGAATGTTCTAAAGTGATCGTGCAAGTCATCTCCAGAAAGTTTCTACTCTTCCCCCTGGTGGCAGCATAGGGGATTACAGGCGGAGAGCAGTTGTTTTTTTTCACCCTTCACACTTGTTTCACCATATATTTTCTACTACAGATATAATTTCAATTTCTAAAACATGAAATGAAAAAGTAAATAGTCTCATGAACATCTTTAACGGCCAAATATAAAGCATTATATACTTTTTTCCCCCCATTCAGGTCTCGAATGCGGCGAGAGGTTCTAATGGAGGGCCTACAGGACAACGACACCGACCACCTGAGCTACTCCCCTCCCTCTGACGGCGAGGAGAGGCGAGCCCAGCACCCCTCCGCTCACTCGGGACGTCCCGCCAGTGCTTTCCCCCACGTCAAACAAGAGGACAGGGACGACGAGCGAGTCCAGTGCATCTCCGCGGCCTCGCAGTTCCCGCTAATCAAAACTGAACTCGACGAATCGGTCTCCGCAAGATTATCCGGTCAGAAGCAGGAAGACGCGCCGTCGAAAGCCACGCAGTGTAAATACGAGGGGGACGAATCGGGCAAGTCTCCCGTGGATCCGGTCAGCTTCAAGGCCTCATCCGAACCGTCCCGTAGCAGCCTGGAGGTGTCGCTCAACTCCCCCTCCGCAGCCTCCTCCCCCGGCCTCATGATGTCCGTGTCTCCCGTCCCGTCCTCTTCCGCCCCCATATCCCCGTCCATACCCAATCCGCCGTCGACCAGCACGGACGGGAAAACGAATCGAAGCACTCAGAGACGCAATGAGAAAATGGCAAACCTCAATAACATCATCCACAGGTTAGAAAGGGCTGCCAACCGCGACGAAACGCTGGAATGGGAGTTTTGATTTTCAACTTTATCTCAAATCATGTCTTCAGATAAGTCTACCCTCCAAGACTGAAAATATGTTGGAGAAAAAGGGGTTTGGAGCAAAAAGTCCCTGACAATAACTTTCTGAATTGACAACGTGTTTATAATGATAATAATAATAATATTGCGTTCTGTTTATGCTTTTTTGTTTTTCCTCGTTTTTTTTTTTTTTCATTTGAATATTCGTGGCGGCATTTGCTGTCATGTTTGGACTCAACGTGAAGACTTTTGCAGCTATGGTGTCATGAAATGTACACTGAAGTTCTGTAGATTGCCACTGGGTGAGATTAAAAAAGACCTCTTCGTCTTAAGCCATTAAAAGCACTATATAAAACTATTTGAAAAGAGACATTGACCAAATTTGCTACTTTTTGAATAGTAATTTTTCAGATTTTGTCTGTAAGACCGGACAGTTTAAGTCAAGTAAACATGACATCCTACTACTGACTGAGGGATAGTCCTTTAAGACTCTAAATATCCAACTTCTTGTATGTAAATGAGTTTCTTGGTGATATGTTTTGAACTATTTGTATCTCACGTATAAAATGTGGTTGTACATGTTGTAGAGTTTGTCTGCAATAGCCTTCTCTGAAAAAACTGATGTAGCATGGTACTCACCTGACCCTTTGATCCTCCTGTAGTTAGTCTCACGTGATACTATTGAGAGAGAAAAAAATACACGGAACAAAAATCCTGCAAAAAAGATAAAAAGAAGAAAAAAATCTAGAAAAAAGTAACTGAAGCATAGAAAATGTTTGTGTTTTTTTTCCCCCCGTCCTCCTGTTTACGGATAGGGCCCTTCCTGGTGCTGTTGCTATAGTGATGCAGGAGCACAGTTTACACCTTACTTTACCTCTGAACCCTCTCTGAAGGCACTGGCCAAGACACTCACCACTGGTTTACCTCAGATTCTGTTGACGCACCTCATGCAAATCATATTTATATTATTCTTATTATGCATAAACAGAAACCCATGTATTAATACGTCAATGCGGGGGAGAATACTCAAAAACGTCCAGGTCGCTGAAGGAAAATTACAAAGTAAGAGAGACCTCTGCCAAGGCAATCACTTTATGTATCGGGTAATTGTAAGCTTTTATCCAGACTTGACTTGAATGGAGGATCTTTAGTTCAGGGGTAAAGGTTTTATAAGAATACATCATTGAATCCACTAAAATGTCTCTTTTTTTTCCCTTTTAAATGCAACTTCGACCAGCAATACTCAACAAAGGTGTTGCTAGTTTTTTAAATCATTGAGAAGTATAGTTACTGGTGAAACCTAATTCTAATATTCAAAAGTCCATTTACTTTAGTAATTCAACTTACAATGTGAAACGTATAAATGGCCGACTCTTGACACATGCAGGGAGACGTATAAAGCCTATTTGTTCTAATGTTGGCTGCATGGTGGCAGAGTGGTTAGCGCGTGGACTTCACCAGGTCTTCTTTGTGAAGTTTGCATGTTGTTAAATGGATTGTAAGCCATAATCATCAAATTTCAAAGGCATCAACGGCTTGGCATGTAATGAGTCTATCAAATACTGGTTTCACATTTGAAGTTACATTACAGAAATAAATTAACTTTTGAAGGATATGTTAATTTTCAAACTTTCACCTGAATTTGTATACAAAGCAACACAAACTTGGTGGAGGTCAAAAGTAAAGAAAGTTGCGATTTGTTTTATTGGTTGAATAATGGCAGAGTTAGTCAATAAACATGACTATATAAAATATTATTAGACTAAGCATTTCAGTTCTGCAAGGTAGACCTGGAAAGTCCTCATTTGCCTAAAAACACACTTTATCTCCGACGACATATGCAGGTAACCCATTATATCTTTGACCACTTGTGAATTGTGTCTGTAAAGTTTCTTTGTCATGCTTGCCAAGTTGTTCTTTATGTGTTTTGCCTCGATTTTATACTCCAAACAGTTACCTAGATATTCAATACCTCGTGTATGAGAACTACTTACAGCACTTAGACTTTGATAATTGTGAGGAGAAATCTCAAATATCAACATTAACCTAACTTAGTGTCACAAGTCTTTGCCTTTACTGTTATTGTTGAAGTCAGTAGTAACACTTGCACATGTCTACATAGTTCCGAAGGCTTGGATTGTATTATGTAGAGCTATATATAACACAATTACTAAAATAATAATAGTAATATCTTTCAGTCTTGGAACAAATTGTGCTGACTATATTGAAATAGAGTGTACAGATTTAATAAAACCAAACCCATTGAAGCCAGTTCTGGTCTGGCAGGCTTGCCCACGTTTTAGACCTTCTCTCAGGGTAGTCTTGCTTTTTAAAGCTTTACTGAAACAGTCTGCTCTCCTCGGTAGTGGTGACTATGACAAACATTACGTTGTGTATAAATGATATGTTAAAGGGACTGTCAACGTTGTGCGTATGTTTGAGGCACAACTCGACTGTAATTGATTAAAGACATGTCAAAGTCCAGTGTTGGTCGAAGCAGGATGAGGCTGATGGGTTTAGATCCATAGACTTTGCTCTCTAAAATACTCATTATGTTTTTCTTGGAGCCACTGCAACTTTCTCTGTTTTTGTACAACCATCTTTGTGCATAATTTACTGTATGGGTATATAAGTGGCATTTCTTTTGTGGAGACCTTATCTTCTTATACTCAGTACATGGACATTTGACTGAAAAAGAAATGTATTTATTCTAACATTATCTCATGTAAAGTCACCTCATTGTTTTGCATGCGAGGCCCTCAGAAGGAAACGTGTGTTTTGTGTTGTTCTTGCACAGAGACATTAATCAGCACTTAAATCTTTCCACCCTGCATGGTGCAGCTGATCCATTTGGCGCTCACTATCTCTTGAAAACAGTTTAGACTTGATCCAGTAAGTCTTGAAAATTGAAATTCCTCTTTTTGTGCCATATCAGACGTCTCTGCATTGTCCCTCTGGACTGATGCCTTATGGTACAGTGTGAACTATGTGTTGGGCTCGTTTCAAAGCAAAGCTTTTTCTTAAAGAAGCCCACGCAAAGATGTTTTTATTTTTTAATTGACATGAGTCACTAAATTAAAGGTAATTAGTCATAAACTAATTTGTCTGAATGAACAAATGTAAAATCTTGCCACATGTTAATCACTATGAACATGTTTCCTTTGTAATGTCAGCTGTGATCCAATGAAATATCTTTGAGCTGAAATGTTCGGGGCCATTAAACATGAAACTATGGACAACCGTTTGGAAAATAATTTGCATATGTAAGCCATCATTCAATACATAATTGTTTAAGACTCTGTTGTGTTGGGTTTTCTTTTCATTGCATACACCTTCACCTACACAATGATGCCTAAACACGCATGGTCAAAAAGATAATTATAGCTCTATTAAAACATATACTTCTATAATGTTTCTTGTTTATAATATTAGGCATTACCACAGAGATTAAAACCCATAGGTTTTTAACATAGAATTCTATGACTATAGTTCTATGATGGCCAGAGTCTGGTTTGTTTACAGCTCGTGGTGTTTACATGCCTGTACCACGTGGTGTCCCGCCCCTCCCCCGCCCACAACTCGACGTAATGGCGTCACGCATCACGCTGCCGTTACGTCGGTGTCGGGCTGTAGATTCGCGGTGATGGCGGCGGCTCTGTTTGTCAAAGGGACGCGCTGAAGTGGACATGAAGAGTCTGTTCTGGGTACACGCTGGTTTGCTGCTCCGTAGCTGCACGGACTGTGGATAAATCAGCGGTTCCGGGCTGTCGTGGCGTGTTTTCCGGTGAGTGTTTGCCGGGGGACTTCGCTGCTCGCTGTGTTTTGACAGAGGCCTCGGCTTTGGGGTCCGCCCTCCATCTTCACAACAAAAACACAGGCAGCCGAGAGCTGGGCTAGCTGCGTTAGCCACTGCTGCTGTTAGCACCTCTGCGCCCTCGTCTCCAAGACAAAGTCTTCTTCTAAAAATACATCGATCACTGCTCTCTGTGTTGTTTCAGTGACAGCACCTCAGAAGTCCATGCCTAACTCGGAACCATTATGAGCAGAAAGTGCTAGCGGGTTAGCACAATCGCTTTTATGAATTCAATTGGCTGTAAAGTTATTCGTCAAGACGAGTTTTAATTGAAGTTTCCTACTCATCTTGGATACATTCTTTATGTCTCCAACTTTAACTAACGCAAAAATAATCAACCTAGTTGGTATCATTTATCATAGCCTAGAAGTTAGCGTTACCCGGTCAGTATAATATCTGTGTTTTATCATGCCTTATTTCTCTTTGAATTCAGGAATGACCAATATTATAGTTAACTTTTTCTTGAGAAAAAATATCTATTTCAAAAATAAAATGTGTAAGATATGTTCTCTTCAAGTGAATCACTGAAGGGCCCTAATTAACTTTTTACGTCAACTTTCAAACGTCAGTAATAAACGTAAATTGTATTTCCATCCTTTGAGATGAGTAATCCCTGATTAAGAGTAATATATTGTTAACCTTTCTTTCAAATGCATACCTTGTGCTAGAACGGCACATGTTCAACATTCACCTATGACACCTGCCTTGTCTGACCTGTGTTCTGTTTGTTTACTTTCTGCGGATCCACCTTCCAGCTGTAATCTGAATCTTGCTGTAGCTGCTGGTCGTCTTCTATAAAGAAGCAGAAGTACATAGTACATAAACAACCTCTGGTATAAAATCAAAATGACTTTTTAAGCCTGTGATATTGGTATTCTGTCATGGGACAGGAGTAACGTTAAGGCTGTAAGGGGCTTAGCTCTCTCTGAGCTGGATCCATGGGTCATAGCTGTGGTAAACACTGCTGTGTGCTGCTTGCAGATAGACTTTATCAGGTGGAAGCAGCCGTCACTGTGACTGTTTCTGTGGCTCAATGTCAAGTACCTAATGCTCCACACCCCTTCTGACCCGCACACAGGTATTAAAGGCATTGCTTAAGTCACTGGAATTGAGGCTACTTTAATTTTCACACTGAAATGAGATGCTGCATCTTACATTATTTTGAAAAAGTTATACAACTTCTGAATACATTCATAGAAATACATAGTAATGTACTGTTTATAATACAATTATTTAAAACTTATCACCTTTTCAGATGAGCAGGCGTTGTTTACATTTGCAGCTTTGCCTCATGCATCTGCAGTATGCAGTAGAAATGGTCATGACTGTCTGTGCTGAGTTTTAGCCTCTGACCCTGGTCTTCTCAAATATCCAATCTCTCTCTCTCTCTCTGAGATAATAGTGGTAGGACAAGCCTAATGATAACCTATAGAGATATGTATACCAGCCACAAATACATGTTGAGTCATGTACTTAATATTACAAGAGCTGCAGATGCAGTTACGACAGGCAGGTGGAAGGAACCCCTTGTTTTGTGAAAGGATCGGTCTGGGGTAACGTAGGTCTTGCTCCACTGACCTGCCTGGATCAGGTTTTCAAGGATGACCTCTGGCCTCATTTTTGGGCTGTGCTTCAGCAGAGTTCCCCTGAGCTGTGGTCTGTATCTACGGCCAGTGTTTTTCCTGGGGTTCTGTACAATTCCTCCCCACCTCATGTCGCTGATGTGGATATAATTCAGTCCATTCTATGCATGTTTGTTGTGTAAACCAGCTTTTTTTTCTGCATTGTTATTTATATCTGTAGGTTAGCCATAAATTATGTTTATTATTTCTAAAACCACATGTCTATGGCGTAAGTACTCATAACATCTTTCAGTTGATGGAAATTATTTGTATTCATTTTTTTTAACTTGTATAAGTTCACATGAGAAGGAACCACAATGACTGAAAAGTAGCTGCAGGACTAAATTTGCCCCAGAATCAAAAGCCTCAGTGTTGCTCTTCAGAGACTGGCTGTTCAAAAATGCACTCTTGTTTGTTTGTGAGTAAACAAAACTTGTTTTTTGTGCAGATTTTCATGTCTTACTTGTGAGAGGCCGGACTGAACACCGCAGGACTCCAGCTTCATAACTGAGAATCTACGGTCAGTCATTACATTTGTTGTAACAAATAACTATTTTTATGTTGTTTTTGTGCAATTCTTTAAAGTTATATATACATCTAGTTGATTTGTGCTTAAAGCAGATACAACTGCAACTTCCTGCTATATAATTTTAACCTATGACATCCATGGCCTGTTGTTTAATATCTAGTACATTTGAGATCTCAAAATATTGATCCAAAACCATATTTATTACTATTAGTTATGGGTTATCTTTTATCCCCTTGTACTGTTTAACAAAGAGAAATTTGCCTATCATTCAAAATGGTAACTTAACTACGACATGTATGAATGAAACTGAAGCCCGACAATAAACTTAGCTATTCTTTTGTTATGTTTTGTGCAGACTGGTGAAGGTCGGCGTTCCTCTCCGGGTGACCCACTCCCTCAAAGGGCCATGGTAAAACTTTATTCATGTTGTTATCCGTGTTTGAGGTTAGACTTTTCAAGCGCTCAAACAAACTTCTTTCATTGTGGGCTGCTACTGGAAAGATCCTCTTTGAGATTGTTCATACTCTGTGGTTAATAATCTCCACAAAACTTGGCCTTTTTCAAACTCTATGTCTTTGCCTGCCGAACGCAAACAGCCTCTGTTTATAGTGCACTGATTGGGATGTTTTTACATCACTGCCGAATATTTTGACTGCTTCTGGAACTTGCCTCTTCTATCACTTTTTTGTCAGGATTATTCCCTATGCACAGTTTTTCAAGTAAATCCATGGTCTGATCGGAAACTTTCCATGGATTTCCTGTTGTAATGAGTGCTGTAGAGCAGGAAGCACATGACCCAGTGGCTTCAAAAGTCAATGGTCTTTCTGATGTAACCCTAAACAAATCCATGTGTGATTGAGCCGGTTCAATGGGTCTGGCCCCAAATGTCTGAGGCCACTGTGCACAGACAAGAGTTCTGCCGAGTCGCACATTCACTCCTCTGTCTGGTTGCAGCTGCAGTTCAGCACCATCCTCTGATCACCATTATTGATGCATGTAAAATGTACTTGAACTTGTAGTTATATGTTTATCTTTTTGAAGCATCTGCACTGTATTTCTAAACAACAGACAATGATGAAAATTACATCTAAAAGACACAAACTACATACAATTGAGAGGCGTTTTTTTACAGTGCTTATGACGTAGGCCTTGCATCGTCGCCTCATGTGGCAAAAACCTTATCCAAAATATTACTGTGCGTCTGTAAAGTATATTTCTGAGAGCTATGCAGGTGTGGCTCACTCACAGTACACATGGACCGAGTGTCCACGAAGGTCTCATCAAACATCCATCACCTACGCTATCCTTGGCTGTAGTTAAAAATACATTACCAGATACACACATCTCACAGTGAAATAAGAAGTTCTAAAAATTATGTTAGTTGACTACCATAACATTTCTCATTAAATTGTTTTCAGAATAATTATCCAAATTTATACATTTTTTTTTTCCCGTTACACTAATTAAAAGGTCAATGAATTAAAATGTGTGATTCATTTGTGATTAATCATGAGTTGACTGACTTTCATGAGATTTATCTCAAATAGAAATGTTTAATCGATTGACGGCACTAGTTTTTGCTTTGCGTTTTGATTTTGGGGCAGTAATGTAATCATACTCTAGAGTCAGCTTTTTCCAACAATTGCTGTCACATGGCGTCTGGGACAAATTATTGACTGAATATGGAGCTTTGGCAGACGGATACATGTTGAATAATCATTGAAATCATGTCTCATTTTACACTTTCCAGCAGCTAATGCTATAGACTCCATAAACAAACATTTGTTCACATTTTTCTAACGTTAAGGGGTATATTCATCAGGGGTTTGCATGTGTGAAGAAGTGATCAGAACCCTTAATATTGGAGCCAACTAAATGATTACTCAATTTTGCCCCTGGATCAATAAAAAGAGAAACATTTGAAGTAGTTGGCAAATGATAAATGACACCATTCATTAAATGTAATATAGTGTTGGGGAGCTACATCTCAGTTTGAAAAAGTCTTTTCCTCTCCCCTGAAAACATTCCTTGAGATGCGCTCTTAGATATGAAGCAGTCCATTGTCTGCAGCAGCTGAATCCTCATATTTCCGCACCACTTTGCCCTTGAGTCAAAACCCAGAGCTCCAGTCTCAACATTCTTAACTCCGAGACTATTGCATAAGGTCAACCTAGAAAATGTAACTGGTATGTTCGGAATCTACAGCATATTGTAAACGGTATGATAGTGTGCCAATGACACCAAAATGAAATTAGAAATCGCCCACAGATGCCACAACGCCTAGTCCTGTGTTGTTTACTGTTGGAACGTCCTCCAGGCGGGAGCTGTGTACTGCGCAATCATCGCCAGTAACATTTATATTGCACGATTTAATTGGCAAAAGTGACACAGTAATAGAAGTACTGTTAAAGAATACACTGAGTTAAGTTGGTGAGTTGTTCTATCATACAGTATATATATATATATATATATATAATGTATGACAAGGACAATTATCTTGTGGTAAATGCTCCATTAAATTAAACAATATTACATTATCATTTTCATTTTGATTTCACCCCCAGTTTCCTGTGCTACATGACCTCAAGTTTCCATGGATAGTCACTCGCATTGCGTTCCGTAGATTGTGACTGAATGTATGGGTCATTGATATACTGTTCACATCCATGTTTTAGCAGAAACTCCACTGTACAAATACAAGGCGCTCGTGTAAAGACTCATCAAAGACTCTCGATAGTTCCCTGGGAGCTGCTCTGTCTGAGAATGATTAACTATCTCACGCAAAATAAAAATACAATTTGTATTTATATTTGAACTTGATTAACTGAAGATCATTCAAATCCCAGTACATTTACACACACATTTAACCTGTACTTAGTTTAATTCTCAAAGTTTGTGTGAAATGGCTTTCTGGACAAACAGCTGAGCCCATTCAGCGCAGTCACATGTTTGCTCCTGCTGCTGTGGTGTATTTAACGTGTACTTTCAGCCATGTAGGAAACCACAGCACAGATATGATCACTACTTCCTCTTTCAGATTCACCAGTCAAGAGTCCGTTAGGCTACATCAAAGGAATTTCTGAATAGTCATATACTGGATATAGATAATGTATGTATTTGTTTATAGACACTTTTATTGTTATTTCTTTATTTATATTTCACAGACCAAGTTCATACATAGCTCTTTAAATTGTTTTATTGTACCAATTTGTTATTTATGATTAACAATATCATACATACTTGCAGAGCCTTGCGAAAGTATTCGGCCCCCTTGAACCTTTCAACATTTCGCCACATTTTAGGCTTGAAACATAAAGATGTAAAAATTTAATTTTTTGTCATGAATCAACAACAAGTGGGACACAATCGTGAAGTGGAACAAAATTTATTGGATAATTTAAACTTTTTTAACAAATAAAAAACTGAAAAGTGGGGCGTGCAATATTATTCGGCCCCCTTGCACTAATACTTTGTAGCGCCACCTTTTGCTGCAATTACAGCTGCAAGTCGCTTGGGGTATGTCTCTATCAGTTTTGCACATCGAGAGACTGGAATTCTTGCCCATTCTTCCTTGCAAAACAGCTCGAGCTCAGTGAGGTTGGATGGAGAGCGTTTGTGAACAGCAGTCTTCAGCTCTTTCCACAGATTCTCGATTGGATTCAGGTCTGGACTTTGACTTGGCCATTCTAACACCTGGAAACGTCTATTTGTGAACCATTCCATTGTAGATTTGGCTTTATGTTTTGGATCATTGTCCTGTGCATTCTATTTATCATCATCAGTCATTTAGGACAACATTGGATCATTCAAAGATCCTCACTGAACTTCTGGAGTGAGTTTGCTGCACTGAAAGTAAAGGGGCCGAATAATATTGCACGTCCCACTTTTCAGTTTTTTATTTGTTAAAAAAGTTTAAATTATCCAATAAATTTCGTTCCACTTCACGATTGTGTCCCACTTGTTGTTGATTCATGACAAAAAAATTGAATTTTATATCTTTATGTTTGAAGCCTGAAATGTGGCGAAATGTTGAAAGGTTCAAGGGGGCCGAATACTTTTGCAAGGCACTGTAGATGTTACTCTAAAAATTTGAAACAAATATTTGAACACAATAGAAATTGACCTGGGAATCTTATTTCGCCAGTGGATATTCTTAAGGTGGGGGTAACCCGAAGTGCCCGGAGGAAGTCCACCACAGAAAAGCCCGGCTGACGCGAGAATCAAACCCACAACCTTCTCGCTTAGTGACCACTGCTCTATTTGTAGAAATGCAAATTATTTACAAGTATGAGGCTTTGGCCATGAGCAGAGCTGTGAGAGCTCTCCTCGCTCGCCAGGGTGTGTTACTATGGCAACATGTCATGCTACTCTATCGCAGGTGCACCTGTGCTTGCTCACTTAGGAGCAAAATCCGAAATGTCAGTTTTGGTATTTTTTATGATATTGTCTTTGGTCATATTTATTTCAGTCAAATTTATGTTTACGACTAGCTATGATTTTGTTTGTCTATGAGTCACGATCGATCGATATATTCATATAGTGTGATTGTTCATGATCAAATGTTAAAGTTTAAAGCTGGGTGGTATCGAAAACTTTCCAAACACTGCCTCATATCAAGTTTTTTTTGAGCCACATCATAGGTTTTCTCCATAATCAGTAATCTTGCTTCATACTGACAGACAGAAAATAGTCAATATCAGTGTCTGCCCTGAGTGCCTTTAAAGAATATTTTGTAGATATTTGGCACTGCACCATCTTTTTCTTTGGGGGAACAGCCCAATGGAAGTTCAGTGATATAGTATGTGTGTAAAAGTGAAACATCTGGTTGGTAAATGTTTTCTTGAGTTTGCAAGTTCTCACATGCCACTTTCATCTGCACACGTCCTTCTGGATAACACACAGCTGTCGTTCTTTGCTGTTCGAAGGCTGCTGTTAGGGTTAAGAGTGACAGGTCTGATTTGTGCAACGGTTTGATGTCTTCTCACTGAACACACTTGTATGTTTCTGTGCTGGGACCGCACAATACTGTAAATAATAACAGTGCAATAAGTGTTGTCAAGGACTGCAATAATAATGTACACTGCGTTTCCTAAAGAAAATACATTTGTCTGAACCAAGTTTAACTTGTCTGTGGCTTGTTGGCAAATAGCAAAGCCTCTCCTTTGGGGTTATGTGTGATTGGTCAAAGTAAAAACATGCTTAAGCATGAAAGAAACGCTTTATGTATACCGTTACATTAAATTATTCTAAGTTAATTGAAATTTTAATTCCAAACTTAGCTTTAGTAGTGTTTTTCACTTTGGATTTGAAATGGAGCAATTGTCAGATGTGTTAAAGCCACTATGCTGTGGCTGATGCCCTGAACATATCACATTGCTTCTCTGGCAATGGCAACACACACACTGTATGGAATCTTGAACCTGCTAAAGCAGGATATTTATCTGCCTGAAGCCCTTTGTTTCTGAGAAAGACTCTCTCCTTGCACACTTGAAGATGAAGCTTTGATGTTAGGGACCGAATTGCTTTCATATTTAAAAAAACGCAATACATCAGTATTTTTTCCATCTCAAGTATATTTGTGTTGTGTGTCTACAGGAGGAGGAGGCCCAGCAGAGTCTGGAGTGTATCCAGGCCAATCAGATCTTTCCCAAAAAGTTACCCGTTCTGGAGGAGGAGAACATGCAGGTGAGACTGGAGCTCACAACCTCATGTGTGAAGATGTGATCGATGATGGCTGGAATAGTTACAATTGTAACTATTGCAGGGCTTAAAGTTTTCCGGCACCGTGCCGGAAATCCGGCGTGAGAAAAAAAAAAAAAAAACATCACTTTTTTTTTTTTTTTTTTTTTTAATATATATATAAATAAATAATGATTGCTGTCATTTGAAAAAAGGTTCAAGTGTGTTCTACCAATTGTATGAAAGGATTGCATGTGTATAGCGCAGGGATTAAAGAGTTCCGTCTAAGTGACGGATTTCCGTCAAATGAAATTGGTCTGAAAAAAAAACAAAATATATAATAATAATATAATACACACAATGAAATGGTTAATTATAACAAAATATATAGTAATACGTGTGAATCTTTTGTATATATCTAGATATATATTAATAATTTGAATATAATTGTATTTATATGTATATAGAAATAAAAAGTAACGAGTGGGCCTTGAACGTGCCGTGGCTAGCTACATGAGCGCTCCGTAAATGATTCAAGGCAATGGGACGTAGCCAAGTTAGCGATGGTAACACGGAGGTGAAAGTTTCTGAAAAGTGCACGGAGCTTTTGAAAAGGAGAAGAGGACACGGAAAATGTAATCCCGAACGGAGCAATAACAGCCAGCAGCCCGCGGACCGGTAAACTGGGCGCGTTATCAGAGGAAAGGTAGGACATAATTAACGTTTACCAAACGCAATGCTTTTTTATTTAACGGAATGTACAATATGTACTTTGCTGTGACTGGGAATGGGGACAAGCATGTCTTGGTGAGCTTTTGATAATATCTTGGTGGCGATCCCCATGCAAAACTGCGTGATAAAAAAGCCAATCAACGAGAGCGAACGGAAGAAACTCGCTGAAGAAAGGTGTGTGTTAGCAGGTCTTATATTCATTCATCAAAGCTAGCCTAGCATGCACGCACAATCACAATCATGGATCGTTGTTTATGGAAGAAGGAGCAGTATAAGTTGCTGTTGATAACGGAGTGAAAAATAAATGGAGGTGGGCATGGCTGGATGAGGTGGAGACGATGGGATTCTGTTGCTTCATGGTGCAAAAAGATGAAGGTGTCCGGTGCTTGTTCGTACTTCGCTATTATTATTTTTTTATATGGGAGTAATGAGAAAACAGCTTTGGATTCACCACCAGCTCAAAACTGCGCACTTGGCAGCTGTCCGTGCACTTTCCCACACTTCTTTACCTGGTGCATCAGATTCAGCGACAACTGAGACTAGGCTTGCTCTGGTGGACTGTGTCTGTGACCTAAAACTATCTGTGGCTTTATCGCAGAAAATAACCTGTCGTTCAGAACCATCACTACCGCTGGTAGATTTAATTATCATTAATCATTTGCAGTTGATAAAACTGCGCTGTGCACTAGCACCAAGTTGATAGGGAAACCTTTTTCTTAAACATTGAGTGTCCACAAACAAATGTGGACAGAATTTTGAATGTCCTTTTGCGATATTTTGACGAGGACAGAGCCAAAGGACAACGCCTCATCTCGCCTCAAGTAAAGCCAATGATGCAGATGAACTACTCTTACTAATATTCTGTCAAAGAGTTGACAAGTTGCTTGATCCACTGGTTGTAATTTCACATCAAAATACACCAGTTTAAATGTATATCTTTGAAGAATTCGTTTGATCTGTAATTCATTATATTTCCATGAGAAAATTTTCAGTCAAATCTTTTTTTTTTTTGCTTTAACCCCTGGATGATGTATTTATTGCCAACAACTGATGTTTATAATAAACATCAGTTGTTGGCATTAAATAGATATAAATTATATGTATGAGCGTATAAAGGCGCTTATAAAAAACGCTTATTAGTGATCATTCTATGATTCATATAGATGGTTCAGGCTCAGGAATTTTTTCAACTTTAACCCATGCTATTGTATTGTAAAATTGTACAATTGTGGCGGCAATCTCTGATTGGATTAAAGGGTAGAAAATGGATGGATGGATGGATAGTTACAATAATCAAGTTTAAGGAATTCGTTTACTCACAGAGAGTCTCATTAAATATAAATGTTACCACTTCAGACTGTCTTCACTGATCATATCATCTACAGTAGTTTGGTGAAATGTTTTTGTCAAACAGTCGTGTCTGTCGCACGTCTCTGTGCTTCTGTGTGTGCATGTCTGTTTGTGTATGTGCTCTTTTACAGTATTTATTTTCTGCAGCGATGAACTATAGAAGGCTACTTGGATTTGGCAAATTAAAACTACTCTTCGACTTAAAAAAAAAAAATCTAACTAGTTCCTAGCTCTCAAATCAGTTTGGGCACATCGCTGCCTGCATGATTTCTGGCCTTTTGTTCTATTCCCAAATAGATATTGGGGATTTACACACAACAAATTTGTCAAATATCCGGACGCCTGTGCTTTTCACACTGAGGGACTGAAGTCTCAAAATGACCCGGCAATTGAACCTCCCCATTTTTTATGCCGGAACATGATGTGATGACATATGCACTGAGGACACAAGCCACACAAGGAGGCAATCGCATTACCCTTTGTCGGGGTAAATATCCAATATTCTATGGAGCCAACTAATATGAACACTCAATGACTGCTTACAAATGTATGTATATTTGGCTAGATTATGAAAATGCTAAGTCATCATTCACCTAATGCAAAACCTGCGGAGTCAGTTTTTATCTCCCCCTGAGCCCTCTCTCCCCTGGCTCCCCCCTCTCCACCCCCTCCACTCTGGCCACAGCACTGTCGGTGGTGAGTCACTGTGTAGTGTGTTACATAATCACTGTGTGACTGACTTCACTTTCATTTTGCCCAGACACTCGAGTTTCAAAGGTCAGCAGCAAAGGAAGGTGTTTGTTTGAGCCTCTGTGACGCAATAAAACACAACTCATGCAGATAGTGTTATCCAAAAAGTGGGTCGGCAGCTGTTCATATCAACCCAATATTCTAAACAAAAAACATGTTAGGTTTGACAATATTCTGAAAAAAAATGTCAACTAATTTTTAAACACCATGGATAGATAATGATACACCTTTTTAAACTGTTGGACAATAATAACTGTTAAGCTATATAAACTATGTCACATATGATCATTGTCTTCAACGTTGAAAGTTTTTTTTTCAATATGTTTTTTTAACTTCCAGTGAGTGAATGAGATCTATAAACAGTTATAAAGGTGGAAAGTCTATTTTCCAAGACCATATTTTCCTTGAGGCCCTCCTTCTGCTTGTTTCCACTGAAACATGGTTCTTTTGGCTATAACCCTCTAAGGTCCGTCTTCATCGTAATTGTTCCAAAGTGCTGTTTATATTTTCATGAACACATTATAGAACTGATGAGTCAACTAATTATGCATCAAATTAATAACATTGGCCTGTTGGATGGTTTTGTTGGATTAAAAATGTCACTAATGAAACCGACAGAGATGGGATCATGGTGCACCTAAGCTCTGGAAGTTTATTTAGGCTTCTCTCAGGTTCCAGTGGTTTCAGTTTTTTCAGACAGAATAAAGGCAGGACATGATTTATATAGTCATTGTTACGTCAAACATTGAAAGACATAAGTGTCACATCAGAGACACTCAGAGCATATTATAGTCCTAACATGGATACACAATCAGAGTCCTAGTAGAGTCTAGCAGTTGTCCACCTGGTAGGTCATATAGCTATCTAATCCTAATAAAAAGATAAATAGGTGAAGTGTGGGGACATCCAATGAGGCCCCATTTAGACGGAGACTCTGCAGAGACGCTGCAAAGCAATTAGCAAAAACGACCAGGCCACACGACAATGTAGTAGTTGTAATGTTCTAGTACTGACCAGTAGTGGAACTTTACAACACAACACGCGTGACCCCCAGCAGTGTAATCAACAACATCCTCCTCGGGCCACTGCAAAATGGGAAAGAATGCATCAACATCAGTTTATATTTAACAGCAGCAGCAAAAATGGAAACTGAAGCTACAGCGTCACGTTGTTTTGTTTGGACGAACAAAAGAGTAGAATTCACTTCTGTGTAGCGCTCGAAGCACACGTAGCATTAGTTGCGGGGAAGTGATGAGGTCAAAGCAGGCAGAGAATTCACATATTTTTCTTCACACGGCTGTGCATCTGTTCTGTTCCACTCTGGAGGCTCAAAAAGTTATTGGAGGATTTGGGCTAAATCTTCAGGAAACGCGTGCATGGCCTAGCGAACAATTGATTCCATTTGGATGCAGGAATTTTCTAAAGGAATGGAACTTTTCTAGTTATTATTATTACAAAAATGTCTGTAAATAATGTATTACCCCTCCCTCCTGCTCTCCCTTGCACACTTTCAGACTCTGCCTCCTTCTCCTCTGCACAGGTGCCCTTTCCACAGTTGCATGGGGAGTTCACGGAGTATGTGGGGAGGGCGGAGGACGCCATCATCGCCATGTCTAACTACCGCCTCCACATCAAGTTTAAAAAGTCCGTTGTCAATGTGAGTAACGTCCAAGTGCTACTGCTGCCCAAATTAAACAAGAACCCACTATGTTGTGTTGACTGGAGCTGGGTGAATGTGCTTTTGATGCTGGTGTGAATGGACAGGGCCGGGGCCTATTGTGTTAAAGCTGATGTGACATGACCACACACAAATCATTCACTGTGGCTTTTGCTCATTGTTTGAGTTGCTATAGTAACAGCTGTAGAACACGAACTAGTCGAGTCCTTTTATACTCCTGGTTCCTAAATAATGCGGCATTCTCAGGTTGACTAGTTACACTGTTTACATTAGTTTAATTATTGAATAGGACTGCTGCACTTACTGATGATCGGCTAGTATTGCACTTAAGTTGTTAGAAAGTTTCAGATTTATACAGTGCATTCAAATGTATTCTGAAAAAATAAGGGACTTTTTTAAGTTGTAAAACTAGAAACAATTTGTGTCTTAGTAAACCATCAAATGCTGGTGACAGACTTCAGTAAGCAGGCATTAGGCAATCAGACCATTTACGTGTTCCAAGGGATATAACTTCCCAGTTACTCCCAAGGCCTGTGTTTTCAGTAAACTTGAAACTATCAGCGTTTGTCTTTATGTATTTATTACATTGATATAGCATGTTTAAGTTCCTCTTTACTCTGTACCTTTGGGGAAACATATTGCATTGATTGAATTTTGAGAAGCTCTGACAATTTTCATACTCAATAAAATGACTGCAACGGGAATCAGCCGTGCATTCGATCCCATCACAGTGAGGCCTCCCTAATTGTGATATTGTGGATACTTTGTCACACCAGCCACACAAAAGTAGTTTGACAGTAACTGGCTCTGTAGTCCAGCGTGACCTCTCCAGCCCTTCAATCATGTCAAACATTTGGCATCTCTCAGCGGAGCGATCGTGGGCGGGACGTGCTAATGGAGAGGCTGTTAACAAGCTACACAGGAATTTAGACGCATAGTAATCCGCCTCGTACACCACTTTAGTAAAAACACACAAATTATATCACTCTTGCTAGAAATGTTTGGATTTTGACTGTTGTCTTTTATTTTGGACAGAATTGTTGTTGTGATTTGTCAGTAAGTACGACAAAGCTGCACGGCCTTGGAGTGATACAAGCCTGCTAACATTTTATGTCCCGTTATCAATTATTGTTTAAATATGGGCATACAGGGAAACTAAAAAGGGTACCAGTGTCTTAAAAGAGAACGTGTTTATATATGGCTATCAGGATAAAGCAACATGAGGACCGTTGCCATAGTGACTGAAACAATAATATATATTTGTTTAGGTTTTTTTAGTTTTACTTTGTCTTTGACCTGGTTTTACTGGTCTTATTGGGCTGGTGCTGGGTTAGACCTGGTTTCCTCTAGTTTAATCATCCAATTCAGGTTCTGTATTGCTTTCGGCATTCTGGAGAGATTTGTTGACAAACTGTTCTCATTAGTGGCTTAGGATTTTGCTTGCTACTCCAATTTGTATTGACAGTGGTGGAATGTACTTATAAAGGAGTTTTGTGGATTTGTATAATATTTTTTTCTGCCATGTTGACACTAAAACTTCCTCTCACTCATTTGTAATGTGAAATAGTATTGAGGCGTGGTAATTTGCTGAGGCATGACTTTGGATCGTGCCAAAGTAGAAGCGTGCACCCCTCCCTCTGCATGTGCTGGGTAATTAACAGCTTTGGTGGTATTCAAAGCATGCGTTTGATTTGACTGCGCTGTAAAATAAGGCCAGGTATTATTTGCTTAGTGGTTATATTAACAGTGCCCATAATAAAAATACATAAAAGGTCAACTTCATTTTACTGTGGTGCTACTTCAAAGAGTAATGGGTATCGTTCCACCGCATGCCTGTTTCTTTGTTGCATCTAATTCTTGTGGTTGCCGCGATGCTGATGCTCTCTCTTTGCCATTTCGCAGGTTCCTCTTCAGCTCATCGAGAGCGTGGAGTGTCGAGATATGTTCCAGCTTCTTGTCACCTGTAAAGACTGCAAAATCGTCAGGTACATTCCGTCTAAGCATGAACACTGTCCTGTCCTGTTTAATACTAAGAACGTCTTGGTCACAAATACATTTCTATGTGACATTTTGTGAACAAATCAGACCACAACATCAACAGGCTTTTATCTAATTAGGAAACATGTTCTCTTTTGCATGTTGAGAGCTGATTGGTGGAGGGAGAGCTGGTCCTCTGATCTGAAGATGTGATCGCGGCCAAAGATAAATTCACATGAAAACGAGTGATAAAACCAAACAGCCAGTAAATAGTTTTGATCAGGATCAGAATTGTTTTTATCTATGTATTACTTGCATTGCAGTAAAATACACAACATTTTATACTTGCTCCTTATTATTGGGTTTTTGTACTTAAGTCTTGCTTCATCATCTTGCATCAAATACAGAGATTTTATACAGATTTTTATGCAAGTTTAGTATAGCGTTATTATTCATTTATAAAGGATTTCTCAATCTCCTATGTATGTAACAGGAAGTGAGAAACTACACATTGACTTTGGTGTTAAGTGTAAACAAGTTATGAAGGCAAGCATAAAAAATCTTAACAAAATTGTAATTTATATATATATATACAAACAATAGATTTTATTAGGTGAATTAGTTGTGGTTTCACGGTGAAGTACCACTGGTTGAATGTATTATTCTTTTGGTTTTGCTTCCTTCCTGGCTCAAATTTCAGGAGTTATTTGTGGCACTTTGGAGCTCACGAAAACTCTGCACTCCTTCATGGCTCAGTGTCTAACGGCTCTAAACTGTGTTGTCAGGTGTCAGTTCACCACCTTTGAGCAGTGTCAGGAGTGGCTGAAGCGTCTGACTGTGGTGGTGCGGCCCCCAGCGCGCCTCCAGGACCTGTTCTCCTTTGCCTTCCACGCCTGGTGCATGGAGGTGTACGCTGGGGAGAAGGAGCAGCATGGAGAGCTGTGTCGACCAGGTAGACACACATTTACAGCTGTGTCCTCTGCATCCCCTGCTTTAGACCGGTCTCCAGGCAACGGTCTCCCTCATCTGCGTTCAACATCAGTGTTTTTATCACTATGGAGACCAACACTCTGATTTTTGTATAAAATATGTGCCATTATAATGTACTGAAGCTTTCAATAATGAAAGCAATGCTTGGAATTAATGAAGTATAGGCCTATATCATCCGTCAGTTATCAGCGCCGGGCCCTCCTAAAGATTAGCCCTCATAATTTTTTTTAAAATCCAAATTTCTTGTTGTGAAACGGAGCGCCTTTGGGATTTTATGTTTCACACAATAACCATGATGGAAACAGAACAGTCCATTCTTCCTAAACGTGTGCCTACTGAATATACTCAATATGTCATCATGTGTGCCCAGGGGAACATGTGACTTCTTGGTTCAAAAATGAAGTGGAGAGAATGGGCTTTGACACTCAAAACGCCTGGAGGATAACGGACATCAACAGCAAGTTCAGGTAAAACGGCAATAACTATTAATAGTCAAATATGTTAGCATGTAAATGAAACTGGCTACGACTATTAATCGTATCAGGAGTCATTTCAGTCCTTGAACCCCTTTTCCCCAGGTTCACACACAGTCGGGCTGTTGAGTAGTGTCTGAGCTCTTGTTTGTGCTCTGTCTCAGGCTCTGTCCCAGTTACCCCCAGCAGCTCCTGGTCCCGGCCTGGATCACAGACAAAGAGCTGGAAAACGTGGCAGGCTTTCGCTCCTGGAAGAGGTTTCCGTCTGTGGTGTACAGGTCGGTGTGCTGCGTGTCGGTCCAACCACTTACACTTTCATTGGCCTCCTGTGGCTTTTATGTATCTGAGGGGATTGCAGCCCTTAAGCTGAGAACTTATTTAGTGTTTAAACAATGTAGTGTATCCTTGCTCTGGAAACCATTACAACCAATGTACTACTGGTTCTCAGTACTAGTCTGACATTGTTTTATTTTAATTACACCCAATTTGATATATTTATTATTGTTCTTGAAATTAACTGCTGAAAGACGATAGATTGTTAATTTATTATTCAAGGTACTAGTTATTGCATTAATGTCAACAACAAACCTTTCAACCGAATTCCTGATAATTTCCCATCTTCCCACAGACACCTAAGCACTGGTGCAGTTATCGCCCGCTGTGGTCAGCCTGAGGTGAGCTGGTGGGGCTGGAGGAATGCGGATGATGAACACTTGGTGCAGTCCATCGCTAAAGCCTGCGCTGTGGACGGATCCTTACGAAAACCTGTCACCAACGGAGTCCACAGCAACGGCACCGAGCTTTGCGACACAGACTTTGGTGAGAAATGGCTTTGGAACCATTGTTGACATTTTTAAAGACCCAGCAGTATTCATTATTGATGGAGGCCTTTTCATTTCTATAATACATAGAAGTTCATGTTCATTTAAGCAACACAACCAGTTGGGGTTTTTCAGATGTGACACTGGTATTGAATTTTGATGCCAATCCGAGGAAATTAGCTGGATCTGATTTTGTTTTTGTGATATTGAATAAAGTCATATACAGTTGTTTTTAATTGCAGGATAAATAACACAATAGTTGTTTATGTCTGCAGATATAAAAAGACATTGTATTGAAATCAGACGTGAAAAAATATTTTGTTTTCTTCTGGTGGCCAAATTCAAACTGTAACTCCTCAATGAGTGATGTAAATACCCTAAAAAATGGCACAGTGGCTGAGTGGTTAGCACTCTTGATTCTCAGTAAGAAGGTCCTAGGTTAAAATTTTGGTCAGAGCAGTGCCTTTCTTAGTGGAGTTTGCATGTTCTCTCCATCTGCATCCAGGTGTTCGGGTTTGCCCTATCACTAAAACATATACAAGAGGAAATATAAACTTCTGGAGATGGGCCCCAGACGCTGTTCTATGGCAACCACTGCTCCTGACAGAGGCCCTGGCCTATAGTGGCCATGAGGGATGAGTCAAATGCAGAGGACAAATTTCCCTAAGGGGACAATAAAAGTGTAACTTCACTTAAGTTACGTAACTAAACAATTACTATGAAGGTTCTGTTCTTTGCAACACACTGGTTCTGCGGTTTAGATTTGTAGCAGACGGTGTTGTGCAATATGCCGTGTCACAGCACGTCCTCCCCACGGGCAGAGCGGACGATAAAGACTGAAGAATTTCACCATGGGCCTGATTTGTGAGAGGAGCTGGGGGTGTGGCTGCTTCCTGTCACCTGAAACGTGCATGACATAATTGAACTTTCCCCACTGCTCAGGGAGACTTACATTGTGTGTTTTACTGACTGTATCGTTGCCAATCCTCTAATGCATCCGCAGAAACTGTAAGGAATGATATATTATGTGTGATCATCAAAAAGCATTATGCACTATTATTGTAAAGCACAATGAGCAACACTTTAAATCACTTGTTCTGTATATTTTTACAATACAGCTCATGCTCTAACAAATGTAATGTGCTCTAAACTCACATAAACAGTACATTTAGGTTGAGAGTAGATTGCAGTTAATATTGGCACTATTTACTAAAGGTTCATACTGTTATTTCTACAGGAAAAAGAGCTTCTCCAGAGCCTTGATTCTGAGAGTAAAAGTGAAGACTATCGTGACCAATGCAGACACTTTGGAGTGGGCCCTGATCCACTAAACCTGTGTTTGCTCCTCTGCATTTTAAAGTGACTCACTACCATTATCAAATATCCTTAATACTGATTCTAGATTAAGAGATCCTTTATTTGTCCCACAGTGGGGAAATTTCAGTGTTGCATCACAAGTAATAGAACAGTAGGAAAGAGGAGCACACAGGACCCGTTAACTGAACAATAGCTGTACTATTTCAAAGAAAACAAAATCTCTAACTCTAGCATCTATAATAAGTATAAAAACTCTATCTCACTAGGTTAGATCCTCCAGCTCTGGTCCTGACCAAGCCGAGCATCAACATCTGGAGATGGCTTCCCGGGCGCTGTTACTACGGCGACCACTGCTCCTGACGTAAGCCTTAGCGGCATCAGGATGGGTCAAATGCAGAGGATGAATTGCCCTATGGCGATTAATAAAGTGCACCTTTACCTTTACCTTATCTTGAAAATAAATATTAATGTAAAAATTTAATATTATATACAAAGATTCTTTTTCTGATGATTACAATTACAATTTTGTTTTACCATAACATATTAAATGTAATTTTAAGATCAAAATCAAACTTTGAAACATTTGTTAGAATCACCTAAAAAACAGTTGATCTCTAAAACTCTCTGGTAAGTTCTTTTTATTATGATATCTATGTTTATGTTTCAGAATCCTCAATAACCAACAGCACAGAGGTGGAGTCTTTGGCCATACAGCCGCACAAGCTGCTGATCCTGGACGCCCGCTCGTACGCGGCGGCGGTCGCCAACCGCGCCAAAGGAGGAGGCTGCGAGTGCCCAGGTCTGTCCCTCTCTCCAACACCGTAAAACTGGGTCGACGTGTACTCTCCAGTTTAATACCTCTAAATACCATTGTTCCCTGCTGAAATTAAAAGGTTTTTCTAATTAACCTTTTGTTCTCTACAGAGTACTATCCTAACTGCGAGGTGGTCTTCATGGGAATGGCGAACATCCACTCCATCCGCAAAAGTTTCCAGTCTCTGCGTTTCTTATGTACCCAGATGCCAGATCCGGCAAAGTATGTGCTTTCTACTTTTGGTATTTTCCTGTGCCCCCAGCAAAGCACACTGCCGTCCCTGTTCCTGCACCGCATAATAAAACTATTAACTGTCCCAGGCCTCTTTTAATTAACACGATGTTATTGTAAATACGCCATTGTTTCCTCCTACAGCTGGATTCAATTTAGCTCAAGCATAGTGTGGCTTACATTGGAGGAGCTGGGCGTTTTTAGTTCAATAAATCGGACTGCGCCGCTTTTACAAGTCGCAGTCAAGGTTAAGCAGCTTTTATTGTGTTTAAGTGTTTATTTAAAAGTCATGATTGGGTTTTTTTTTTGTGGTTGAAGAAGGGACATTGGTAAAAGAAAAGAATAAATGTTTTTAACTTAATTTAAACACAAAATACTACTTGAAGCTAGTCCCAGGGATCAAAACATTTTCTCTGATGTGTCCACTAGATTCTTTTCCAGGCCTAACCAGGTCGAGAGTGAAATATTAACTCTTCACTTTAGGGTCAGACTTGTGTAACATCGCCGCAGACGCACACAGACAAAACATCCTCGACTTTAAACCACTTCTGTTCGCATCTGACCAAGGACGCCGCAGCCTCCTCCACGTCGCCTCACACATGGAAACATCGAGCAGAGTTTTGTCAGAGCGAAGAGTGGAGGCTGTGAATTATTCAAGACCTGACCATTGTGGCTGTTCAAGGCTATAGAAGGGCTTTTTCCACTCATGCAGTCTGTGTTTTGCTAGGCTCAAGTGAAAGGATTTTTTTTGCGTTGTTATTATATTGTCCAATATATTATCGACTACAATGAAAATTACACTGTACCCTAGAGAAATGAAATAGTCTGGTTATGTTTCTAATCACATTTTTTTCAACGCTGAATGATTTGGTGTGAGTTATCTATGAAGGAAGTCCAAAACTTTATACCAGACATTGATTGCTTCTGTCTGCATTACTGTGAGAATTGGAAAACTTCGTAACGTTGGCAAAACATGGCCACAAAGAAAAAAATAAACTCACAAGCCCTCCCCGATCAAGTAGGCGATCCGCTGATTTTTGTTTTGCCCTTTGAATGAAACTGCCAAATCATCCCAGATCATCGATTAATTAAGGACATTTTTGGATGCTTTCACAGCTCTTCAATCAACAACAAGAGCATATGACTTTACCATGATCAAAGGGGTCATAACAAACAAAAACAAGTATGCAGATCTTTTGAAGAGTGTCTATAGTTAATTGTTTATTCCCTGTGGTTCAGCTGGCTGTCTGCCCTGGAGAGCACCAAGTGGCTGCAGCACCTGTCCCTGCTGCTGAAGGCCTCCCTGCTGGTGGTCAACGCGGTGGACAGAGACCAGAGGCCGGTCCTGGTGCACTGCTCCGACGGGTGGGACCGCACACCTCAGATTGTGGCTCTGTCCAAACTGCTGCTGGACCCGTACTACCGCACAGTTGAGGTAACATTCGCATCACGGTGTAAGACGTCTCAAGTAATAGATGTGGGGTGTGGATCTACCAAAACATCGTAACTTATGATAGTATTGTTGCAGACGCTTTTTTGCAATAACTTGGCTGAAATGCTGAACTATAGTATATTTTCACATTTCAAATACTGTATTGACAAGAGGAAATGGACAGAACATCCCATCGAATGTATTAATATTAAGAGGACCCTAGTGATATATTAGTGTCTTGGAGTTCTTGGGTATTGTGTTCCAATGCTAATGTGATCTTAATGACTCCATGGTGCTGCAGGGTTTCCAGGTGCTGGTAGAGACGGAGTGGCTGGACTTTGGTCATAAGTTTGCCGATCGCTGTGGTCATGGGGAGAACTCTGAGGACCTGAACGAGCGCTGCCCCGTGTTCCTGCAGTGGTTGGACTGCGTGCACCAGCTACAGAGGCAGTTCCCCTGCTCCTTCGAGTTCAACGAGGCTTTTCTGGTTTGTATCACATGTGCTGTGTACATCAGGATGTGGAAAGCTTCTTATCGTTCTACAAAGACGCACTGATACAAATAATTTTGCAGAACGAGCCATGACACATGCTCATGTGTGAGAAAAAAAATGTCTTCTCACACATTAAGTTTATTTTCAATGTAATAGAAATACCTTATTTTGCCAATTACTGCTTCATTGAAGAAACTGATAAACTGGGACATTAAGATCAGCTTTGATAATATTAGAATTTGTTCCATTAAAGTCTCTCATGAAGTACTATTTCTGGGTGTCTCTCAGAGCCTGCCCCGATGCGATACGTATCTCGATACAGTGCACTTTTAATGCGGTATGATTCCTTACAATATACCTCTAATCGATGCGGTCCAAAAGTATGTATTTAATAATGTATATAGATGTAGAATATAGATTACTTGTTATTAAATTCTAAATATTAAAATATAACGTATCGAGATACGTTAAAATGTAAAAATCAATTAAAAAAAAAGTTAAACTGTTACCAATACATTTGTAAATCATGTACCTTCTGCTGACATCCCTATATTGCCTTAAGATCATCATCCCCTTGTAGTAGCTTCCCAAAGGACATTAAGGAAATGAGAAATGATCTGCTGAATGCCTATCCTATGATGCCTATAACCTTTATAAATGCAGTGATGTAATCTAAAAGGAACAAAATTGCTACCATGGATCTTGTCATATCCCACTTTTTTATTGCCTCAAATTCCAGGTTGTTTGAAAACTAACCCTGAAATGTGAAGTAGAGACAATGCCAATGATACATGTTGCATGCATCCAGGGTGTGTCTTCAGGCCTGAACTTGTGTGTTTATATGTGTGTATCAGGTCAAACTGGTGCAGCACTCCTACTCCTGCCTCTTCGGGACATTCCTGTGCAACAGCGGCAAAGAGCGTGAGGATCGACACGTCCAGGAGAGGACCTGCTCCATATGGTCCCTGCTGCGTCCAGCCAATCGCACGCTCCGGAACATGCTCTACTCCTCCCACTCCGAAACCGTACGTCATAGACTCTGACTAGGAAGGATGGCCCACATTTAGGAATATCCAGGGTATCAGATGGAACATAAAAAGGGAAAAAGCAAGATGAATAGTAAAATAAAATACTAAAATCTGTACATGTATAGTGTAATTAAAGCTGGGGTAACCTAAACTCAACAAATGAATGATGTAATAAATCCACAGAAAGGATCCATGTAATCCTTCCATCTATCATTTATAAAAGAGAAGACCAGCCCTCACTCTTTTTGTTGGAACAAACAAAATGTATTTATGAAACAACAACTACTCCAGCTTTAAGTTTAAACCAGTGGGGGCGGGTCCCGGCTCAAAAGTGGCCAAAATGACATGCGCTGACATGCTGCAATACCCCGGGCCGATGGGGGTGGACCCGGAATAAGAATTAGCCAATGCTAACATATAGCATATTCTTATCTCTCGAAAACGTCTTTACTGGATGGTCCAAAAGTTGTCTCTTGGCCCAAAGCTCCGTTCCACATGTGTGTCAATGCTTTTTTTGGACCACTCTAGTTTACACGCTGTGAATTTTTGAAGTCACTTGTTTAAATGAATGGAGCTCATGCGGCTGACGCATGCGCAGATGCGTTTTTTCACATTTTCCAGCCCCCGCGGCCATTTTGAAACTGCCCATAGATCGTGGAAGTTGTGGCACTTTAGTTAGAATGGAGGAGATTATTTTGGCGTGATTAGCTCTGTTAATATTTACAGTCTATGGTTTAAACGCTACATTCCTGCTTACGGACAAGAACGTGTAGCAGAAAACCTACTTGAATGTATGGTCAGTGGTGGTTACTACAAGTGAGTAACACAGCAGGGTTCCTCTCATATCTGACAGGTAACCTCTGCAGTACTTTTAGGTTGAGTTGGTGAGTGAGATGATAAATTCAATATTTGTTGAAATTGTGTGACAATCTTTCTGTGCTCTGCAGGCCACGTGGACCTAAGCCATAAGCTATTGAGCAGCAAAGGAAATTACTTTTCTCTGCTGCTCATTTGCACAAAAATACTGCTCAAAACATGCAAAGAACTGTGAGGAAATGGTTTTTAAGGGTAGATTTCACTTTTCACCTTTTACACAGCAATCTCTGTCAAAACACAATATTAATCTTTAATTCCATCCAATTTATTTTTATGAAGCCCTAAATTACAACAGCAGTCTAATTTGCCTATCTACCAACAACACATCAGAGAATAAAACAGTTCGAAGACAGGAAATGCAATAATAGCAAACTGGCTCCCATGGAGCCTTTGGTCCATGGGAGCGTGACATCCACTGCCCATGAAGGTCCTTAAATGTCCGGATCATCACTGTCCTTAGACCCTCCTGCATCGGCAAGGAACGACTAAAAAGTGAGAAAAAAAGTTATAAACCTCAGGGAGGCCCATTTTGAGAAGGGGGTTTGCTCCCACGGACAAGGCTATAGTTCCAGGACTTGTTACGTTATAGATCAGAGAAGGATGAACCTTGGGGTGCAGCATTTATTCCCAGTTACATTGATGTAACATTCCCGGTTACATTGATGCCTGTTACTAATCTAGTTCTCTCTCGTTTTGATTTACGGCCCTTGCAACACTTTGTGGTGTCTGTGTTATTGTGTGTGCACGCCTGAGATGGGCGCGGGCATCATCTGCTCTCAATACACTGTCAAAGACATGCATTATTTATGTGGGACAATATGTGTTTCAATAAGAAAGCCATTGTTTCCTGTTGAGGCCTGTCTTCAAATGTAATTATAGAACGGAAACTGCAATAGCTTTGAAACATCAATTACAATATATGTCATTTTAATATGTCCATAGTTCAATTTGGCAGGAAGCAAGCAGAGTAAATGTGTTGTAGTAAGTGTTATTGAGGCCATTGTGCATATTGCAATGATCAAATAAAGGATCTTACATAAAACATGACATTTTATTATGGTTAAACACTCTGTCAACTGTAAAAACAGCCGTAAGAATGGTTTACAGTTGTATAATTTATAGACATTCATTCACAGTATGTTGTGTATTGTGCAGGTGCTGCACCCTGTGTGTCACGTCCGAAACCTAATGCTGTGGACGGCCGTGTACCTGCCCAGCTCATCCCCCACCACCCCTTCTGACGACTCCTGCGCCCCCTACCCCGGCACGGGGGCCAACGGAGAGGAGGCGCCCCTGGGCAGGTGAGGTCCTCTCTGTGGTCTATGTGTTAACTGTTTTTCTTTCATTTTAAAGAAAGTGAATTGTGATTGGTGGTCATATACTGTATGTATTCATGCACTATGTCAGTGTCACATGGAGCTGTAGTTGTTGAGATGCGGTTCTGAATGTGTGATCTTTTCTCTCCTCAGGCGCTCAAAGACTCGTTCATTCGACAACATCCCGAGTGCGTGTGAGATGGGCAGCGGCCTGCCCCCCAACAGGCGCTCCAGTGACCCCAGTCTGAATGAGAAGTGGCAGGACCACAGGCGCTCCCTGGAGCTCATGGCTGTGGGTCCTGAAGGAGGGGCTGGGCCAGACCAGGAGAACCTGCCCAATGGCGTGGGGGCGTACTCTGACACGGTGGACTCTGAGAGGGACGACAGCCCGCTGTACTGTGGTGACCACATGCCCCACAATAAAGGGGATGAGAAGGCTGAGCTGTCTGTGGCAGTCAGCGAGGGTCAGATGGAAAACATTCTGCAGGAGGCCACTAAGGAGGAGGCGGGATCAGAGCCTAAAGAGGACGTCCCAGCCGCCAATCAAAGCACTGACCAGGATGTGACCTCAGAGACACTTGAGCTGGTCCAGTCTGAGCCCACAGTGAACAGGACTAAGGCGGTCACTAACGGACACCTTGCACAAAACGGCGTCTTGTCTGGAGATGAGGAGGATGAGCTGTGTCTCGGCGGTGACCCGGAGGTGGCTCTTGTGGCACGAGATCTGGTAAAGAGGGTCGTGGAGCAAGTGGCTCGGGAGGCTCTGGAGGCTGAGGCTGGTTCAGGGGATCCAGTGGAGCTCACCAAGACTGTAGTGAACGGCTTTAGCAACGGCACGTGTGAGGAGCCGCACTGCCACAGTCCGGACACAGAGGGCGATGTGGAGCTGGACAAGAGGCCCTCTCTGATGGAGAGCTCCACTGAGACTTTGACAGAGATCTGCCCCACTCCTGTGTCCTGCAGGCAGCAGGAGGCGGAGCCTGGCTTCAGGACTTTAAACGGGGGGGCCAATTGCCCCTCGGTCAGTGCCTTCCAGTGTGTGAGTGATCAGCGGAACGGGCTGAGTAACGGGGAGAGTGTATATGCAGCTCCACACAGTATCAAATGGAACGGTGAGCGTGCTCCTCTGAGCAGACAGCTGTCTGTAGCCAGCTGTGGCTCTCTGCCGCCGCGCTGCGTCCCTCACCGCTGCTGCCACGCGTTGGGGCGGCCGGCGAGCAGCCCCGAGCAGCCGGCACGCAGCCACCTGGACGATGACGGCCTGACGCTGCACTCAGACGCCATCCAGCAACGACTCAGACAGATCGAGGCGGGGCACCAGCTGGAGGTGGAGAGCCTGAAGAAGCAGGTGCAGGAGCTCTGGTCGCGCCTGGAGAACCAGCAGCACATGGGCCTGCACCGGACCAACGGAGACCTGTGCGCCGAGGTGGTAAGAGCTGTTACCATGTGACATGTCCCTGTGCTCAGTGTGGTCATAGTAATGTCCTCTTCATTTGTGTTTAACGCTGTGTTTGGGGCAGACCTCCATGACGGACTCAGAGTTCAACCTGGACCCCAACTGTTTGTCCCGTTGCAGCACAGAGTTCTTCTCTGAGGCCAGCTGGGAGCAGGTGGACAAGAACGACACCGAGGTGGGCGCCCCCTCTGTCTGTCCCCTGGAAAGGCCACTTAAACATCCTGCTGGATAATACTATTGTCATAGAGCAGCTGCGCTGGGGTCCTGTGTCAGAGGAAGGATGTATGAACCCCAGCTCTGTCTGTTATTCTTTACTTTAAGGATTCCAGATGGAAATGAGATTTTTTAGCATTAATGCTTGTACAAACATCATGGCCCTGGAGCATCATTTTGACTGAACATTGTCTGGTTGATATAAAGAAATGTAAATGTTGTCTTGCAGGTGACTCGCTGGTACCCGGATCATTTAGCGGCTCAGTGTTACGGCTGTGAGAGCCGCTTCTGGCTCGCTGCCAGGAAACACCACTGCAGGTACAGACTCTACAGACTTACTTCACTGAATGATCCCAAACACTCGGACGCAGTACCTGTGACAGGTTATGGGAACCAGAGGTGTTACTGTATCTGGTGGGACAGAAAACATGAACTGATATTTCAGCAGATTTTATATATTAATAGTTCTGCCAAACAGCAGTTTGTTTCAAGACTCCATGAATATGACTTTAAACTTTAATAATACCACTACACAAAATTACAATCAATGTAAAGGCAGTTTACATACGACACAGTGTGTTGTGTTGTTTCTCAGACAATTCAACACTCCATTGTCATAAAATTGTTAAAAACACAAATCAGCTCCAGGTTCATATGTTCCTCCCAGTGAGTAAAGCCGAGAGCTCTGACCTGTCACCTGCACTTTAGTCCAGTCCGTGTGCGTCTACAGTCTGTATGTGGTACTCAGCTGTGACCCACTGTGTCCCCTCTGCCCACAGCGACAGGGAGCGAGTCCAGGAGGTCTGGTGAGGTCCTGTCCTGTCTCTAACCCTGTCTGTTTCTGTGTACTCGTGCTTTCCAACACTTCCAACTGGCTGTGATCATTAGCTCTGGTCCATTGACAACAGTAGTGCACTTCACGTCACGGGCCACTCCTGGTTTTAACATTGCACAAGTCGAATGAGTTGAAGTCAAGTCTCAGGGCAAAAACATTCTAAATGGACTTTTCACAGCTTCTAAACCATGCTTTAGCTTTCCCTCGTCATGTTCACACTCAAAGCTGTGTCAAAGCGACCCATGCATGTTTATATTTGTAAGTTATATTTGGCTACAAACAAGATACCATTGCTCCCCCCAATGGCTGCTCAAAAGAACTACACACCCTCTGTAGTTACTTAGTTCACTGGATTATTTCTGATATGCAGATGACTCGGCCATTCGCCCCAGGTGTGATATTCTCACTATATTTTGGGCAGAAGCATGCTTTGGTGACATAATATTATTGCATAAATTTGAGCTTTTATGCATGAAATATTGATCTAAAATAGCCAATTAGGTTTAATTTTTTTCTCTTGCACAATAGTAAAAAGCCAGGTCCTTCTGCTGGGATGGGAGGTTTTTAATACCTAGTGGCTTATAGACTATATAAAGCTCATATGAAGCTCATGAATGCTCTGGCTCCTATTGACACTGAAAAGTAAACTCCTGAATTAGCTGAAACCTAATGGAGTTCTACTGCCAGAGTCTTGGCCTTAATGTCATGGTTATAACACTTGCTGTGATCCTGTTTTGAGATTGCATTTTAAATCATGCTTTCTCTCCCCAAATTCAGCTCTGTTAAATGAAAAGTGCAGGAAGATGGACCTTTAGCTCCTGATTGACTAATACTGTTCGGCTGTTTAAACCGGGGACGTCACATTCAGGTGGCCCTCTTCTGTTAGATTTACACTCGTATCATTGGATCCTGTTAATCCCAGGAGTGTCTGAGCAGCATGCAGCCCACAGCGCCCCCTGTCTCCCACCCCAGCAACAGCAACAGCAGCAGTAGAAGCAGTAGCAGCAGTAGCAGCAGCAGCAGCAGTAGAAGCAGTAGCAGTAGCAGCAGCAGCAGTAGAGGCATCAGTGGCATGGTCCCCAGAGTGTTTTAGGTGTTTTTGGCTGAGTTTACCAGCACAGAGCATGGCCTCACATGTGACGCACACCGACATGTGTGTATCAGGCTGTAGTCTTCACTTTGTCTGTTTTCAGTCCATGGATCAAATGTTTTACTGTAAGGCTCTGTTCTTGTTCAACACATTTTCCTTCTGCAGTGCATCCATTCAGTAGAAAAGTTAAATTTCAGAAACAAAAAAATAACTTAAATAACATTTCTGTTGAATCATACTAATACTTTATTTGGCAGTTTAAATACACATCCTATGTTAAGGTTGAAAGGTGAAGTTATGGCTCTGCAAAGTTGGGAAAATGCAAATAAACGAGTCGAGGCCAAGGCTCTGGTCCTGACTTCCACACTGGTGTCTCCCCTGCAGAGTCCAGAGGATCCACATGGGCTCATACTTTATCTGTGGAGATTTTTGACCACACATTGCTACAGTTTTCTGAATGTTACTCTGATCTTTAGAGAAACACTCAAGGACCAGACATTATGGTTTATGTCCACAAAACATCCATCATGTTATCCAATCCATCTAACTCATTCCCCGCTCTCTGAACACTTTGGTTTTCATAAGAACGGCCGGTAAGATTGAAGTTAAACCAATAAAAAGGGGCCACAAGGATTTGAATTCATTTTGACAAATCACTTTTTACATGTGATGTAAGGCCAACTCCACAAACTCCAAACCTTGAGTATCCAGAAAGGATCCTAAGAAATCAAATGTATTATTAATAATCAGGAAGCTGCGGGGGGAGCATAGGTAGTTTAACCAGTGTGTATCTTCCAAAAGTTGAGCTCCCTCTCACTATTTGAAAATGGGCGTTCCCATTAAGTCATCTCCATGGTGACCAAATCCAGTCCAGTGCCCTTTAAGTGTCCACAGTGGTCCTTCTCTGTAACGCGGTTCACCTTTTGTAGCCTCTTGTTTGCAGTTTAGCGAGCTTCTCATGCGCCGCGCGTTTACTCCAACGATCCCTTTGTTTAACACGGCCCTGCTCCTGCCTCCTGCCCCTTAGAACAGTGTCCTCTGCAGCTGCATTTTACAGTGTATGCACGGCTTTTGACAGCTGCAGCAGCACTCAGACCTACAACCAACAGGTTTGATATCTCCGAGATTGCACTTCAGCAGTCGTCAGTTCTCAAGTAGTTAGAAACGTGTATAAAGTGTGTGTTTTAAGGCTGTAAAACCCCTCACCAAACAGCTACCACTTTGCCGATTTTGCTTAATGCAGGTTTTTTAGAACGTGACGGCGATAAACGAGGAACAGTATTCATCACATATCCAATCTAATCCAAATATAGCACATTTCATAAACACATTTTCCAAAGTGCTGCACAATAAAATACTAAATAAAACAAATCCATAGTAAAACAGTAAAATAATAATAAATCAAATATGAAAAACTGTGTGCATACATGTATAAATGTAAAAATAACAATAAAAGATGAAATAAAATAAAATAAAATGAAAATAAAAGGACCATACAACTCACACAGTGTTAAAAGCCAGAGCATAAAAATGGGTCTTAAGACGAGACTTAAAACACTCCACAGAAGGAGCAGTTCGGATATGGGGGGGGCAGAGCGTTCCACAGGTTTGGTCCAGCCACAGAGAAGGCCCTGTCCCCCCGGGTTTTAAGTCTCGCCCGAGGTACCCACGAGCTGGAGCTGGCCCGCGGACCTCAGCGCGCATAATTCCAGTAGGATCGGTATAGAAGTAACGGGACACAGCAGCTCTCAGATCCCCATGAAACGCCAACTCAAAACTAACCCACGGCGTCTGTGTGTGTTGTGTTTGTGCGCCGCAGGAACTGTGGTAACGTGTTCTGTGCGAGCTGCTGCGACCAGAAGATCCCGGTGCCCAGTCAGCAGCTGTTCGAGCCCACGCGCGTCTGCAAGTCCTGCTTCAGCCACCTGCAGCTGTGCCCCCGCGACCTGGAACTGGACAAGGGCATCGCGGCCAGCTCCAACTGAGGCCACTCACCACCACCCCCCCCCCCCCCCCCCCCCCCCCACCACCACCCACCCGAATGTCCCACCAACTCCAAACAGAAACACGTGTGCTGCGGAAATAAAACTTGAATGTGTAAATAGAGGCGTATATTTGGGAGCGCTGGACGGTGGCGGGACGGTGCCTTGGAGCCGGAGGAGGTCGAACGCCGCGCTGCTGTAGTTCTGCCACATTTCATCCACACAAAAAACACAAAACCGTCAAAAGAAATTCACCCGTTCTGCCAGATTTTTTTTTTTCAGTTCACCCAAATGAGGAAGGTTTTTGAATCAACACTTCAAGGTACAAAAGATATCACTGTACTGAAGAAAAGAGAGAAATATATTTACATATGTGTGTGTAGTATAGTTTTAAAATCACTGGAGTCTATGGAGTCGTTAAAGCTCAGGTGCCTAAGTTTAAAACCACAACAAAATGCAGCTCTATAATGAAAAAAACTCAATGCAGCTCAGTTTTATCGCTAGTTTTCACACGTTTTTGGTCCGTTCTATTTTCAGATCAGCTTTTTCAGAAACAGCGGCAAGCAGAGGACCGCCCTAACTCGGCCAATCAGCTCTCAAGCAGAAGATTCACTGCTTGCTTGTTGGATACATAAACATATTTTGGTCTTGCCGGTGGGACAAACTAAATGTACAGATTATGGAGGGAGTTAGGGGCCCCAGCTTTAAGTGGTGACCTCAACAAATGCACTTCCGGGTCCAGGCTAAAGTCAGAGAATGACAGACCTGCTGCATCGTTCAGCTTTCAGACATTTTCAGTCCCATCCAAGGCCTGTTTCTTTTACTTAAACCAGAATAATGGACTGAGCTGTTTCGCCTTGAACCCGGATTGGAGAAATTCACGACTCCGCTTTGTTCTTTCCGGCACTTTATTGCGTTAAATGTCAAAACGATCAAAAATATGCAGCCTGTCAAAGTCTGTCATTTCCGCACATTTGATTGATTTTATTGAAATTATTGATGTTTTGACTTGAAATAGCTCTTAAACAAAGTCATTAACGGCACAGACTTTTAGTTAGTTTTAAAAACCCTAAACTTTACGCGTGTGATTCTTGGATTAAAACAGCAAAGCACTTGGACATTTGGGTGAACTGATGATTTTCAAATAATATTGCTTATTATAATTTTAATACAAGCATTGGCAAGAACCGAGAGTCACTGGACCATGTGACACGTCTCGGCTCGTCTTCCCCCCCCACTCAAACAGACCCTTTCCCAGCAGGCACTGGGAGAGCCGGACAACTCGCCCACGTTTCAAGCAGTTTGGAGATCACAGCCAAGTCTATACATTTACTGAAAAAAACTAATATTTTTCAAAAGTCTATAGGGCAAGGGGCGGTTTAAGCCTGAAGTCAAAATTCTATTCATTTTCCCCGTAGATATTCCACACAAAAATAATGTATAAAGCGGGAACTGGATGGATTATTTTGACTACAACACTAGCACTTTTATTTAGAGAATTAGAACTTTAAAAAGATGCAGCACAGATTTTGTTAGCCTCCATCGTGCCTTCAGATATTTGGATTTCTTTCAAAACTCAGATGAGGGAAATTATGTTATTTTTGCAACCAGGCTGTGAAGTGGGCGGGACTTTGCAATTCCATATAATTGAATAGAGATGTGAAAATAGATTCTCTTGTAAAGTTCTCCATTGTGAGATCAGTAAAGTATGTTCTCTGACTGGTGTAAAGCCGTCAGCGTCTAAAATGTTGATAAAATTGTATAAAATCAGAGCATATTTTGTCCATTTTGAAACGACTGCTGAGAATAAACTCGGTAAAGACTAAGTGGAGACGGCTGTGGTCTCGCTCTGGTCTCGCTGTGGTCTCGCTGTGGTCTCGCTCTGGTCTGAGCGCGGAGACGGCTGTGGTCTCGCTGTGGTCTCGCTGTGGTCTCGCTCTGGTCTTGCTCTGGTCTGAGCGCGGAGCCGGCTGTGGTCTCGCTACAGAAAGGGCTTTTTTCTCATGGACTATTCTGTGTTTCTTCTTTCCGCAAAAGTCTGTACATTATTCCCCAAAAACAAACAAAATCACTTATTTTTGGCACCTCTGCCCCTCGTCGCCCGTGCGTCGACCTCCTCGCACGCCCTAGCTCTTTTTTTTTTCTTTTTTTTGTAAATTAAATGAATAAAATAATATATTCAGATACGTATAGCATTTAAGAAAGTGTATAGAATCCTTGAACTGTGGATCACTAAATTAGTCGCCGAAATGTTTTTTCTTTTTTATTATTCTGTTCTGTCGTTATTGCAGAAGATACGATATATATATTTTGCAACTTTTTGATTTTCTTTTTTTCTTTTATAGAGATGCTGCAGTGTTGTTTGTCCCTTACTGCGACCCTTACTTTGACGATTTTATTTATTGAACGTTTTTGTTGTTGAATTGCTGTTTTTTTTAAAGGAAATTAAAAATCCAGACAATTCATTGCCACAAGATAATCAGTGTTTACCGCAAAGAGGAAATTGACAAATAAAAGTGCTGGATTTTTTTTTTTTTTTTTTTTTTTTTTTTTTTAACAGACGACAGCGCCCCGTGACCCTAAAACTAGATAAGTGTGAGGAAAAGCTATGCATGAAGCAAAATCCCAGTTCTCCAGTCTACCTCTGGTTTCACACAGGACGAGAATGATCCCAGCATTTTTACATTTCTTCTTTAACAAGTGCAAATGTCACAGGATTAACTGTAGATTCTGGATCATAGACCCATTCTCTCAGTATCCGTGTCCGTCACCATTTTGGGTTTTCATAATCCATGGTTCAGCTCTTTGATCCTGGTGTTTATATTCTGATATTGTCTTTTGTAAATCCAGATATGAACCCAAACAACTAACCAATCAGGCCGGGTGTGGACAGACCTGATTGGTGCTCGGAAACTCGGCCATCGCGCCGTCAAAATATTTGGTTCCACCTTAAATTCAATTCAATTTCTACTTCTTTTTGTTGAATTCGCCAAGACGGATCAAAGAATCAAACCGTGCAAACACAAGAAAAAATAAAAAATACACATTGGTATTGGTCTGTAAGCAGCAGATGACCAATGTCCATAAGTGTCGGTAAATGTCTGAAAACATTCCCGCACAAATAGCCTGTTGCTAGCTGTAATGTACGGTCTATGGTCTAGATTAGAAGCTAAACTTGGTCGAACAGTCTAAATTGTGTTGAGATTATTGTCAGAAATCTACCTGTATTTCATCGCTATAAATGGCTTCTGCTACATTAAAAAAAAGTATTTGGAGAAAATTTGATACAAATGTTATTTCAATCTGATTATTGATAGAAATATGTTGTTAACAATTATGTGTAACGATTTATTTGATTATGAGAATCTGATATGTTCCAATTCTTAGATGGACGGATTTGCTTTGTCAATTTGATTTCTGTTTCAATAATTATTTTCTCCAAGTGCAATTTTCCACTTAAAAACATCAAAATCATGGAAAACGCTTTTATTTTTGAATATCCTTTTTGTCCAAAGTCACTATTGTCAAAACCCCATAATGTGAACTTTATCATCTTTGCACGAGAAAAGACACTGCCACTGATCTCATTCATCTCATGTTATTTCAATTCACGTTTGGTGCTGTTTATGTATCGTTTCAGCAGAGGGCGCTGTTGTTTTAAGAGACCACAAACAAAGTAACCGTTCTCTTACGTTACCTTGTTTTTATCATGTTTTTTTTGTTGCGTTTTTCTCTTTCCCCTTCACACTTCCTGATGCGTAACCTGCATTCACGGCCCAGTATCCGTTTTTTTTTCCAAAAGCGTTTGAAGTGGTGCAGAGCCGCTCTCTAAAGACTGGTGCCAAGCTCTTTTCTTTGAGTTCAAAATTCCCCCAATTTTTGTTTTATTTTTTGTTTTTTTTGTTTTTCCTTCTGTTTGAGTCAAGCACTTTCCACCTCCTCGCCGTCTGAAGAGGAGCGTGTAGCTGTACATAGAGACTCCTGTAACAAGTGCTCCTTTTGTTTTGTTGGATTTTACTTTTAAGAACATTACATTGTTGTAGATTTAAAGGAGAAATAAAATAGTTGAACTTGTGTGAGTCTACGGCATTCTTTTTCTTCTTCACTTCCATTTAATTCAGTCTGAATGGCCCTAAATCACAGCAACAGCAGCTGTCTCCGAGGACTTCACAGAGTTGTAGATTTTCTGGAAATGCTAATACTTTCCAAAATAATAACAAGCTTCATCGACAGCGGGACGACCACTGTCTATAAATGTGCACAAATATTAGTTATATTTATCGAGCTCAGAGGTGGCAGGTAACTAGGGTTCAGACACGGCCTCTTCATTCAAGGCTAGGCTTAAAACAGTCTTCATATGGTTAGGAAGGTAAGACCCAGGGAAGAATAACCATCTTAGACAGTCAGTCAAGCTGCATAGGGCAGTGTTTTTCAACCAGTGTGCCGTGGTACATTAGTGTGCTGTGAGATGTTGTTTGGTGTGCCTTGGGAAAAATTCCAATATCTCATAATTGGTAAAAATAATGTGAAGATTGGAAGGCCTTTTTTGTACTCATACTCATTTTCTATATATTTACTTTGATTAGAAGGACTTTGCTTTCAGACTAAAAGCTGCAAAGTTTCATCTTTGTATCAGTTTTAGCTGGTGGTGCGCCATGTGAGTGTTTTCGACCAAAAAGGTGTGCCACAGCTACAAAAAGGTTGGAAAACACTGGCATAGGGAGTCAGTGTGCTGGGAGAAGTATGGTAACTTGAGTACTATCCTCTCCTCCTTCCTACTTTATCTGCATTATTAAGATTTTGATTGTAGTGTTCATTGCTATTCACCCATTGTCTGTTTCATGGTGCGATGACGGGACCTCTGGACCTGGCCTCCTCCATCTACACCTGTGGACTACCCTGCTCGACCCGCCTGGAGCTGCTTCAGTCCTGCACTGGACCTGTCCATGTTCAGCGGCCACTGGTCCACGTTCTGTAGCTTAGGTCCTGGATCTACAGCCCGTCAGTTCGTGGGAGCGGATCCCTTTCTCAAACTATGGGTCTCCCCGAGGTTTCTCACTTTTTTCCCACTGGGTTTTCTTATGAGTTTTTCCTTGTCGATGCAGGAGGGTCTTGTTGCGCAGTTAGTGTCCAACTAGAAGGACTGTGATGATCCAGGACACTTTAACATTCTACAACATGTATGACATTTATCAACATGTGTTCTATATTCTTTATGTGTTTTAACTGTTGATTCTCTGATCTGTGTTGGTGATTTCAATGGTTTTGGTAAGTCCTCTGAGATGACTTCTGTTGTGATTTAGGGCTATACTTGAATAAATTGTTGTTGTAGCGTTAAGGTTACTCAGTAATTTAAAAAGTTCTTACCTTTTAAAATGACTAGAGATGGTGACATGGAAAGAAGTGGTTAATCATTCTTCTAAGTGAATTAATTCTTTGTCAATGGCAGGTTTCTTAGTATAGTATTAGGCAGTGGGAAGATTTGGTCGATATCTGAGATTACCGAGATAGGACCAGTCCCTCGCTGATCCTCCTGCAGGTGGTGGGTCCACGGGAAGATGACTTCTCCGTTATGGAAGACATGGCCTTGGTCTTTGAGCAGGACATCAGTGGGAGCAGGAGGGCTCGAACCCAAGGGGGTCATGGTTACGGTATTATGGTTACACTATATATTCTTTTCAATACAACAGAAGCCTTACTTTTATACTTTGATAAAAGTACAGGAGTGATCTCAATACTTTTGAGACTCAGATCAGAAGTTTCCAACCCGCTGTTCTCTATGGCGTGTATAAATATATTTCCCCCCTGTATAACCTCCACGACAGTCTGGGGTCTTCTGTGGTAATTATGGTTACGTTCTTTCTCCTCTGATGGTAACGCCATCCATGCTCCTTGGGAAAAATACTATTGTTCCTGTGAATTCCTGGGCCGCCTTTCATCGACTGAGTGTTTGAGATCACCACAGAGTGGCTCATTGTTATCATTTGAAAATCATCAGAAATAAACGGCAGAATACAAACATACTGCACAATACAATACAATGCTTTAACTTCTAACACAAACTTGCTGATATGTAGTTCCCTCGCTTTATCAAAGACTGTTGAAACAATACACCCAAAAATATACTGATGCAGCAGTTATTTATTGAATTATAACTCTATATCTACAGGTTTGAGATGCAGTGAATTACCTGCAGTACTTCCAAAGGCCACTGGAGGGCGGTATCAGTTTAGTGCTACTGTTACAAAGGATGAAAGCTCTACTTCTTCATAGTGACTTTATAGTGAAGCATGGACAACGTTACGACTGTGTTTGCGGAGCTGAAGGCCAGAGAGGACATGTTACGCTTTCTTCAAGGCTGACAAACACAAGACATGCTTTTGGTTTCATTTTTGGTTCAAATGTTATCAACCACCTGCTTTGTGGTTCAACCGCATCATCAGTATTAGATGTTTAGATGATTCCAACAGCCCAGGACCTTTAGAGTCGGACGCATCTCTTTCGGGGGAGCCATGGGTCCAGTGGAGGGAGGACAAAAGGGGAGAGAGAGAGAGAGATCTATCGTCTCTCAGAATTGTTTAGACACCAAAGATCAGTAACAGAAGGCGAAGCAGGAGTCCGACACCGTTGTAATAGTCAGTTTAATGCATGTACTGAGATACAGGTCTAAAAATCAATCAAGAATATCTTTAAATTACGCAACACCAAAGCTTAAATGCAAATCTATGTGGATAACACAACAGAACAACCAAGAGTTTAAGAAGATGGGCTGAGGAGTGCTGCTCTGGAGTGGTCATGCTCACGATGGGACGTCCCAGAGGCGAGAGGCGAGAGGCGAGGGGGACACAGTCATTTCACTGCACACAAACACGCACCAGCAGCAGCAGCAGCAGCAGACGGACTCTTTTTGCCCGGAACAACACAAGGAACACTTCCAGCAGAAACATTGCTTAAAACATTGCTTTTTTGTTGTTTTACAAAGTTATGGCTAGACGAGGAGTGCCACAGGGTTCCTGCAGGCGGCTCGCAACACCCGAAAACTGAATCTAGAAAACGATATTCTCTTTGGACTCTTCGAAGGGCAGTTTGTTGTGATGGTGCTAACGGCTGCTACTATTAAAGAGGACATCAGTTTTCACATCCTACTGTAGACCATGACATATGGATTATCATTATCTATTATTGACTGATACTAAGTCTTAATGTTGATCTAAAATGATTTGATTAATAAAAACAAGAGCCCTGACTTTAGTAATAATACAGTGGTCCCTCGTTAGAACTTCTTATGTTTACTCCAACAACATCAAATAACTGCTTTTACCTTTTCATACAGAAGAGTTCGATCTTCTGTAGCCCTCAGTCCTGCTCCTGCCTCTCAGCGCGGTCTCCTCTGCAGCTGTTTGTTAAAGTGTATGCACGGCTTTTGACAGCTGCAGCAGCGCTCAGACCATCGTGTCTCAGCAGTCGTGAGTCCAGGTGGTTAGAAAAGTGTCTGAAGTGTGAGAGGTTTTACAGCCTTAATCACACACGGATACCAATTAGATTTTGCTTATTTTTTAGAACGTGACCCGTGAAAAACGAGAGACCACTGTAAAGGACCGTGGCGTTCTGAGCCCTTTGACCCAAGTGCAGACACAGAAGCAAGAAGATGGCGAGCTGATCTTTAAATTCATTTGTTTGTGTCAAAATGCCAGATTTTGTGCGAGATATTGGGGTACCTAACTTTCAAGCCACAAAAATGGAACTATGAACTAAAATCTATCTACAACCATTTCCTGGCTTCAAAACAGCTTTCAGAAACTCAAACCCAGAGAACCAAAGAGTGACTCACAAGGCTCTTTCTGACACAAAAGACTCTTTCTGTCGAGACAAATGACATGTAAAGAAGTTAGGTGCACCAGCTTTAAGATGAAAACAATATTACAGATCAACAACATTTATCTTTGACCTTTATCAGGATTCTCAGAAAGAATCTCTTCCTCAGGGGAGTTCCTTCAGAGCGAAGGGAGCTGTACATGTTTTTAGTGCTAGGGGAAACTGGAGCACCCTGAGGAAACCTTTGCAGACATGGGGAGAACATGCAAACTCCACACAGAGACCACTGCGCCACCATGCAGTATAAAAATGACTTTAACGCATCTTTCTAAAAACGGTTTTAAACAAATGGAAAACAAAGAATGTCCCCTTTAATATCCTTTATGTTCCGCTACATAAATTATAGTTTCATAAATAGTTCTTGTGACAAACAGGAGAATGTTTGATTGTGAAAGATGCAGGAACCCTGTGTCAGCGTAAAGCGATAGAGCAGGTTTATATCGAAGGCTTTTCAGTGGAATGGACCTGGACCTGATCCAACAAGACTGGCTCTGTTCAAACCCAATCTGTTTGTGCAAAATGCCGCATCTTACTCTATATTTATATATGATCTAAATCATTTGACTACTCGCTTCCCGGCAACACTTATATCCCGGCAACGTCTTTAGAAATTTGTTTAAAAAAAATATACATGGCTTTTCTGGCCGACTTTTCCCTTTTTGTCTATAAAACTCACACTTCACTCTGCGATATGTACAATATATTTATAATAAAGATCTCTGAACCTGGAGAGCGTGGCTTCCCTGTCACCAGTTTGCGTTGGAACGTTCCAGAAGAGTGTCCCGCGTGGATTGTCTCTGTGCCTTTTGGATGTTTGAGTTTTATGAGCGAGAAGACTATGTACAGGCCAGTCTGTGAACACTGTGCTTCCATCATACACCTCTGGGGGGCGCTGTGGCGACGAGCTCAAACTGAAGACTGGTCCCACACCTGCAACACAAAAGATACAAGATTGTTTTATTTAAGAGCGCCAGATTGAATAGGGTTGTTACTCATTTCAGAATACACGTGTACATGTATGTCAGAATACACGTGTACATGTATGTCAGAATACACGTGCACATGTATGTCAGAATACACGTGCACATGTATGTCAGAATACACGTGCACATGTATGTCAGAATACACGTGCACATGTATGTCAGAATACACGTGCACATGTATGTCAGAATACACGTGCACATGTATGTCAGAATACACGTGCACATGTATGTCAGAATACACGTGCACATGTATGTCAGAATACACGTGCACATGTATGTCAGAATACACGTGCACATGTATGTCAGAATACACGTGCACATGTATGTCAGAATACACGTGCACATGTATGTCAGAATACACGTGCACATGTATGTCAGAATACACGTGCACATGTATGTCAGAATACACGTGCACATGTATGTCAGAATACACGTGCACATGTATGTCAGAATACACGTGCACATGTATGTCAGAATACACGTGCACATGTATGTCAGAATACACGTGCACATGTATGTCAGAATACACGTGCACATGTATGTCAGAATACACGTGCACATGTATGTCAGAATACACGTGCACATGTATGTCAGAATACACGTGCACATGTATGTCAGAATACACGTGCACATGTATGTCAGAATACACGTGCACATGTATGTCAGAATACACGTGCACATGTATGTCAGAATACACGTGCACATGTATGTCAGAATACACGTGCACATGTATGTCAGAATACACGTGCACATGTATGTCAGAATACACGTGCACATGTATGTCAGAATACACGTGCACATGTATGTCAGAATACACGTGCACATGTATGTCAGAATACACGTGCACATGTATGTCAGAATACACGTGCACATGTATGTCAGAATACACGTGCACATGTATGTCAGAATACACGTGCACAGTATGTCAGAATACACGTGCACATGTATGTCAGAATACACGTGTACATGTATGTCAGAATACACGTGCACATGTATGTCAGAATACACGTGCACATGTATGTCAGAATACACGTGTACATGTATGTCAGAATACACGTGCACATGTATGTCAGAATACACGTGTACATGTATGTCAGAATACACGCAGCATCGTGGGTGTAGTGGGGTGAAATGTTTCCATATTTGTACAGCACTTCACAAGGAAAAAATGTGTATGTATTGAAACAATCTTTCCAAATATTCTTGAAGTAGGTCTGTGTTTTAGAAACCACTTTGACGGAAACAATAAAACACCTGTTCACTAATGTTCAATTTGCAACACAACAAGTGCGCTGACACAACATCACAAGCTAACACGACATCACAAGCTAACACGACATCACAAGCTGACACGACATCACAAGCTAACACGACATCACAAGCTAACACGACATCACAAGCTAACACGACATCACAAGCTAACAAGACATCACAAGCTAACACGACATCACAAGCTAACACGACATCACAAGCTAACACGACATCACAAGCTAACACGACATCACAAGCTAACACGACATCACAAGCTAACACGACATCACAAGCTAACACGACATCACAAGCTAACACGACATCACAAGCTAACACGACATCACAAGCTAACACGACATCACAAGCTAACACGACATCACAAGCAAACACGACATCACAAGCAAACACGACATCACAAGCTAACACGACATCACAAGCTAACACGACATCACAAGCTAACACAACAGCACACAAGCTACAAGCTAACACAACATCACAAGCTAACACGACATCACAAGCTAACACACATCACAAGCTAACACGACATCACAAGCTAACACGACATCACAAGCTAACACGACATCACAAGCTAACACGACATCACAAGCTAACACGACATCACAAGCTAACACGACATCACAAGCTAACACGACATCACAAGCTAACACGACATCACAAGCTAACACGACATCACAAGCTAACACGACATCACAAGCTAACACGACATCACAAGCTAACACGACATCACAAGCTAACACGACATCACAAGCTAACACGACATCACAAGCTAACACGACATCACAAGCTAACACGACATCACAAGCTAACACGACATCACAAGCTAACACGACATCACAAGCTAACACGACATCACAAGCTAACACGACATCACAAGCTAACACGACATCACAAGCTAACACGACATCACAAGCTAACACGACATCACAAGCTAACACGACATCACAAGCTAACACGACATCACAAGCTAACACGACATCACAAGCTAACACGACATCACAAGCTAACACGACATCACAAGCTAACACGACATCACAAGCTAACACGACATCACAAGCTAACACGACATCACAAGCTAACACGACATCACAACAAGCTAACACGACATCACAAGCTAACACGACATCACAAGCTAACACGACACACAGCTAACACGACATCACAAGCTAACACGACATCACAAGCTAACACGACATCACAAGCTAACACGACATCACAAGCTAACACGACATCACAAGCTAACACGACATCACAAGCTAACACGACATCACAAGCTAACACGACATCACAAGCTAACACGACATCACAAGCTAAACACGACATCACAAGCTAACACGACATCACAAGCTAACACGACATCACAAGCTAACACGACATCACAAGCTAACACACACACAACAAGCTAACACGACATCACAAGCTAACACGACATCACAAGCTAACACGACATCACAAGCTAACACGACATCACAAGCTAACACGACATCACAGCTAACACGACATCACAAGCTACAACACACACACACAAGCTAACACGACATCACAAGCTAACACGACATCACAAGCTAACACGACAACACAACAACACACGACATCACAAGCTAACACGACATCACAAGCTAACACGACATCACAAGCTAACACGACATCACAAGCTAACACGACATCACAAGCTAACACGACATCACAAGCTAAACACGACATCACAAGCTAACACGACATCACAAGCTAACACGACATCACAAGCTAACACGACATCACAAGCTAACACGACATCACAAGCTACACACGACATCACAAGCTAACACGACATCACAAGCTAACACGACATCACAAGCTAACACGACATCACAAGCTAACACGACACACACAAGCTAACACGACATCACAAGCTAACACGACATCACAAGCTAACACGACATCACAAGCTAACACGACATCACAAGCTAACACGACATCACAAGCTAACACGACATCACAAGCTAACACGACATCACAAGCTAACACGACATCACAAGCTACCACATCACAAGCTAACACGACATCACAAGCTAACACGACATCACAAGCAAGCTAACACGACATCACAAGCTAACACGACATCACAAGCTAACACGACATCACAGCTAACACGACATCACAAGCTAACACGACATCACAAGCTAACACGACATCACAAGCTAACACGACATCACAAGCTAACACGACATCACAAGCTAACACGACATCACAGCACAGACTACAAGCACACGACATCACAAGCTAACACGACATCACAAGCTAACACGACATCACAAGCTAACACGACATCACAAGCTAACACGACATCACAAGCTAACACGACATCACAAGCTAACACGACATCAAGTAACACACACATCACAAGCTAACACGACATCACAAGCTAACACGACATCACAAGCTAACACGACATCACAAGCTAACACGACATCACAAGCTAACACGACATCACAAGCTAACACGACATCACAAGCTAACACGACATCACAAGCTAACACGACATCACAAGCTAACACGACATCACAAGCTAACACGACATCACAAGCTAACACGACATCACAAGCTAACACGACATCACAAGCTAACACGACATCACAAGCTAACACGACATCACAAGCTAACACGACATCACAAGCTAACACGACATCACAAGCTAACACGACATCACAAGCTAACACGACATCACAAGCTAACACGACATCACAAGCTAACACGACATCACAAGCTAACACGACATCACAAGCTAACACGACATCACAAGCTAACACAACAGCTACAAGCTAACACAACATCACAAGCTAACACGACATCACAAGCTAACACAACATCACAAGCTAACACGACATCACAAGCTAACACGACATCACAAGCTAACACGACATCACAAGCTAACACGACATCACAAGCTAACACGACATCACAAGCTAACACGACATCACAAGCTAACACGACATCACAAGCTAACACGACATCACAAGCTAACACGACATCACAAGCTAACACGACATCACAAGCTAACACGACATCACAAGCAAACACGACATCACAAGCTAACACGACATCACAAGCTAACACGACATCACAAGCTAACACGACATCACAAGCTAACACGACATCACAAGCTAACACGACATCACAAGCTAACACGACATCACAAGCTAACACGACATCACAAGCTAACACAACATCACAAGCTAACACAACATCACAAGCTAACACGACATCACAAGCTAACACGACATCACAAGCTAACACGACATCACAAGCTAACACGACATCACAAGCTAACACGACATCACAAGCAAACACGACATCACAAGCTAACACGACATCACAAGCTAACACGACATCACAAGCTAACACGACATCACAAGCTAACACGACATCACACGTACGTACTTCTTGGTTCTAGTCAGGACTAATGTGTACGTACTTCCTGGTTCTAGTCAGGACTAATGTGTACGTACTTCCTGGTTCTAGTCAGGACTAATGTGTACGTACTTCCTGGTTCTAGTCAGGACTAATGTGTACGTACTTCCTGGTTCTAGTCAGGACTAATGTGTACGTACTTCCTGGTTCTAGTCAGGACTAATGTGTACGTACTTCCTGGTTCTAGTCAGGACTAATGTGTACGTACTTCCTGGTTCTAGTCAGGACTAATGTGTACGTACTTCCTGGTTCTAGTCAGGACTAATGTGTACGTACTTCCTGGTTCTAGTCAGGACTAATGTGTACGTACTTCCTGGTTCTAGTCAGGACTAATGTGTACGTACTTCCTGGTTCTAGTCAGGACTAATGTGTACGTACTTCCTGGTTCTAGTCAGGACTAATGTGTACGTACTTCCTGGTTCTAGTCAGGACTAATGTGTACGTACTTCCTGGTTCTAGTCAGGACTAAATGTGTACGTACTTCCTGGTTCTAGTCAGGACTAATGTGTACGTACTTCCTGGTTCTAGTTAGGACTAATGTGTACGTACTTCCTGGTTCTAGTCAGGACTAATGTGTACGTACTTCCTGGTTCTAGTCAGGACTAATGTGTACGTACTTCCTGGTTCTAGTCAGGACTAATGTGTACGTACTTCCTGGTTCTAGTCAGGACTAATGTGTACGTACTTCCTGGTTCTAGTCAGGACTAATGTGTACGTACTTCCTGGTTCTAGTCAGGACTAATGTGTACGTACTTCCTGGTTCTAGTCAGGACTAATGTGTACGTACTTCCTGGTTCTAGTCAGGACTAATGTGTACGTACTTCCTGGTTCTAGTCAGGACCTGAGCTGCAGAGTTATTAATATATAGCAGCTGATTAATCCAAAAATGAAGCGGTCCTAGTTTTTCATGTATATATTCAGAACACAAATTTGGATTCTGCCGTTATTCAAACTGGAAAAAGTGATCCATAGATGAGAGTACTCCCCTAGTCCACCCCCCTCCCCCCCCCCCCCCTCCTCACCTTGTTGACGGGGGCGAGCTGCGTGCGCACAGATCCGGCGTGTAGCCTGGTGCTCTCCCCGAAGCGTCCTGGCGAGCGCTCCCTGCGGCTGTCCAGGACGCGCCCCGGGCTCTTCTCTCGCTCCAGGGGCCGAGCCGGAGACTTGTCCCGCCTGAACTCGGTGCGGCCCTCCCTGTAGCGGTGAGGGGTGCTGGGCTCGCGGTGCAGCCCGTCGTGGCTCCCGGGGCCCGACGTCAGGCGCTTGGTGATGTGCTCTGTGTAGGTGGGGGGCCCGCGTTTACTGGGGCTCCTGCAGACAGTTTAAAAGAGATGAATGTAAGATTTTCATGTCTCTTCATCCTTAAATGGCCCTAATATGTCAAAAGGCATAAATAAACCATGCTCTTTTTGAACACAGTAGTTCAGCTGGGATAAGCAAATTTAAACATTGGATTTACAGCCCCTAAATCTAGTTATTGTTGTCATTTCGATGTTGCAAGCAATATTACAATATTAACGGTCTGCGAACACAAGTCTCGCTTCGCGTTCAGATAAGGAGTGGCCTCGGCTCTCTCTCTGCTCCTGGTCAGATGAAAAAGAAAAAAGGCCCCCGTGACCGCTCCTGCACATCTCTTATACTGTACATCCAAGGTCACTGACATCACAACTGTATGGACCCTATGACTCCTTCTGGCCAGCTGCCAAAGCCTGCACCTGTTCTGATAACAACAGTTGTTTTCCTCCATTCTCACACAGACTAACCTTGACTTAACTGCTCTTTGAGATTTACACACACAAGTGCTGTATAAACCTAATCATTTCTGACGTTTAAGTTGTTTAAGTATTAATTTTAGCAACAGAAACAATACTAAACTGATTTTAGTTTAACTGGTGCAGGAGGCCTCTAATATTCCAACAATGTCCCACCGTCCACTGTTTTACCAATCAGGGTTGCCAGAACTCACTGCGTCGAGCTAATCTCACTGGCAAAGTAACATGTGGCTGCAGAACTAAAACAGGTCTCGTTATGATTCTCAAATAACTAATGACAAAAAAAGGAATAAAACCAGGATTTCTATCGGGGACGCCTTTGAAAAATTGAGATAATTTAAGGTAGATTGAGTCAGGGAGAGCGGGAGAGGACTACAGAATTTAGACCGTGATTGCAGTACCACTTTTGGCCAAATGTTTACATATTCAGAAGCTCCTTTAGATACTTTCACTTTCCACAAGTACAATACTTTGATTGTCACAGTGGAAATTATCTGCTCTAAAATTATGTCTTCTTCTTATTAGAAACAATTTCTTAAAGAGGAGCACACAGCACAAGATAAATGAACAATAACTCTGTACTCAATTATATAACATACTAATCTCTAACTCTAGCATGAAGAAGAAACAATAAGTACACAGAACTCTGACTTTAGCATAATAAAGAAGTATAAAATGTCTACCTTTGGCATAAGAAGCAAGTATAAAGTACTGTATTCTGTATAGTTGTGTGTTTACATCTGTATACGTTAGCAGCATGAGTTATGATACAACAGTGGACACAGTTATGGGGGATGGTTGTGTGGTCCTGACCCTCTGCTGGAGCCGGTCCGCTGCAGCTCTCCGCTCTCCCGCACCAGACTGCCCTTGCAGCAGATCACCCGCAGCTTGTTCTGGTACGACGAGGCCAGGTAGATGGCCCCCGAGGAGATGGCGGGGCCCAGGTACCGCGGGTTTGGGATGTCCAGGTGGGCCAGCACGGTGGGACTGGAGACGATAAACAACATTATATATATATACGTACAGAATGTTTCCAGAGTCAACGCCACCACAACTGGACAGCTCCGTGTTTTGCGCTGCTTTGCATAAATGTAGCAACACTCAACATGAACAAGCGTTGGATTGAACTGAGAAGGTGTTGCTTTAAGAGTTGTCAAAAGGAGATTAAGTAGAATGACTGTGGGAAGTAGTAGTAGTAGTAGTAGTAGTAGTTTAGAAGACTATTTGTAAAGCACACTTCATACACAAGGCAACTGAAAGTGCTCAATAAAACAAGAAATTGAGATCATAACAGGCATTACAGTCACTAAAATCACAGCACATTAAAAAGAGTGGAGGAACAATCCCTCAGTTGCGTGCACAGCTAAACTGTTTTTAACCTGGATTTGAACATTGAACTATAATCCTGTCTCACATTTTAAGGAAGACTGTTGCTGATTTTAGCTGCATGAATCTGAAATGCTGCCTCTTTTGCCTCTTGGCTCATAACGTAGTCCCTTTCCTCAATCCTTGTGTGTGTTGGCCGCAGCATAAGCGGACTATCATGCGGTTGTATGATTTAAGATGGAGTAACAGTTCTTGTTTTAAACCATACAACATGTGTGTCAAAGCCAATGAATGATCTTGACCCCCGGCATGATATCTGATCAGTATTAGAACCACACAAAACCAAAAGAAAATATTTAATTATTCATCTCATAATCTGGATATGTGTTTTCTCTTTGAAGGAAGTTTGTTTTTGTCTGTGAGCCAGTTGAAATTCCTGACAGAGCCATACAAATATTGGATTATTCATTTCATAATTTATTAAAATACGGTACACTGAGTAAAGTACCTAGGTTATATTGCAATCATTTGAATATGTTTTAATACATTTAGAACCAGTCCGGCGCTCGGCTTGTTGCACATTTTGTTGTTTTTTGTCCCTCTGATGTATTTGATTTTGACATCTGTTATTGAAATGTTGCTTTGAGATTATCTTTTTAATGAATTTTGAGAATATAATGTTTTAAATCCATGTTATGACATGGCCGGTTTATGTATATTAGTACTCTCGTCTCCTAGAGGTCTGGCGGGAAGTATTCATGCAGATGTGAGCCATTGTCTCCTTTGCCTCCTGTGTCCTGTATGCATATGTCCGACTGCATGTTAATATGGAGGGCTTCCCTGTGAAACTGTACTTTCCCATGACTGTTTGTGGGCGTGTTTTGAGACTGTGCTTCATTGAATAAAGTAGGTTGCTTCGTGGAGGAGAGATAAGAAGACAGTAGTTTGGAGCTGTGGAAACACGGCTGCTTTCTTCTGTCTCCTCCATGGACGGAAGCACACTTACCCCATACTGGAGTGGCCCTGGACCTCGATCACATCCAAAGAGTTGAAATACGTCACAAACAAATACGGCTCTCTGTAAGCTGCAACGACAATCGCTCTTTTAGAAGGAAATGTGCTATTTACCAAAAGCATAAAACATGAACAGCAGGTTTTGCCCATAAGCCTGAACGATGATGTGTGATAAAGGCCATAAAAGGTATTACAGCAATACTAGAGTGAATATACTGTCAAAAAAAAAACAACAGATTTGTATTTACCAAAAGACAGCGGCACCCGGCTCCATTTGATCTCCTCAGTGCGACTCCTGCGACCGTACGAGTCCACAAACAGACCGAACTCTGCACCAACGACACACAGGAGAGGTTTTCATGTCATTGTGAACAATCATGGGCAGTACTTTTGTTTTTAAACCCAGAAAACTTCTCTGAGTGTGATGTCATAGTGGTACAATGACATCATGCTATTACAGGACTGAGACAGCGTGGATGGATCTAAAAACAACTCCAGGTCTGTTTTGGATGAGGAAACAATGTTGTGGATAAAAAAATTCTAAAAGTTGATTTCATTCCGTAATATGTCTCAAACTATACCAAAGATAATAATAATAAATCACACTTATATCTCTTGCTTTTATAATTTTATGCTTTTATGCATATCTGGCAACATTCACATCCATCGCTAACATGTGTTGCCATGCCGACAGACCGTGGAAGCAGAGCAGGTACTCCTCCTTCTGCAGGCTGCTGGCCACCGACAGGATGGAGATGGGGAAGCAGTGAGAGGCGGCGGCGAACACAGCGGACGCCAGTGACACGTCGTTCTTGTCCAGGAACTCTGAAAACGGACAACACAGGCTTAAAAACTGACAAACGAGCAGTTACACAAACCTTGGGCATCGTTAGTGCTGTTTTTGGCCCATAAACATTATATTTACTTTGTTGTTTTGGAGCACAGGAGATGGATTCTAATCGTGTGGGCAGGTTGTCAGTTGTATTTTTGAGTTTGCTGTTGTGGAAATGTTTTAGAGCAGCCTCGCCGATGGAAGTAAAACAAAAACACACAACAGTTCAGACTCGCACACAGCGGGACGAGTCGGTGTGTGAGGATATTGTTGGTGAAAAAGACAGGGATAAGTGTGTTGTAGTGACTGCTGCTGGGATCAAAAGTACCTGCTGAAATCACAGCCATGATTGCCCAAAAATGTGTTAACCAAAACAAATTTAGCGACACCACTTTCATTTTAAAAGGCAGAAAATTGCTCTGAGTGTGATGTCCTAGCGATACAATGACATCATACTATTACAGGACTGAGACAGGAGCTTTTAGGCAGAAGGGGCGGAGCTACATGTCTGTGCCAGAAGCATGGATGGATCTAAAAACAACTGCAGGGTCCAAAAAGATGAGGTTTAAAAGCCATGTTATAGTTTGTGGGTCTAGACTTATTTTCCTTGGCAGAAAGGAGCATACACTTGTTTGATAACAACGGTTCCCAACCTTTTGCTGGAGATGTTTATAACTATTTTAAAAGCAGACGCTGTAAATAAAATGAATTCCAACCTTTTTTTCTTCTGCTCATACAGCGTGCGCCGTGGGAGAAAGTCTAGACGTTTCTGTAAGTTAGAATTTGCTTTGAAAACTTGTGCTCGCCCACTCTTGTTTTTCACTTGTTTATGTCTGAATACATTAATGCCTTTTTTAAGTCATTGAAAATGCATCATGTACAGTGGGGCAAAAAAGCATTTAGTCAGATTCAGATCAGAGATTCAGATTCAGATTCATTTATTTGCCATTTGCAGTAAAACCACATAGGAAAAACTGTGCAAGACTACCCCAGTGTGCACCAGACGACACACACCAGAGCTCTTGCCACCGATTGTGCAAGTTCTCCCAATTTAAAATAATGACAGAGGTCTGTAATTTTCATCATAGGTACACTTCAACTGTGAGAGACAGAATGTGAAAAAAAACATCCAGGAAATCTCATTGTAGGATTTTTAAAGACTTTATTTGTAAATTATGGTGGAAAATAAGTATTTGGTCACTTCAAACAAGGAAGATCTGTGGCTCTCACAGACCTGTAACTTCTTCTTTAAGAAGCTCTTCTGTCCTCCACTCGTTACCTGTATTAATGGCATCTGTTTGAACTCATCTGTATAAAAGACGCCTGTCCACAGCCTCAAACAGTCAGACTCCAAACTCCACTATGGCCAAGACCAAAGAGCTGTCGAAGGACACCAGGAAAAGAATTGTAGACCTGCACCAGACTGGGAAGAGTGAATCTACAATAGGCAAGCAGCTTGGTGTGAACAAATCAACTGTGGGAGCAATTATCAGAAAATGGAAGACATACAAGACCACTGACAATCTCCCTCGATCTGGGGCTCCATGCAAGATCTCATCCCGTGGGGTCACAATGATCATGAGAACGGTGATCAAAAATCCCGGAACCACACAGGAAAACCTGGTGAATGATCTGCAGAGAGCTGGGACCAAAGTAACAAAGGTTACAGTCAGTAACACACTACGACGACAGGGAATCAAATCTTGCAGTGCCAGACGTGTCCCCCTGCTGAAGCCAGTGCATGTCCAGGCCCGTCTGAAGTTTGCCAGAGAGCACATGGATGATACAGCAGAGGATTGGGAGAATGTCATGAGGTCAGATGAAATCAAAGTAGAACTGTTTGGTATAAACTCAACTCGTCGTGTTTGGAGGAAGAAGAAGACTGAGTTGCATCCATACACTGTATATATTAACGGACAGAGTCACGCCTATCTCCGCCGTTCTAACTAATGGGCCAAAAAATGTTCTCTACAGGAGCAATCCAAAATGGCAGCGAGTGGTCCCGCCCACAAGAAAATGGTGAAAAAACGCATCTGCGCATGCGTCAGCCGGCGCAGCTCCATTCATTTGAACGAGAGACTTCAAAAATTCATAGCAAGTAAACTAGAGTGGACCAAAAAAATCCACCCCCCTCAGCATTGACACACATGTGGAACGGAGCTTTGGGCCAAGAGCCAACTTTTGGACCATCCTGTAAAGACTTTTTCGAGAGGTCTGCCAATGCTATATGTTAGCATTGGCTAATTCTTCTTCTGGGTCCACCTCCATCGGCCCGGGGTGGTATTGAGTTTAATTTTTGTTATTGACCAAATACTTATTTTCCACCATAATTTACAAATAAATTCTTTAAAAATCCTACAATGAGATTTCCTGGATTTTTTTTCACATTCTGTCTCTCACAGTTGAAGTGAACCTATGATGAAAATTACAGACCTCTGTCATTTTTTTAAGTGGGAGAACTTGCACAATTGGTGGCTGACTAAACACTTTTTTGCCCCACTGTATATACTGTATATATGTATCATGAACATATTGGTCATCTAAAAAAAATGTCATAAGATTCACCAGACAAAAAAGTGCATTCTCTGCCGTGCACTGTATTTTAGAGGATAATAGATAACAGCTTCTTGGTTTAGATAGCGTCACAATTTATCAGCTCAATTTATTTTAACCTCTTCGGAAGCAGCTCTTAATAAAAAGTTGGAGACCCCTGATAAGCAGAATACTTAACGCTGTAAAACCCAGACACAAACACATTTGTTAAGATAAATGGTCTGCACTATTTTTAGAAAGCAGAATTCAATGAGCAAACTTGGAAATGTAGCATACAGTATTTGCTTCTTGGGAACATACATCAGTGATTTCATTAAAACAAAAAAATCATACTTCTTTTGCCATAACCAAGAGTGCTACAGGGTCAAACACTCGACATACAATTTAGCATATTTCGTAAGCCTCTTTTCACTGGTTTTCTCATTCCCTTTTGTGCGGGTAATAAAGTATTTCCCTCCTGGTCTCTTTCAAACAGTCCTTGACTTTGAAAACTCCATCGTGACAGCTCTGAGTGACTGTCGGAGGTTGAGCCAGAGCTTCGGGATGAGGACATGTTTTATGGAGCGCGGCCGTCTCACCTTCCAGAACAAACTGCTTCATCTCGATCTCGTAAAACTTGTTGGTGCCGATGATGATGCTGTAGTTGGTCAGATTGATGCAGCTGCAGGGCTCCAGAGTCTCGATCTCCTGTGGACAGCGACAGAGGGACACGGAGATGGGGAACAAGACTCCATATTGTGAAGCAGAAAGTATCGTAGGCTGATTTTTGGGGTTTGGTTTTTGAAGACGATAGTTTAACATTTAGAGTGAGTTCTAGATCATTTCTAGCCCGACCTTAGCCGTACTCTCCGCTCAATCATCATCTCACTGCATGTAACGTCTGGGTCTGGTCCCTGGGTTAGCGAATACAATCGGTTGAATTTCGACCGACCGACCAGCGAGCGCGGAAGGCGGGTGTTGTAGTTAGTTGTGGGTGACGTCAAGAGTTTGCGTCGAACGGGAAGGTTGTAGTTTGGCAATGGCAAAAAATGCGATAGTAAAGTAATCCGGCCTGGTTCTATCAAGAAATTGAAGCCGGAGCAATAAGAATGTTTTGCAAATGTAATCGCTAGAAAAAAATTGTGGCGCTACTCCCCACGGGCTCCGTTAGCGGCAAAGGAGATGGCTAAAGCTAGGCTAAATGCTAACGACAGACTCGGGCGCATTACATATGTCACGGTAAACTCAGATCCAATCGTTTCAATCTGCAAAAGGAGTTAACGGAGCTCAATGCAGCGCCTCCAGACCTTAGTACGAAATGTAATTTGTGCATTATTCTCTTTATGATACAGCTACAAGCTTGTTTTGTTCTATGATCACCTGCCAATGTCCCTGTCAAATGAATGAATAAATAGATTTTTTAAAAAGGGCAGTGTTTGAAATCTCTAGATTCAAGCAAGAGAACATTTCATTTTTCCTCTGTGAGATAAATAAAGCACATCTTATCTTATTTTTTCCTCGGCTTATACAGGATTCAGTTGTTTGACATAAACATATAAACATTTTCCTTTTCACCCGAATAGGAAACTGAAATGGAGGGGGATGAAGAAAGACACTATTAACTATTAACAAGAAGTATTAACTATTTTGACAGAACATGAAGCCGTTGCAAAAAATTTACATTAGACACTTTCTATACATGCACCTGGTTTCCCACCAATTGTTATGTAATAATATTGGTGTATCTTTTTTGTCTGTTTCGCATAAAATTTCTGAAAACCCCCCCCAAAAAAACATGTAAGCGCCTTAAGAGTGAACTAACTTAATTTAGTTACAGGTTTTTTGGATGAAAACTTTCTGTTTTTGATGTATCTGTATAATATATAATTTAGTGATATGGTGTATTAGAAAGCTATGATTACAAATACTACAGTTCATATATATATATATATATATATATATATATATATACAGAGTTTAATCAATCATGTGACTAAAGCATTGGGATTACACTTATATATATATATACATATTAAAACCTGTATATTTAAATGTGTTACTTTTATATCTGTGCAGCACTTTGGAAACTTCTTTTATAAAATGTTCTCTATAAATAAAGTGGATTAGATTGGATTGAATAATCATTTAGTAATCTAATATGATAAATAATTTTTTGTATTGGAATAACAAAAAGTCAATTTCAAGCCCTCTATTCCATACCAGAAGCTATACCCATTTTTTTTTCTATTGAGTTAATAAAAATCTGTATAACTACATATAAATTGTATTAAAAACTGTAATTTAATTGATAACTGGAGCTCATTGATTCAGGCTAAGCATGAGTTTAGGCCAAAGTGCTGAGATGACTTTTAGCGTGACGCCCGCTCTCCTCCAATCACAGAGCGAGGCTGCGTCCTCTAACCTCTACAGCGCTGCTAGACACAGTAGCATGTTAGCATAAGTGGCTATAACTCCTCTGGCTGTAACTGCAGACACAAGCGAGAAAATGATCAAAGAAGAAATCAAGCCCTGAACATAGCTAGCTTACACCGTATTCTCTGGAGAGACTTGTCTATGGGAGAGACCTGCGAGACCGCCTCGGACTATCTATGATCGGACTATCTACGCTCGGACTATCTACGCTCGGACTATCTACGCTCGGACTATCTATGCTCGGACTACATTCGGACGCGGAACTAGCGGTAATCTTTCAGTTATACATTTTGTTAGCAGTGCGTTGCTTTTGTACCATTTCATCAGTGATTGTTGAACAGCTTAAGTTGTGCTAATGCTAATGTAAGCATATGTATCAGATCGCAAATACAACAAAATGTCTCCGTGGGATGAGAGCGTAGGGGACATGAGAAGCCTGTGAGCGAGTTGGGGGCGGGGCTAAACATTCAAACCTTGCAGAAACGGCTATAGCTCCTTTAACCAAATCAGCAACTTTGCAATAAAACAAACCAATCAGACATGGTCCAGTAGAATGCGGCGTGTTTACCTTTCGGATGCAGTACTTGTTGAGATTTTCGTTGTAGCGCAGGATGGTGATCTTATTGGGCATGGCGGCACAGATGCACGAGCCGTTGTCGACCTGTGAAAAGAAAGAACACAGCTCATAGCGACACATTCAAACTTTACCCAACGTGACAGAATTCAGAAAAGGTCTCATTTTAGATCGACTGTGGAGAAGTTAGACGGTCGAAGAGAGAAGAGCTTTGAAAAGTGGTGACAACAGTGGATATAGAGACAAATCATCCAAAATAAACATGGGTTATGATGTCAAAAGAGAAAAATTTAAACCAGCAAGAGGCGTTGAACGACCCTCTGACTCTGCTGTTTCGCATCTCCAAGAGACACAGTAAGCCCTTCTAAATTAATGTTGTGCAGGATGTATTTGAAAGGAATTACTGTTAAAAAGGTTCATTATCTGTGTGTTACTTGTTTGGCCCTGAAACATGATCTTGAGAATTTCACTTTCTGAACAAAGTTGTAAAATAGTGAAAACCCCATCTTGAGAATTTCACTTTCTGAACAAAGTTGTAAAATAGTGAAAACCCTAACTGCGCGTGAGGCCTTACCCTCCCGGCGGCGAAGAGGTGGCAGCCCTTCACCGTCTCGAAGATGTGTGGCGTGAGCTCGCACTGGCTGGGCAGGTGCGACTGAGCCAGAGACTGCTTCACCCGCTTGATCTCCACCAGACACAGGGCTCGCTCCTCTCCTGTAAGCGACCACCAGGACTTCAGTTCATAGTGATTCACGTTTCAGAGATAACATTCAATTATTCTGACTATTTTGTTAAAGATTCAATTGATTTGAAATTTGACCAAATAAATCTCTCCTTTTGTTTGCTATTGAAACAAGGAAATATATTGAGATATATTGAGTGGAGATAGACATTACAGTATTTCCTACAGCAGTTTCCACAAGTACAGTTTGTTCTCTATACAACACCATAAGGCACGTGATTAAAAATAAGTCAGATATTAATCCAATTTGAAAAACGTTATCCTTCTTTGAGCACATTTTGCCTTAAAACAAGATTTACCAATGGAACAAGCAGAAGTATCTTGTTTTAAAAATATACAAGAAATGTCTCCCTTGGAATGAGAAAATAAAGCAACAGTTCTTGAAATTAGATTAATTGGCTTTATCCCATTGGCAAATCTTGTTTTAAGACAGTCAGAATGTGCTCAAATCAAGATAAAACCACTTGATTCAAGCAATTATCACCTCATATTTATCATTTTTAGCAGTGAAGCGCTTCCGTCCAAAAGTTATTTTATCATTTTGCCAATAACATAAAATGAGACATTTCTGCCAACAGAAAAGTCAGAAATATCACTTTTTACTAAATTTGTGGCTGCACATTCACCATAAAATAACGAAATATATTTGGATAACTTCTGACGCCGCACTTCTGCAAAAATAAAGATGAAAAAAAGAAGCACAAAAGCACATGACATCTGACCGACAATCATGAGCAGCTTCTCCAGCTCTTTGACCACGTGGATCTGGAAGACGGAGCCCAGGCCGGGGATGTGGGTCAGCGAGTTCTTGATGACGTTCAGAGCGTACAGTCCTTCCTCTGATCCGACCAGAACGATCTTCAAACACAACAGTGGAGAGAGAGTGGAGGCTGACGTCAGTGAGAGATTCACAAGTTCATATCAAGGACACATCTTCATACAGCTTTAAAGAGCGACTAAACACCAAATCAACTTTCTTAACTCATAAACTACATAAATATGTTAATTGTAGTGCTCTCTACATATCCTGGTCATATTTTTGACATTTTAGTGCAAATGAGATAAAATTCCACTTTTGAGCCTAACATTTTTTTTTTATTCTTTAGAAGTGTTTTTTATTCTTATTTTTATTATCTCTTTTTGACTGTTGCACTGAGCCAAAGCAATTTCCTAGTCTGTGACCTCCTGTTACTTACGTGGCAATAAAAATGATTCTGATTCTGCCCTCTCAACCTTTTCGGTGGTACTACATTTGAATTTGGTCCTGGCCTCTCCATTGATTCTGTAATTCTGTGTGACGTCAGTTTGTGTGTGTGACGTCAGTTGGTGTGTGTGACGTCAGTTGGTGTGTGTGACGTCAGTTGGTGTGTGACGTCAGTTGGTGTGTGTGTCGTCAGTTGGTGTGTGTGACGTCAGTTGGTGTGTGTGACGTCAGTTGGTGTGTGTGTCGTCAGTTGGTGTGTGTGTCGTCAGTTGGTGTGTGTGACGTCAGTTGGTGTGTGTGACGTCAGTTGGTGTGTGTGTCGTCAGTTGGTGTGTGTGACGTCAGTTTGTGTGTGTGACGTCAGTTGGTGTGAGTGACATCAGTTGGTGTGTGGGATGTCAGTTGGTGTGTGTGACGTCAGTTGGTGTGTGTGTCGTCAGTTGGTGTGTGTGACGTCAGTTGGTGTGTGTGACGTCAGTTGGTGTGTGTGTCGTCAGTTGGTGTGTGTGTCGTCAGTTGGTGTGTGTGACGTCAGTTGGTGTGTGTGACGTCAGTTTGTGTGTGTGACGTCAGTTGGTGTGTGTGACGTCAGTTGGTGTGTGTGTCGTCAGTTGGTGTGTGTGTCGTCAGTTGGTGTGTGTGACGTCAGTTGGTGTGTGTGACGTCAGTTTGTGTGTGTGACGTCAGTTGGTGTGAGTGACATCAGTTGGTGTGTGGGATGTCAGTTGGTGTGTGACGTCAGTTGGTGTGTGTGTCGTCAGTTGGTGTGTGTGACGTCAGTTGGTGTGTGTGACGTCAGTGTGGTGTGTGTGTCGTCAGTTGGTGTGAGTGACGTCAGTTTGTGTGTGTGACGTCAGTTTGTGTGTGTGACGTCAGTTGGTGTGTGTGACGTCAGTTGGTGTGTGTGACGTCAGTTTGTGTGTGTGACGTCAGTTGGTGTGAGTGACATCAGTTGGTGTGTGGGATGTCAGTTGGTGTGTGTGTGACGTCAGTTGGTGTGTGTGTGACGTCAGTTGGTGTGTGTGACGTCAGTTGGTGTGTGGGATGTCAGTTGGTGTGTGTGACGTCAGTTGGTGTGTGTGTGACGTCAGTTGGTGTGTGTGACGTCAGTTGGTGTGTGTGACGTCAGTTGGTGTGTGTGACGTCAGTTGGTGTGTGACGTCAGTTGGTGTGTGTGTCGTCAGTTGGTGTGTGTGACGTCAGTTGGTGTGTGTGACGTCAGTTGGTGTGTGTGTCGTCAGTTGGTGTGTGTGTCGTCAGTTGGTGTGTGTGACGTCAGTTGGTGTGTGTGACGTCAGTTGGTGTGTGTGTCGTCAGTTGGTGTGTGTGACGTCAGTTTGTGTGTGTGACGTCAGTTGGTGTGAGTGACATCAGTTGGTGTGTGGGATGTCAGTTGGTGTGTGACGTCAGTTGGTGTGTGTGTCGTCAGTTGGTGTGTGTGACGTCAGTTGGTGTGTGTGACGTCAGTTGGTGTGTGTGTCGTCAGTTGGTGTGTGTGTCGTCAGTTGGTGTGTGTGACGTCAGTTGGTGTGTGTGACGTCAGTTTGTGTGTGTGACGTCAGTTGGTGTGAGTGACATCAGTTGGTGTGTGGGATGTCAGTTGGTGTGTGACGTCAGTTGGTGTGTGTGTCGTCAGTTGGTGTGTGTGACGTCAGTTGGTGTGTGTGACGTCAGTTGGTGTGTGTGTCGTCAGTTGGTGTGAGTGACGTCAGTTTGTGTGTGTGACGTCAGTTTGTGTGTGTGACGTCAGTTGGTGTGTGTGACGTCAGTTGGTGTGTGTGACGTCAGTTTGTGTGTGTGACGTCAGTTGGTGTGAGTGACATCAGTTGGTGTGTGGGATGTCAGTTGGTGTGTGTGTGACGTCAGTTGGTGTGTGTGACGTCAGTTGGTGTGTGTGATGTCAGTTGGTGTGTGTGACGTCAGTTGGTGTGTGTGTGACGTCAGTTGGTGTGTGTGACGTCAGTTTGTGTGTGTGACGTCAGTTGGTGTGTGTGTGACGTCAGTTGGTGTGTGTGACGTCAGTTGGTGTGTGTGACGTCAGTCGGTGTGTGTGACGTCAGTCGGTGTGTGTGACGTCAGTTGGTGTGTGTGACGTCAGTTGGTGTGTGTGACGTCAGTTGGTGTGTGTGACGTCAGTTGGTGTGTGTGACGTCAGTTGGTGTGTGTGACGTCAGTTGGTGTGTGTGTGACGTCAGTTGGTGTGTGTGACGTGCGTCTGTCTGACCCAGTGATATAAACCCATCCAACTCTCACACACGCCCCAGCAGCAGGTTGGAGTATTCTGGCGACATCTAGTGGATTAAAATGAAATTACATGAGTCGACAACCACTGCTTCTGCAATAATTCTGTGGATTAGGTTCAGGTGTGTAGCTCTACAATTATCTTAGTGTGTAAACAAGGGTGGAATGAGACTTTCTGGTCTGTAAACTATTGCTTTAAGCAGCAATGACAACTGTCTGTTTTGGTTCGTGTGACAAGTGAGCTGTCAATCACAGCCCAGACCACGCCCAACTCTAAGCCCCCCTTCTTGTCCCTTGGTCCTCTGGCAACGCCCTTTTAAGAGAACATTATCAAATGTTCATGTGGGCGGAGTCAGGCTGTGCACAGGTGTTTAGTCGCTCTTTAAAGGGATGGTGATTTAATGTCCATATATCAAAGGTACTCATCTTGACACTGTTTTTGGAATAGATTGAGTTAATGTGAACTCACTACATTCCGAAGATCCTTTAGTTTAAAATTGTGTTGTGGTGTGGATTTTTTGTTATTTTGTACTGGTATTTTGGATTCTGTTCTCTGTGGTTTTGTTTCACGGTCTCAAATGTTGCCGTGTGCCTCTATAGTCTCATGATGGCAGTGGTTTTGCTCGTACCTGGTCAGTGAGGGGCAGAGTGCAGTTTATGTCCAGTCTGTCGTCTCCTTCAAGCTTCAGCAGAGAGTTTCCCAGCAGCTTCTGTGGATGGAACAGGACAGATCTCAAAAGTCATATGTGAGAAAAAAGACCTGAACGTGACCCCAGATCTCAGAGAGGGACAAGAGGGACCGGCAGAGCTGGGACCGAGGCGAGCAAGAGGTGCATTCATCCTTTATTTGGGATGTATATATTCTGTATTAAGTTGAGACAAATGAAAAGTTTGAACAGATTTTCATTGACAGGATGATTTAAAGCTGCAGTACCTAACTTTGATATTGTTTCAGAAATACATTTTGTTTGTTCCAGCAAAAAGAGTCTTGTTAGAGTAACACTTTGTGAACAAATCAGACAACAACATGCTGTCTTTATCTTATTAGTAAACATTTTATCTTTTACATACTGAGTGTGGACTGGTCCTGGTTTTCACTTTTCTGTATAAAAAGCTGATCTAAACATGTGACTCAATACATAACTTTTACTGAACAAAAGTGGAGTTACTTTTAAAGTGGTATTATGCAACATTTTGAACAATAAAACAGTTTGTACTTTATATTTTTGCATATTTGACATTATAGCATATACTAGAGCTTATATCCTTACAGTGACTGTAAGGATAGGTAGCATTGTGTCTTTACTTTTAACCATCCAACAGCATCAGACCACTGATGACAGCAAAGGCACCATGCTAACCACTCATACAGCCACAGTACGACATGGTCAAAAAAGCAAAAATACATTATGCTACATTATATATTATCTTTGTGTTTGCAATTTTCAAGCAGGTTATTCAATCAAAGAGCGGAATGAGGCCTTCACTTGGGTTGCCAGTTTGTGAGTTAAAAGCGGTTTCAGTAATTTAATAATTACGATTTTGAAATGAATTTGTCCTTCAACTGCTCTGCTTTGCACCAATGTCTGTGATGACTCCAGTCCCAGCATCTGCGCTGCTATCGGAGGCATTTGGGGATTCAAAATAACTACATTAAAATAGTTTTCTTCTATCAATGCAAAGAGGAAGCAAATTTGACATCACAACTATTTGGTGAGTGGTGAAAAACAGCACACATTTTGACAGCACACATAAAGAAAAATCTTGAACTGAAATAAATCAAAGTGTGTGGAGTGGCATGCATCAGACGGGTGTATCGTGAAGTGAGGAAGAGCAGACCACATCTCGTTCATGTTTACCTTGACCAGAGGAGACAGAAGCATTGGTCTTTGGGACACAGCAGTGGCCTGTTAATTCAATGACACCCAATGAGGTGATCCGAATGAGCAAATCAATAAAACATGCCCATATATGGACGAACGATGGGGCAGGATGACAAAGCAACACACATCAGTGAGAAAGAAGAGGAGAAAGGACAATTAATGACATGGAAGAGGAAGCACGTATAATCTGCCTCTGTGATGTGGTGTGAATAGCTTTTTGCCCTAACCAGGAACTCTGAACAGTGTTTTTGCAGACTTCAGTGCCAATAACTTGTCCCTATAAGCCCCCAGTTCTTATTTATGCAGAGTAACCACCCAGTCCCTCTTGCTCAAGTCTCACGGCTGAGAACATGTTAAAGAAGAAGAAATATTATGCATTTTAGTTGGCCATTCAAAAGGATAAAGACACGGTTTACTTTGTCATTTCTTGTTTTAATTGTAAAAATATGAAGGGTAAAAAAACTTGCTTCCATGTGAATACTGTGTAAACTCTTATTGTGACTGTGTACAACGATAAAACATAATCTAATTTAATCTTCTGACACACAATCCCAGACCTCTGCAGCTATTGTATTTTTCAGTTGGTGGAGGATAAACATCTTCAGGTACAAAAGGAAAATGATACTTGACTATAAATGGCTTCTCCCTATCACTAACCATGAGTGGAAGAAAATGTTTTATCATTCATATCCTCAGGCCAAGAAATCGAACATTCTGTGACAGTATGTACCAGTAAACAAGCACAACTTTATGCAAATGCTGTATTTTAGTCAGTAAGTGGAGATACTCACTGCGTCGGCCTCTGCCTTCTCCCTGGAGGTTCTCCCACTGGCCACCACAGACTCTATCACTGCCACCCAGCGCTGTTTGTCTGGGAAACTGGGGGCCATGAAGTACACCGCCTGCCCAGGCCAACAGGGGGCGTGGCAGCGTGACTCCAGTTTCAAAACGTAAGGAACATCTGACAAGGGAGAAAAAGAACCATATGAGAAGGACTCGCTTAAATTGAACAAATGAACCTTAACTTTAATTTCAAAATTAATGCATTGGAAAACTGACTCTGGGCACTAACAGGAGTCCCGTCCCTGCGCTCCTCAGAGTCCGGGCTGGTTCATATGGGACTAGCATATCATGGATGTACTTTGGTGCGAGGCCATGGAGAGACTTGTACACCAGGAGAGCTGCTTTAAAGTCTATCCTCTGGGCCACGGGAAGCCAGTGCAGAGACCTGAGGACCGGACTAATGTGGTCGTACTTCCTGGTTCTAGTCAGGACTCGGGCTGCAGCATTTTGAATGTACTGCAGCTGTTTTACTGCATGTTTGGACAGACCTGTGAGCAGGCCATTGCAGTAATCTAGCCTACTGGAAACAAAAGAATGGATAAGAATCTCCAAGTCTGCTTTGGACACAATATTTTTAATTTTGGCAATATTTTTCAGATGGTAAAAAGCTGCTGATGTTACCGATCCAATGTGGCTATTGAAGTTTAAGTCAGAGTCCATTATTACTCCCAGATTTCTGACCTTATTTAAAGGCCTTAGGGAGAGAGACAAGGTGATAAATGACGGTCTCTCTTTGTTTCTCGGGACCAAAGACAATCATTTCGGTTCTGTCTGCATTTAGCTGGAGAAAATTGTATTGCATCCAGTCACTGATCTGTTGGATACAGTGAAGGAGTGAGTCCACTGGTCCATGTTCTCCTGCAGTCAGTGAGACACAGATCTGAGTGTCATCAGCGTAATTGTGGTAGGACACTTTCATACTTTGAATTAACTGACCTAATGGCAGCATGTAAATATTGAACAGAAGAGGTCCCAGAATCGACCCCTGTGGCACTCCGCAGGTCAGGGCCATATTATCTGAGACATAGTCTCCAATCTCCACACAATACTTGCTTTCTTCTAGATAGGACCTAAACCAGCTTAGGGCGGTACCAGCAACACCAACCCAGTCTCTGCATGAGAATCTCATGGTCAACGGTGTCGAAAGCGGCACTCAGATCTAACATGACTAAAACAGAGACTTTTCCTGCATCAGTGTTAAGCCGAATATCATTTGTTACCTTGACTAGAGCGGTCTCAGTACTGTGGTGTGGTCTAAAGCCAGACTGGAACATGTCAAATGAGTCATTAGATATTAAAAATTCAGTAAGTTGTTGGTAGGCAACTTTTTCAAGAATTTTTCCCATGAAAGGCAGATTTGAGTACCGCAGCATCAAAACTGCTCTTTTTTAGGAGGGGCCTGAAGACTGCCTTTTTCAGGGCCATTGGAAATGTTCCAGATAAAAAAGACATGTTTACCATTTTTGTCAATGAGGGTAATAGACTACACATAACAGACTTCAGGAATCTAGGAGGTAGTACATCCAGACTGCAGGTAGAGGAACTCAGACCTGTGATTATCTTTTTAACAGTTTCATCATTGACAGGTGCAAATTGAGCTAGCTCACAAAGCCTCACTGGATGTTGCATTGTTACTTGTGTTGTGGAGGTGATGGCATTTCTGATACCCTGAACCTTGTCTCTGAAGAACTGTGCAAACTCATTACACCTGGATTTGGAGTAGTGTTCTATTGGCAACTTAACAGGGGGGTTTGTTAATCTATTGATTGTTGAAAATAGAACACGCAGATTGTTGCTGCAGCCTTCAATAGTTTCAGAAAAGTATAATTCTCTTGTTCTACGTAATACTCTGTTAAACTCACACAACTTCTCTTTTAAGAGTTTATAATCACCCTGGAGGTTGGACTTTCTCCACTTTCTCTCTGCTCTCCGGCACTCTTGCTTCTGTGCCCTGACCGGGCCTGCTTTTATCCATGGGGCTTTTTGCTTATTTGTGACCATTTTTACCTTCACAGGGGCAATGGCGTCCAAGAAACCCAAGAATAACTTATGACATGTAACTAGTTCGTGGATCACAAAACTGTTTGGTTCTATCACTAGGACTAGACAGGGGGAGGCTGCTTTTCAGATTTATGCAGCTAAAGTCTGGAACAGTCTTCCTGAGGATGTGAGACTGGCTGCCTCTCTGTCGATGTTCAAATCCATGTTAAAGACTTTTCTTTTTTCCTGTGCATACAACTAAAGAATTTTATCTTTTTAACACACCTTGTTATTTATTGTTGTAACTTTTTGTGTTTTTAACTATTTTATTGTTTTTAATTACTTGTGTGATTCTTATGTTTTTAAATTACATATGTGTTTTTAATTGTATTTTAATGGTGATGATTTGTGCATTGTGTGGTGTGGACTGTGAGGCGCTTTGTGTTGCCCTGTGCAGGAAAAGCGCCCTATAAATAAAGATTGATTGATTGATTGATTGATTAAACTGGCCAGTAGGGGGCGAATGAGCAGAGGTGGGACAACTCAGTTTTGCTCCCATTGAAAACCATGTAAAGTCTGTTTTGGAGTCAGAAGGCCCTCCTCCTGTGCGGTGTACGGTTGTTGGAACAGTCTTAATCTGGGACACTTAATTCTAAGGGAGTACTAAAACATATTTCTCAAAAAGAGTCTTGATTTTGGGCATTTTTGGAAAGAAAAACAGAAGAAATTGCTGCGTATCATTGGGGTAGCCTGCAGGGGGCGCTTATCTGGGAAAGCCTTGATCCACCTCGCCCGCCTCATTCCATAGATTTTTTCAAAGTGTTCTCCTTTATATGAGACCACAGTTGGAACACAGAAGAAACTCTTGTCTTTCTCTCTATTTGCGCGGTTGCTACATGCGTACACCGGACAAAAAGATGGCATTTTGACAGCGCTTCTTCTTCTACTATATCTCCGTGTATAAACCCGGCAGACTGCAGCGCCAGGGTACGTCACATCCTGTCCTACGTTTGTTATCCGCGCCACTGCCCTGACGTCATATGAAACACAAGAATTGGTACCAGCTGGGAGATTTGTAGAGAGATTTGTGCATTAAAACCACCATTGCTCAGACTATCCCTGTTCCACTTCCACTTGTACACGTCTACTTATTTGAAATACCTTGTTTACTTTAGTTGTATTTCAAAACCACCAACAACCTAATACGTGTGTGATACAGTAGCGTCATGCAGGCATTTCTGAACAAATTCAAATCCACTGTTGGCATTAGAAGCATGGAAAGATCAAAGAAAAGCATCGCCAACGAGAGACCAAAACGTGTATGTCCTTCTGTAGTACCTGACTTGGCTGTGTTGGGAAGCTCGGAGGCACCCACTGCTCCATGGACCATCACTTCTCCATCACATAGACACAAGTCAAACTCCTCCAGTGGCTTCACCGAATCTGGAACAAAACGCATCACATCAAGGACTAATTTGTTCTTATGATTGGACTTATACTGCAATGAATAAAAATATAACAAAACCTTCTCTGGGCTCGATGTCGTAGATGGAAATTTTAGTGCCATCCAGGATCATATACTTCCTCTCCCAGCCCTGGCCTCGCTTCCCATTCCTGCAAAATGTCAACAACAGTGATTCATTGTAAATAAAACAGGTATGAAAACATGGGAGCTAAATCATTATACAAAAAGCTTAATTGTACAAAAGCTCAATCAATGCAATGCAACTTAGAGTTTCTCTGGGTTAAAAACATTCGACACTATCACTTTTGAAATTGCAATCCATTAATGTTGGTTTAAAATCAGTGTACTCATTTTGACCTCTTTTTGCATAATCTTGTCCTTTTGATCATTACCCAAAGCTCATGACCGTGAGGGTGGGAATATAAATCTAATATAAATAATCTTTTGGCTCAGTTCTCTTCACCACAACAGTCGGATACAGCGTCCAAGATACTCAAACTCTACTTGACATTTAACATTTATGGACATTTATCAACACTTGTAAAGGTGCACTTTATTAATCCCCGTAAGGCAAATCATCCTCTGCATTTGACCCATTCTGATGCCGCTAAGGCTTACGTCAGGGGCAGTGGTTGCCATAGTAACAGCGCCCGGGAACCCATCTCCAGATGTTGATGCTCGGCTTGGTCAGGACCGGAGCTGGAGGATTTAACCTAGTGAGCGTGTTTTTAGTGGTAGGGGAAACCGGAGCACCCAGAGGAAACCTACGCAAGCACGGGGAGAACATGCAAACTCCACTCAGAAAGACCCTCATCATTCTCTGATCTGTGTTTGTAAATTCAACAGTACTGTAAAGTCCTTGGAGATAACTACTGTTGTGATTAAGGGCTATATAGAATACATTGAGTTGAATTGAACTGAATTGAATTGACCTCCTTCACTCGAGGGAGGAACGCATCTACATTATATTATATGTTTTACACGACATGGATGTATTTCAGACCTGGGGAGTTTCATCCAGCCCTCCAGATGCATGTGACCTCCTGCCTCCTTCAGTTGGGGGCAGGGGGAGCTGCCTTTGTCCCGGCACAGACCCTCAGACAGGTGCAGGGAGCAGTCGCTGGACATCCCACAGGTGGCCGGGAGGCAGGGCGAGCACTTCGGGTGGCACAAGGCGTGGCACTCTACAGGAATGCATAATTATTCAGTGAACAAAAGAAAAAACAAAACACAGAGTAGTGAAAACAACGTCTATTTAAAGGTCATTTCAGCCAAACAGTGATTTCCGTTGTATTACGTTTACAAAAGTACATTTCTGACCATTGATAAAACCTTTTCAACAATTGTTTTATAATTCAAATTGTCGTTCCCCAAGGCATAATATACAGTATGACCAGTAAAACTTTCTGGAGGGGCCTCATGGATTTGTATTTGAGGAATCAGGGAGCTGCAGGGGTGAAACCACTGCTCGTCTTGAAAAAGGTTTCACTCTTCACAGATTAAAAAGTCACATTAAGCAGGCAGGGATGAGATCATTTATGTCTCAAATGTCTCTGCGCACGCTCTTTAGGGGGGGGGCTGAACATAGGCATCTCTTGATTGAACAAAAGATCCCATTATCCTTAGTTTAAGCCTGATAATATTTAAAGGGTGGTGTCTACAGACTAAAAAACAGTAAACGGGTGATTAGATTTTCAAAACTATGTTAATCTGATTTTGTGGCCTGTTAAAAAATTTTGCTGTAAAGGTTTTAAAAATACATTTGAAATATGGAACTTGCACAAATTAACTTTAAAGAACATATCAAATTAAAACAACGATGAATGAATAATATTGAAATAATATTTTATGTAAAAAAAATATGGTGAGACATTACAAAAAGGCTTTCTGTTGGAGTTGATTTCCCGGTTGGAAATATACCGACTGCAAACACAGAAATGCAATGGTGAAGAATGTTATTTTACCATTTCTTTAACTTATGAGGTAATGATGAGGTTATGTTTTTTCAATGCAAAAAAAATAAAATAAAACTGGGTATTTCAACGTTGCATGGTTCGTCATTAAGCTTGAGTGAAAACTTGTAGATGTCGATGTAGTAGTCGTTACCGAGGCAGGTGGCGGCCTGTCGTCCAAAGTGCACGGTGTCCAGACATACGGTGCATTTGGCCGCTCTCATGTTGAGTCCCACAGTGAAGCGGTGAGCCGTGTTGTGGTGGACCCTGTCTCTGTCCCGGTCCCTCTGACTGTCCTTCAGGCGCCGGCTGTACTCTGAAACAACCAGGGAGCAACACCAGCAACATTACAGCGGCAGTGTGTAATGCCCTTTAAATCAGTATAGTAAAATGGATTGTAAGCCTTTGCCAAAATGGAAACTGGGCGTGTGCTTTGCTCCCACTGCTGCATAGAAAAGTAATTTTTTATTGTGAATGTAATAACCAACCCTGCAAACACGTTTTCATACATGCGCTACACATGCAAGTTACGATACACGGGTTCACAGTTGGAAAAATAACATAATCGCTTCAATAGATACTTTGAGGTGATCTATGTGTGTCACTCTTACGTGTCCTTAAAAATGGCAAGACATTTACATGAGGTGTACGTGCTTGTGATTACTGAGGAGAAAAGAATTGGCAAATCAGGTGGACCAAGCTTCAGCAAATTATATTAAAAAAAAAAAGCTTCAGATTTCTTAAACTGTGCACCACAAAAGAGAAACGAATGTCTTCCGTTCTGGAGTGATTGGGGCGTTTTGAGTGCAGAGCTTTGAAAATCTGGCCTTTCGAGGATGTGGATGAGGCAAACCGTGACTTACTTTCAAAAGTGACCCTCCTTCTTTCTGAGAGATGTGTGGAAGAGAAAATATACAAAGAGCTCCATCAGTGATCCCCACCCGCTCACTTTTTAGCAGCAGTGGTCGTGACTTCTGAAGAGAATCGTCTGCTCTGACCTGGTACAATGCTTCAGTTCTTTCTTGTACATCACAGAGGAGGCTTTCAAAATAACCAAACTAACAGTATAAACTAATGGTCAACAAAATAACAAAATTGGGAAACTTCTGATAAGGAAATTCTGTGGCTCTAAAACCAGATTTTTAATGTGCCCATAATGTTAGTGATACCCTTTAAGATAGAGACGACCCTATGGTTATTGTTTGTTTAAAGGTAATTTTTGTAGTTATTTTTGTGCATTATTATGAACAAATGTTTACTTCTATTGAATATGGTTTGGATATTCTTGTTTACTAGGATTGTCTGAACAGAATTAGTAGATGAACTGGAGAAAGATTTACAGATTTGTATTATATTTCTTATGAATTGTTACTTAGTATGTTTTGGATTTGTTGTTTGGATTAAGATAAGATAAGATAAACCTTTATTAGTCTCACAGTGGAGAAATTTCAGTGTCATCATTGCACATTACAGCAGAGAAAGGAAATAAGAGCACTCAGATTGCACACACCAAAGTCTATTATTTAAGATAATAGACAATACATTTAAGATAAAATAAAATAAAATAAAATAAAATAAGATAAACTCTGGGCTATAATTGCACTTGGTTCGGAGTATTTACAGATGTCTATATTATACATTTGCTTGATTTCTTGAGAAAATTTCCTTTAAGATAAGGTATAACATGCATGTAGCCTATCAGCTGGATGGTAAGAAGTATAAAACATCCCAATACATCAGTCAATCTTTACTCTATAAAATAAATGGATCAAGAAACACAACAATTAAAATCAGTTCTTTCTGCCGGCATCCAGTTTTTATTTTCTTGTAGACTTGAATAATAACCAGACTGGGAATAGGAACCCAAACTTTGACTCCAGTTAGACTACTGTCTCTGCATTATTATTGTTACTCAGGTGGGAGTTCTGCTGCTCGAGATGTTGCACAATTACAGTTGCTATATATAAAATAAAAAATATACTGTATAATAATTCAAATCTAAGAACCGTGATGAAGTATGGAGATCCACTGTGTCACACTTTCTAACACGACATATGGTTTCTGTTTGGTTTGTTTCTGGTGAAGTGCGACTGACCCTCTGGAGTGGCTGCGTCTTTCCTTCGCCCGGAGCCCGAGGAGTTCAGACCTGGACCCGGCTGATGTTCCGGAGACTTCACCAACGACGATATAATCATCTGCTGACGGGACGACGGGTTCGGGCTGTGGTCTTTGTACTGGAGAGCTATAATGGAGGGTGCAAGTTATTTCCCTTGTCTATTGAGAAAGAGTATAAGCTACGTGGGGGATTTCACCCACAGACTATTCTACATGTGTACACAACATACTGTACATCCACCGTTATGAAATGCCTTTACCTTCTTCTCTCAAAGATCTCAGCTCGCCTCTCATCTTCTGCAGTGCGTCCTCCAGCTCAGAGCTGCGGGCTCGCTCTTTGTCCAGGGCAGACTTGATGTCGCTGTACTGCATTGGGACTGAGGGAGCAGGGGGCACCGGACCAGAGCCTGGACCCTGCCCCTGAGCCTGAGCCTGAGCCTGAGCCTGAGCCATCGCAGCCAAGATGTCCTCTCTGCGGCGACCAAACAAACCCTGGGGGGGGAGGTTCAAAATCACACAGGTTTCACTGTTTCACATTCTTCCAGATGTATTCCCAATTTATAATTTTGAATAAAAGAGGACATTTTATGCTTTTACATTGGAAACCTCAGAGTAGTTTATAGAGTGGATTACGTAGACAAACCCTTACCTTTTTCTTCTTGGAGCCGCCATGGGCCTGCGCCTGGAGGAAGTCGATGAGTTTGGTCTGCTGCGTGATGGTGCCTTCCATTTTGACCTTCTCATGGGAGAACACGGCCTGCAGGTGGAGCTAGTGAACATCACTACCACCATCAATTTCACCTCAAATATGTTATTTACACATAGGGCACACGCTGGACAGAGGAGTGAGGCATACAATGTGCACTCTGACCAAACCACTGGGACATTAGGAGAGCAACAAGAGTGCGGTATAAAGACATTTCAACAGCCAAGGCACCAATCCAACCTCACCCTATGAAGCCAAAGGAGGCGAGGGGTCTGTGTGTTCTCAAAGAACAGTAACCGAATCCAGTTATTCTTTTGATAAAATGTAGCAATGGGATTGGACAAATGTGCAAATTACACATTTACAAATCTTTCTTCTTGAGTTTGTAGTGACACATTGCCACATTGCATTGGGCACTAGAACACCAAGGGTGTAAGACCAATCACATTGGTGTGATGGGCCTTACCCTGCCAACAGGACGGGTATCGTAACCCTCTGTGTGTAAGCAGGATTGTGCAAAAAAATGTGGAAGAAATTGAGCGGAAATGTGGTGTGTGAGATGTGATCGTATAGGATATAGATATGATCTGTGGTGTTGGAGGGTATGCGAGTGAAACGCTGGACAGGAAATTTCAACAACCGCTACTTCCTGTTTTGACGGAAGACGGAACACAGGGAATACATATAATTCACACATCTGCATGTATACAGCATTAGCATTGCATGTGTTGTATTTTTCACAATATTATTTCTATTAAATCTCAAATCATTAGATTCAAAAAGTGAGGCCTCTATCTAAAGTCAAAAACAGTAACAGTGATACATTTCAAGAACGCAAAGTTTTGTTCTACAAATAGTTCCAAACATAAATATAAAGTGTGAGACCTGGATGTTCTCCAGCTGATACTCCAGGTCTGTCCTCTCAGTCTTGAGGAGGTCGGTCTGGTCCAGTGCGTCCTGAAGGCCCTGCGTCAGACGGAAAATGTGCGTCTTCTGTGCATCCATCTGCTGCTGCAGCTTCTCTTGCTGAAGAAAAAAAGGCCATTTATTTCTTTAATGAACAAAAGACAACATGGCTTTGGTTAATGAGCTGTCGTGGCACCCGCTTCACTGGGTCTTTAAAAATAAAGATAATATAATAGTACAGTGATGTTTGAAGGTTAAGAAGAATGTTTAGGCCTTTACTGTGAGTCTCTTAGTTTTAAATGTTTTAAAACACCATTAGTCTGACAATCGTCATTTTATTTCACTGTAACATCAGTGTGCACTGTCACTTTTACACTTGTTTTTATCCTGGAGTGATAATATTCATAGTGACGTAAACAATCAGTACAGAATAGTGCAGCGTTTACCTTTTTGGTGTCGGACATTGACATTACCTCTTCGAGTAGTCTCTGCTTGAGGTCCCTCTCACTTTCGAGCTTCTGCTGTAAACTGCGGGCGTTCATTTCCAACATGGAATGCTTCTTCTCCAGCTCGTTGAGCTACAGACACACAGTGATTGTTAAAAATGTGTTTAGGAAGTGATATAATGAAAGTGTAAATTCTCACAGTGTCAGCGAGACCCTCTGCCTTCAGTTTCTGATCCTTTAGCACCTGCTGCAGAGCCAAGATCTCAGACTTATGTTCTTTCATGGCCTGATCCACGGCCTGACGGGACTCGGAGCTGCGCTGTTCAGCACGGAGCCTGTAGGACAAGAGGCTGTTATAGATTACATACTAACAATGTAAACCAGGTGTCAAAGAAAGTATTTAACAAAGGCATTGTGTCCAAAACCTCTTATTAAATATAACAAGTAAGTAAGTAATGTTTATTTATATAGCGCATTTTACAGACCAAGGTCACCCAAAGCGCTTTACAATGTTCAGAGTCAGATATTGTTCCAATCATTCCACACACGGTGAAAACAGAAGCTCCAATCAACACCATCCATTCACTCTCTCATTTACATTCATACCTATTGTATGGATGTAAATGATAACTGACGTCGCAATCAGAATTCTTTTCATTGCCATTGTGTCAAGTTATAAAAGTAAAAATAGAATAAGGCATGCATAAAGAAAAACAAAATCTACATCATATTTCTTAAAATTACTACTATAAACAAGTGCACTAAGTACACTTAAATTATTAGAATGTTTACTATATATAAGTGCACTAAGTACATGCAATAGACGTTTAGCAGTGCTGTTAAGTGACGGTAGTGACAGTAAAGTGACGGTCATAAAGGGCAGGGGACAGTGAAAAGTTATGAAATGTTCATGAGTCCAACAGCAGAGGGGAAGAAACTGTTCTCATGGCGGGAGGTTCTGGTCCTGATGGACCGCAGCCTTCTGCCCGAGGAGAGTGACTGTGATAATCCATGTGCAGGGTGAGAGGGGTCGGCAGTGATATGACCAGCCCGGCCTCGAGCACGGGCGACGTACAGGTCCTGCAGCGATGGAGGGCTACGGTCGATCACCCTCTCAGCAGCAGAGCGCACCATGTGCTGTAGTGTCTGCTTGTCCCTGACAGTGGCTCCAGTGGACCACAGGATGGATGGACCTGATGATGGCCGTGTAGAACTGCACCAACATCTGTGAGGGCAGCTAGCCTTCCTGAGCTGCTCCAGGAAATGCATCCTCTGCTGGGCCTTCTCTAAAGAAACTTTGCCTATTTAACCTCGTAGTGACCCAATGGCTGTGTGAATAGTCAACGCGGTGCCTTTACTCCATCACAGTCTGTAGGATGTTGGAAGATCAATGGTTTGGAAGATCTCACTGTAGGACCCCTGAAGCAGCAAACTTACAAAACGATTGATCCTGGGGCACTGTGGACCCAACCCTGATCAATAGTTAAGGCAGCCTTCTGACCACTCCTACAACCACTGGGTCAAATAAGCAAGAATGTAAACTACTTCTTTACATAAATGTTCCAGTCCTCAGTGTTTTGTCCTGCATGTACATCACCGACCACCTGTTGTTGTGTAAACGGGCACCTGCTCTGCTTCTCGGTTTCCAGCAGCCTCTGGACGTCGCGCACACGTCTCTCTGCTTGGCTTTTCTCCTCCTCCAGAGCCGACCTCCAGGCCTCCCACTGACGCTCCTTCTCCAGCATCTCATCGTTCAGAGACTCCAGCTCCAGCACCTGCTCCTCCAGCATCGTGCACGTGGTCTTCAGGGTCTCCAGGTTCTGCAACATATTTTTTTTCAGTATTTTTAGAGTTTTATTGTCTAAACCCCAAGGTGACAAAGCAGACAAAGGAGACAGAGAGCTGGAATGAGGAGGAAAAGAGGGGAGCTATAGCAATGTGGAGGTCTGACTTGCATTGTGGAGCCGGGATATGAAATACTTTGAATGTAGTCAGAGAAAGATGTTGAAATTGATATTGAAGACAGACAGTGTGTCTCGTAACAGAAAGAGTTTGCAAAATGGGTTTTTTTTACCACCGCCAGAAGGGGCTATGTCTTCATTGGGGTTTGTGAGTTTGTTTACCAACTCAATATGTAAATGTGTACAGGACAGGAAATTGGACAGGGAAAAAAATAATAGAGTTTGGAGGTGGTCAGGATTCTTGTCTGGACCCTTTTTTTTGTTTTAAAGGAATAGAACTGGGTTTTTACAGTAGGTGAAGTTCTGCGCTCTACACTACAGGTGTTTATTGTGTGTATTTGCTTAATAAATCACCTAATAAATCATTTAAACCTGAAATGTTAGGGGGGGAAAGCAATGGATAAACAACTTAGTCATGACTGATAAATGTTTTCATCTTTCCGTAGTCTCTGAATCAATTTAACCTAAAAATAGCTTTGTATTTTGCTTCTAAAAGCCTCCACTGGTTTACTGATGCTCTAAATGCTTTGTGTTCCAAAACTCTATTGATCAATCATACTTTTATCTCAACTGGACTTTTCATTTGTGTTTGTAAGTCACTCCTTGCACCCATCACCTGTTCCGATATCATTTAAGGAGTCTGCAGAGATTGGCTGAGACCAAAAAGAAAGCCGTCATTTTGTGGTGAAAAACGACAGCAGCTCCAGTCTGTGCACTAGACCCATATGTACTAGTGACAGAAGCAATCCTTATAATTACATCACAAGATTTTGAACTTGGGTGACTCATGTTGAGAAAGTGTTTGGCCTGATAAAAAAATGATACACTGTCTGATCAAATTACAAATAAACAATTACAGATCACAGTGATACATAATCAAATAATCTCCCAAGAACGATGACTGTGAGTGCTACGATAGTTCCACAGAACTTATACATATACAAATATTAAGTCCTGCATAATTAAGACTTCATGGCTCCGTGGACAGGGAACATGGCAATCTTTAATATTGGCCCATCTTTTATCCAATTAACTCTACGTATAAATGTGTAAAATGTGATATTATTTTTGCACACAGCAACATAACAATGTCCACGTGAGAAGAGTACTGTGTCAAAAGCAATCAGAAAAACGACGTCTGGGTGGGATCAAAATGCCTCGGAAAACTCCGCTGCGTCCAATATGACGACAGTTGGAGACGGCAACGGACCACTCCCAGACAATGAGGATTACAACCCTTCTTTTCGTATTAATCACACAACTATGCAATGAATACAATGGATTTCCCTTGGGATAAACCATCAAACTTACAAACTCTACTTTTGATACAAGAAAAAGTCCAATTCCCCCCTTTTAAAAAGTAAAAACTTCACCTAGTCTAAACCACATGTTTTTGCTTATTGGATCGGTAAAAGACCACAAGCCAGTACTCAATGGTGAAGTATTAAAAAGCATTAGCAACATATGCGGTTTTCAAAGATTGGGGTGGGTTTCCTTGTCCATTAAAGCCATCAGCCCAGTAAATCCAATAAGATCCAAGGTTAATTATTGACGAAAGAAGACATGTATCAAGCTCTTGATTTTATCGGTTTCACTGCAACAGCGTATTGAGATGTTCCGCCATGTTTTTTCCCAAATGACTTTTACACTTGTGTCATTAATCACTATAATGTGATTCGATGGAAAAGTTTCATGATTGCAGATGTCAAAGTGTTATATGTTGTAGAATAAGGTTGGACGAACATGGAGATGTACCAAGGTAAACTTCCTCTACATTAACACCAAGAATGACTGTGGTCCTGTAACAAGGAAATACATAGCAGAAAAGCATCAAAACATTTATTTTACAAGTCCAATGAGAAATCTGAGCTCTGTTTTTGCACTAATCCCCCGGCTAAAAAAACGAGAACCCGGGCGGATTGCCCGTTTACCAGAAACACCCTATAAGTCCCAATTACTCCTGTTTGTTCGGCAGAAACCGCTGTGACGACACTTCACAATGCATCCTGTTTCATCACAAAACAACACAGGTCCACTTTCTCAAAACACACAACAATGACACTGCAAGAATCCCCCTGCTTCAACCAGACATTTCAAAAGTCATCAGTCTTTCATCAGTGATAAGGACTTTTTGTGGTGATCATAATCTGTAGGACATTGTGACTACACAATGCATGGAATATGCAGACGCTTAAGATGTGGCATTTAAAAGGTGATTCATACTTACCTACAGCTCTACATTACCAATAAAAGAAAAACACTATAGAAAATAAATACATAATGCGCAATAAGATGTAAATTCTCAAAAATAATATATTGGGTGGGTGATGCTGAAAATGATAGGATAAAGTAGACTAAAAAAGAACATTTTATCTTTAGGAACGTGTACTTTCTGCAAACACAAAACTTGGAGAACAAAAGTTTTATGAACTTGATTTTCAACAAGTTATAAAACATTTGAACTATTGTAACTTGTAAGGAAGAGCCATGTGACGTCACTGTTTGATGTATTGAGCCTGCATGGTGAGGTTAAACATAAAAGAATTTATTAATGCTGCCTAAGGTTATGTGCTGTGCAAATGCAACTATACATGTAGCTCAGCGTGTGTTACGTTATAGTTAGGGATTGATAGATAGGAATGAATTTGATAAGATTTCAATATTTCCCTATCACATTTGAAATATCAGCTACTCTACTTAATGCTTTGCCCAAACGTTCAATAGAATGGGATTAAACTTTTATATATTTGGCTTTCAATATATCTGTTTTGCTCAGAAAGCCTTGAAAAATAATGTATTCATTGTGAGAGCATCTCGTTTTGCCTCCCAGGAAATACAAGTTTAATGCCACTCACTGTAAATGTTCCAGGGAAAACATAACATGTTGAAAAACGGTCCAACAGAAAAGTTACATCATACCACTTTTCACCAAGGCCCTAGCATCAAGATCTTTTCCCCCCCCAGCACTAGACATACAGAATAATAATAATAACATTATATTTTCATAGACCCTTATTCTTGAATACTCATGTCGCCTTACATACAAATAAAAAGTACATTGTAAAAAACAGTTATGGTGAAAGTGAGTGGGCTTGTTGGTCCAACAGATGGAGTTTTGAGGTGGATTTTTAAGTGTGTAAGTGAAGGCGATGTTACGTGAGTGTTTCTGAGCTGGGGAGCAGAGCTAGCGAAGGCTCTCCTCCCCATGATGAACGGAGGCGGATAGGGAGGGAGGAAACAGAACCAGTATCAGATGGTGTTAAGAAATGGTCCGTGATTCCAGTTTGGCTCCTATAGGCACAAAAGTGTTTGAAAATTACTTCAACCTCTTGGGCTAACATCGTCCCTTTGATTTTTTCATTTGAATTAACTCCATCTTTCCCAAAGTTGATCACATCTCCCAACTAATCTTTTTGTGAAAGCAACTACTCTGCGGGCAATAATCCGTCACCAATGAAACACTTTGAAGCTCTGATTTGCTCTTTCCTGCTTCTTAGGGCTGTTAGGACATTATCAGCATGCTGACATTATGTTGCGTGAAAGCCCCCTTGTTCTTACTAACTAGTGTCCAGGCCTGACAAAGATTAATACGAATGGAGCATCTGGAGATACGATCGGCTCCTGTGGCCTTTCGTGACATCAGTAAAATTTTCCAGTACCTAAGTAAACGATGAGGTGTCGCATATAGTGGAGGCACACTCAGGCTCCTCTGAGGAAAATTCCACCTTGCAGAGTGGCAGCAGGAAGAACAGTCAAGATATTCTCTATTCTAGTGTTGACAAGTCGACACGCAAGAAGAAAAGCATGGCTAAAAGCTGAAGCGATCTGCCACAGCCTAGCTGCTGCTGTTGGACAAGTAAATATCATATTATTTTTTTTCACCACTAAAAATGAAACAAAGAAAATTTACTTTGTCCTTTCATGTTTTAAAATAATGAAATAATATCTTCAAGCAAAAAATACAAGTTGAGACAAGTATTAAGAATAACAAAAAAAATGTCTGGAGCTGTAACTCCCTATATCTCATTACCTCAGGTTCTACAATTATATTACCAATGAAAACTGGTCTAAGACAACCTCCAATGTCCAAAAAAAAATATGTGACCAAACTTAAGAGCGTAAACATATATTGTATTCTGACTTTCGACGTGAGTGTAGGCTACATTTGCATTTTCAATAAGGAATCAATGAGAATATTTTGCATCAACAACACATGCAAAGTTAATGTTAATGGTTTTTTGTGCATAACTACATATATCTAATCTAGAGCTGCTATATATATACTTGTACTTTGTTTTGGTACACGCACTTTGAGTTGGCTGTGTACCAACTGTGCAAACAAATAATCTTGCCCTAACACAAATCGAGTATAAATCAAAATTTCGTCTCTCGCTTGTCCTTTCCCTTTAAAACCAGGATGAAAGGACTCATTTTGTCAGGGGATGTTATCAATCTTATAAAATGAGTGACAAAACAATGTCATGGTTGACAAGACGCCACAGCACATAATTTCACTACATTAACATAACAATAGACATAAAACGAGGCGTAAATGCTTGTCTGGAGAACTGGAGCCAACTCTTTGTATACCGCAATAGTAACATAATTGTGTACATTTTCTGCTTCACTTTCACTTCAAAAAGCTAGACATAATGTTCGCCTAGTATTTTCCACAGTATAGCACCATTTTGTCCATTTATAATCCAAACTAAAACGTAGTAAAGGCTGAAGCCATTCGAATGACTAGCGGAACAGATCTCATGTGGCATTTAGCTGTAAAATCCTTGAAATCCTTGAAACTGTTAAAATACTATTAAACATCCATTGAAACTCCCTGAAGTATATTGAAGCTCCTGATA